TTGAGGTTGCTTTTTTTTTTCAATGCATATTAACCATACGTGGATCCAACTTCAATTAATAACTGAGTATGTTTGTATACATTTGTATAGTATACATTATTTTCTTTTAATACAAATACTTTGTTACATTTTGATAGCCGTATCTAACTTTCAATCAATAACATGGTATTTTATATATACATTCTGCCAAAGAGATCATGGAGAAGAACGGTAGAGGAAGAGGCAAAGACTGCTGGGCTCATGTGGGCACAGATAAAGGGAGAAGCCCAAAACAGAGTCCGCTGGAAAAGTGTAACTGCAACCCTCTGCTCCCCAGGGGCTACAAAGGAAAAATGATGAAATGATGAATGTTATACATACATTATTTTTTAAATTAACAGAAAAAAAACTTTGTTACATTTTGATTGTCCTACATTTGTCACAATTTGTTTCCTAGACAACTTGAGTTCCACTAATGGCGTGAAGCATTTTTTTTTTACTTTGGTGGATGCGTTGTTTCTTTAGTATAAGGGTCGTCCATAGGTGACGTCAAACTCGTAGGGGGGGGGGGGGGTCGGTAATTTGTGAGGGTGTGGGATGAGAGGGAGCGGGGAGGGGGGATGTGACGTCAATTTTGCATTATAAAAAAGCAATGTTAGAAAACTAGTTTTAGCCGTTATTTCGCGTTTTAGAAAACGGTTTTAATAAATTGTAATAGGAATTGATTAAAATTGAGGGGGGGGGGGGGGTTGTAGGCTGAACTGTGACGTCTGGCTTTTTGTGATGATGTTTGATGTCATTTATGGATGACCCCTAAGGAATAAATTTCAAGTGATAGATTTAGATAAAAATTGGATGTATGCATTATAGTTTAGATTAACATAAGGTTTTTTTTTATTAAGAAACTTTAGTAAAACTGTACGGTCCTTACGGCCCACAGGGAAGGTGAAGTAGAGCAGATCTGTTTCTCTGACTTTAGCAAATGAAGATATTTCTTTGTTCTGCACTACACTCACCCTCCTGTATTTCCCATGGCGAGTAAGGTACCCATAAAAGCTGAGTTGTCTCAGGGAAGTCATACACAGAAATAGGCCTCAAGGTTTTAAGAAATCACAGTAAAATGAACAAGAAATTGATTGTTTTAGAAGAATTTAATTTTTCAGACTAATTAGGTATTTTACATTAGTAACGAAAAACACATCATTGTTTATGATACTCTACAAGCTTTCATCTCAGAGCTGCCAAGTTGGTTTACAAAAATAAAAGTTTAAAAAGTAACCTATTCCTTTTACAAATTAGATGCATGTAACCTTGTGGGACCTTGACACTAGTAGCGACCTTGACCCTAGTAGCTTTGACCTACTTTAAAATAAATGGACTTGATAGAATGAAATCATTTGTTCTCAAGAACAATTAGTAATGAATTACCTGGGGATGAATTTAAGGAGGATTACTTGACTTGAAATCTGTTATTCAATAAAGAATTTTTGACAAAGGATTTAACACTAGTTGAGTTTTGTAAAGATTTCATTGATAGCCTATATTTAAATTATAATTCTTTTGATCCACCTTAGAGAGGATGATTCTTCTACTATGGTAATGGATTATTTTTTTTTTTAATAAATCATTTTTAAAGGCCTTGATTAATTTTTTCAAACATTGACAAATGAAACAGCCTACTATTCTGAAGTAAAAACTGTATTGTTACATGGAAAACAACCCTATTACACACTCACAAAAAGAAAAATTGATTCAAACAGTACATCTGTCAGTGTGAAAAATGCCAGTTAGTAATAAAATATATTGATCCATTGGAAATATTTTTATAAACATGTAACAAAAACAATATTTACAACTAAATTAGACAAATAAATATTTTAAACTAAACTTTAATGTAATATTTTACTTGAAAAAAAACTGCTGAAGAAATTGCACCTTATACATCAAATGGCTTTATAGCCAGAATAACAAATATGAGCATACATTTAGAGTAAACAAACATGGTCAAATCCTAAGGCATAGTAAAGTTTAACAGTAAAATTCGCATTATCAAATAGCTCGGCAAATAGTTCATTGTGGATTCCACATGAACATACTGGGCATGTTGAACCAGTGAAATAAAGTGCAGGAGGCAGGTTACACGGTTGGGAGGGGGAGGGTGGGGTATACTTTGCTATCATCCAGGACTTTACGAAACCTCATACCCAGGGGGGAGGGGGGGGGGAAAGGGGGAACCTTAATCAGGAATTTAGGAAACTCTTGCTCAGGGTGTTGGAATTCTCGCCCAGGGGTAAGGAAATTTCTAGTAAAAGTTAATGAAACTTTCAAAAAACCGGAAAGCCTATATAAAGTGGTATATCTGTTTCTTTGACTTCTGTATAGGAAGGGATAATGGGCTTAGCTAGACAGTATTTTTCCTGCAATATTATATGTGCAGTGCTTAAAGTCATGAGTTACTTTTTTTTACTGTACATACCACATCTAAAAAATCTTATGTGTATAGCTCCTACACTTTTCTTACTAAAAATTGTATACAAGTAAAATGTAATAATAAATAATGTACGTTGCTGACCACAGCTCTAACCTAACTAGGCCAGAAGTTGACCACTACTCTAACCTAACCACAACCAAAAATTAACCACTGCTCCAACCTCACCAGAGCCACAAGTTGACCACTACGCTAACATTCTAACCTAACCTAACCACAAGTTGACCACTACGCTAACCTAACCACAAGTTGACCACTATTCTAACCTAACCAGAACCACAAGTTGACCACTAAGCTAACCAGAGGCAATACTTCACATTGATCACAATGGCTGAAAAGTCGAAGAAAATCTAACCAACTACAAACCCATCGGTGGAGATCAATGAACCTATTTCTAAAAAAAATGTACTGGTAAAAATTCTTGCTCCAGAATGTATGTACAACCTGAATCACAACCCCAACATTAAAATCATGTAATAAATATCACTACGTTATTCATTTTACAACTAGATTTCAGGGATTCAGTGATTAGTTTTATACCAAAAATTGTGTTGTGTTTTAATAAGTTCTTATTGTTGTTTATAAACAAATATAACAGTTTAAAAAAAAAAATTCTTAAACTTTGTTTTTCTTTTATTAAATGGTGCAGTTTTTTTTATAGTTTTCATGATGTTTTTTTTTCTTAACGCAAACTCTTGCATTGAAGGCAACAGGTTTGAAAGAGTTAAAATACTGATAAAAATGCACTTATACTATTTATTGTGTAATGTTTGGTAAAATAAGTTTGACATAAGCTGATGCCTGACATGACCAGTGTTATGACACCTGACACATGATGTGACACTTGACATGAACAGCTGACATGCCCACACTACCCCCACTGACTAGCTTAACTTTCACCAGCATAAAAACAACATCTTGTACATTTCAATGTGAATGTACACACAAGGCGGAACTAAACAACTAGTTTATCTTAAAACTAGAAAATAATTTCACAACTACAACTACAACCAACAAATCAGCATACTAATGCTACTATTATGTTATATTCTTTGAGGCTGATAAAGTATTACGGTATCCTATGTGAAGTTAACTTTAACTCTAGTCCTAAACCAGGGGTCGGCAACCTTTTGAAGCGGAAGAGCCCAAAGTTACAATTTTCAAAATTTCCCTGGTTTTAAAGAGCCACTAAATTTTTTTTTTATTTCAAATATTTTTTTTTATTAAGTTTATTAGTATTTGTTCAAGGAGCTGGAGAGCCGCATCTAGATATCAAAAGAGCCGCATGCGGCCTCGCGAGCCGCAGGTTGCCGACCCCTGTCCTAAACCAACCCTAACCCTGGACAATACTTGACCCCAAAGAGTTATCTTTCAATTTAAGGCCAGCAGCCTGATGGTAAAAGAATGTACAAAAGCTAGCATACAATTTGGACATGAGCAACTTGGTATAAGTGTGTAAAAACACAATAAGTCCAGTTAAAACACTACAAAAAAGGTATACAGAGCAACGTTATTGTAAAAAACAACAAAGTTTAGAAAATAAATAATTCATATTTTTAACATGAATAAAGTGAATATACAATTACTGTATTCGAATCAATATGGAATTAAAAGAGAAATAAGATAAAAATAAGAATTCTAACTTTGAACATAAAGACACAATTATTGTAATGCAACCATTACAATGGGGAAAAAAGCACAAAAAATAGATTTAAAAAATAATGGTTCCAATTTTAGACATTAAAATACAATTATTAAGTCTACATCACATATAACTAAAGAAACCATGACAACAATTCATCTTTATTTATTTTTTAAATGCTTTAATTAAAAGCATTTGAAATTAAAACCAATAACATTATTATTCCCACTGTATTCATGCCTCACAACAGCACCTAGCAATCAAAACCTTTCTTTTGTAGAAAAAAATACAAAACATTAGGTCAAATGCAGATAAATAGCACATTTTTAACTGACTCATTATCAACATGATAACATAAGTTAATGTAAAATTTCGTCATGATTTACAATGGGTATAAAAAAGTTTGCTGTAAAAACCTTGTTTTGAAACTCCAAATTTAAAAAAAAATCAAATGTTGTGTGAGCATTAATGATAATAGTGCAATTATTTTGTTATCTATAAATACGTATGTAAAATTTGTTTTAACACATCCAAATCTATTTTAAAAAACCTGGCATTTAAAAACTATTGTTCAATAATTACATTATGTATAATAAGTCAAATTTCAAACACAGCATTATTTTTGTGTTTCATGTAATTTAGAATGGAATCGTTTTTTGTAATGTTTTTATACTGTACAATTTTATTCCATAGCTGATTTATTCATTCTACTTTCAACTACTAGGCTGAAAGACATGACCATCTGAAATGACACCTGATGTGACATCTGACATGACCACTTGACATGACCACACAACCACACTGACCAGATGAAATATTTATCACCTAGGGATGCTGTCATCAAAATTAAAAAGAGGTCCAGATGTTAGCTGTAATGTTTGCTTCATAGCTTTAACCCTGGTCTATTGTCATGGACTGTTCACCTGAAGCAGAAGACAACAGATCAGTCTGTTCACCTGAAGTAGAAGAAGACAACTGACCAGTCTGTTCACCTGAAGTAGAAGAAGACAACTGACCAGTCTGTTCACCTGAAGTAGAAGAAGACAACTGACCAGTCTCTTCACCTGAAGTAGAAGAAGACAACTGACCAGTCTGTTCACCTGATGTAGAAGACAACTGACCAATTGAAGCAGAAGACAACTGACCAGTCTGTTCACCTGAAGTAGAAGAAGACAACTGACCAGTCTGTTCACCTGAGACAGAAAACAACTGACCAGTCTGTTCACCTGAAGTAGAAGAAGACAACTGACCAATTGAAGCAGAAGACAACTGACCAGCAGAAACAGAAGACAACTGACCAGTCTGTTCACCTGAGGCAGAAGACAACTGACTAGCAGAAGCAGAAGACAACTGACCAGTCTGTTCACCTGAAGAAGAAGACACCTGACCAGTCTGTTCATCTGAGACAGAAAACAACTGACCAGTCTGTTCACCTGAAGTAGAAGAAGACAACTGACCAGTCTCTTCACCTGAAGTAGAAGAAGACAACTGACCAGTCTGTTCACCTGATGTAGAAGACAACTGACCAATTGAAGCAGAAGACAACTGACCAGTCTGTTCACCTGAAGTAGAAGAAGACAACTGACCAGTCTGTTCACCTGAGACAGAAAACAACTGACCAGTCTGTTCACCTGAAGTAGAAGAAGACAACTGACCAGTCTGTTCACCTGAAGTAGAAGAAGACAACTGACCAGTCTGTTCACCTGAAGTAGAAGAAGACAACTGACCAGTCTGTTCACCTGAAGTAGAAGACAACTGACCAGTCTGTTCACCTGAAGTAGAAGAAGACAACTGACCAGTCTGTTCACCTGAAGTAGAAGAAGACAACTGACCAGTCTGTTGACCTGAAGTAGAAGACGGCTGACCAATTGAAGCAGAAGACAACTGACCAGATGGTAAGTGACCAACACTCTGACTAACAGGAGGAGTGTGTTGCGTCAAGCCTTGAGCATTTCTGACAGGGTCCACATCCTCCATATCATCTTCATCATCATTCGGACCTGGCTGTTGAAGTAACGAGGTAATGTGACCAACGGTCAGCTCCAGAGTTTCCCCACCCTCTTCATTCCCAGACTTAGATTCTCTCAACGTCTTCACCATGTGGTAGATCTTCTCTTCTATCGTACCACGCACTAAGAAACGATGAATCTTGGTTTGCCTGAAATAAAAAAAAACCACCTTCGTTTTAAAATTTATAAAGATTTTAAAAATGCTAAACAAGACAAAAAAATTGTCTCTGCCAGCATTGAAAAGCAGCAGAAAACATTGGATTTAGAACACTACTGTACCAATTAAATAAATCCAATAAAACAAATATTATCATGGAGCTCTGAATCTGGTTCCAGGCTGTCCATTTTAAACCATCTATTTGACAGATGAAGCAGAATTTAGCCAATGTCAACCCAACTATGGTCAATTATGACATCCAAAAGAACCAAACATCAAACCTCTAGGACTTCTATAAATGATATCACATAATCAGGTATGTGGAATAGCTCAAGGGGTGAAAATCGGCTATAATAGTTGGTTGTTTCTCATCTAATTTGACCACTACCTGTACCATTCCTCATCTAATTATTTGACCACTACCTGTACTATTCCTCATCTAATTTGGCCAGTACTTGTACCATTCCTCACTTGGTTTGACCAGTACCTGTACCATTCCTCATCTAATTTGACCAGTACCTGTACCATTCCTCATGTAATTTGACCACTACCTGTACCATTCCTCACCTAATTTGACCAGTACCTGTACCATTCCTCATCTAATTTGACCAGTACCTGAACCATTCCTCATCTAATTTGACCAGTACCTGAACGATTCCTTATCTAATTTGACCAGTACCTGTACCATTCCTCATCTAATTTGACCAGTACCTGAACCATTCCTCATCTAATTTGACCAGTACCTGAACCATTCCTCATCTAATTTGACCAGTACCTGTACCATTCCTCATCTAATTTGACCAGTACCTGAACCATTCCTCATCTAATTTGATCAGTACCTGAACCATTCCTCATCTAATTTGATCAGTACCTGTACCATTCCTCACCTGGTTTGACCGATCCTGTAGATTCTAGAGATGGCCTGCGCCTCCTCTTCTAAATTTAACTCTGGCTCCACCAGAAGCACATGATTGGCCTCTACCAGGTTCAGTCCATTAGCACCAGAATGTAGGGGGAGGAGGAGAACTTGAATGGACTCTTCTGACTTGAAGGCTGATAAATTTTTCTAAAAATATAAAAATCTATGAATTTAGTATAAAACAAACATCCATTAATTTATTTAAAAGATAAAAATCAATATATTTCATGCAAAATAAAATTCCATTAAGTTAATATAAAATGAACATTTATTAAATAAAAAGCTGCATGAATTTTTTTACAAAACTATAAATCCACTAATTTAATAATAGCAAAAATTTTAAGTAATTTTTTAATACTTTATCCCTATCTTTAAAGAGTAAATTAGTCGTTGACAAATTAGTGATAAAGAAGGTCTAAACACAATGAATGATAAATAGCTCTAGCTGTCTTATATGTCTATGTGTACAAAAGACCATAAAATCAATCTAAACACCAGCCAATTCATTAGGAATCTCAAACAGAAAATCGACACAAGTGATTTTACAGGTGAACTCTACTTCACCTATCCTATGTATTTTCCAGGGCTGAAAAAGCTAGGTTTTTTTTTTTTTGCTTTTTTTTAAATGTGTCAAAGCAAGAAAAAAAGAAAACTGACCTGAAAATAGTTGAGATCATGGAGACTTTTGTAAATGATTTTGTTTTTAGCTAATGCAGCAGCCAAGATGTCTAGCACACTAACCCACTGAAAAACACAATAAATAATGTTTATAATCAGATTGCATGCTAACAGAGCTCTCACACACCAATTTCCACATTCTGAAGAATATTTTAAACAATGTTACTCAGAAACAAATACCTGGTCTATAGTGCCAAGAGAGGTAACTGTTTAAATCATGTGCAAATCACTAAGTATTGAACACTTACAACAGAAAACACCAAAGATTTGGCTGTGGGGTCCTCTTGTCTGATTTTAAGTAAACATTCTATAATGGCTTGAACTTTGGTGGAGTGACTGCCCTGAAGAAAGTGAGTTTTTTAAGGTAACATTTTTAAGAATATGTGTAAACACAATATTTAGGGGAATACCCATAAATGATGTCATTCCTAAGGGGAGGGGTGGCTTTAGACCATTGTGAAGATGTGTGACATGAAAGATGGGAGCACAGAAAGTGTGATATCATACCCTCATGTTTTAAAAAAAACCTTTTTGAACTGGATTTCAGGTATTATTCCAGAATACTTTTTAAAGTATTTTTTTTTAATTGAAGAAACGGTTCAAGCCCAGTTAAAGAAAGCTTTTTTTTAAAAAAAAAAAAAAAGAATTGGGGGTTGCCTGGAGTGTAATATCATTTGGGTGGGCGGGGTGATCCAACTTTTTGTGATGATTGGAGGAAGGTGTAAAAATTATTAAATAAGTGGGACATCGTTTAAAGTGTGGTCGAGTCGATAAAGCACATGGTTGCTGAACCGAAAAGTCTCGAGTTCGATACCCCGGGCAGATGAGGCTCGTTAGCTGGGGACAGCCACTCTTCTAGGAGAGAAAACTCCAAAATCAAACAACTGCTGCCTTTTAGTTTGTTCTTGGTTGGACAAAAGCTATGGAAGCAAATCCAAAAAGAAAAGCAGGCTGAAATCGGAGTCAATGGCCTCAATGGCGCATAACCAGTTGACACGTATCCTTAATTGTGATAGAGGCGTGGTCGAGTCGGCAAAAGCTCGATTCCTTCCAACAAATTAAGAACGAAGAAGAAGAAGAAGTTTAAAGAAATAACCATCAAGATTTCAATTTCTAAACCTTGAACATGTAACCTTCTCGGTTTCATAGCATTTCAAAATGTTCAGTTTTTGTTTAAAATAAATTAATTAAAATTTAAAAAATAAAACAAAACAAACCTTGACATCTGGACGAACTGTTTTTTTAGTTGTCACATAGGAGATCTCTCTCACTGACGTCATGTGACGACACATTGGACACTTGAGCCTTCGCTCCAGTATCTGACCACCAATCAAGTTGCGGTCAATCAAGGCCCGGATGCAGCGCAGGCAGTAACAATGACCGCACATTAACACACTCCACTACACAGAGAATAGTTTTATTTAGTTTGCAATTTAAGCTTTCAATAAACTTGCTCAACAACCATCGATAAAAACTAAATTTACAAACATATTGTAATTTAATATTAAACCACACACTTCATTGCATCTAAAATAAAAGTCTTATTCATTTTTTATTAAATTAAATTTATATCAAGCATTTGTGTATAAATATTATTAATTATACACAAAATTTCAAGATTCATAACAAGCAATAAACAGTTAAATAAACATTAAACCACATAAACACACCATTGAACATAATATAAAATTAATGCATATAGTTGACATCATGTGTAAATGCCTTATGCACACCTCCAGTCACCTCCAGTTTCTAACCACACATAGAAAACAAAACTATGGGTTATAAACAAAACAAAAACTTATTTAAACATAGTCAAGGGACATAGCCTCCCATTTCTAACCAAACAGAACACTAAAATAAGGGTTACAAACAAACGGTGGCCGGAAAGAACCGCAACGGAAAAAAGCGCAACGGAAAAAAGCGCAAATCAAAAAGCGCAACGGAAATAAGCGCACACAGAAAAAAGCGCAAAGAGAAAAAAGCGCACACAGAAAAAAGCGCAAAGAGAAAAAAGCGCAAACGGAAAAAAGCGCAAAGAGAAAAAAGCGCACACAGAAAAAAGCGCACACAGAAAAAAGCGCAAACGGAAAAAAGCGCAAAGAGAAAAAAGCGCACACGGAAAAAAGCGCAAAGAGAAAAAAGCGCAAACAGAAAAAAGCGCAAAGAGAAAAAAGCGCACACAGAAAAAAGCGCAAACGGAAAAAAGCGCAAACGGAAAAAAGCGCAAAGAGAAAAAAGCGCAAACGGAAAAAAGCGCAAACAGAAAAAAGCGCACACGGAAAAAAGCGCAAACGGAAACAAGCGCAAACGGAAAAAAGCGCAAACAGAAAAAAGCGCAAACAGAAAAAAGCGCACACAGAAAAAAGCGCAAACAGAAAAAAGCGCAAACGGAAAAAAGCGCAAACGGAAAAAAGCGCAAAGAGAAAAAAGCGCAAACGGAAAAAAGCGCAAACAGAAAAAAGCGCACACGGAAACAAGCGCAAACGGAAACAAGCGCAAACGGAAAAAAGCGCAAACAGAAAAAAGCGCAAACAGAAAAAAGCGCAAACAGAAAAAAGCGCACACAGAAAAAAGCGCAAACGGAAAAAAGCGCAAACGGAAAAAAGCGCAAACAGAAAAAAGCGCACACAGAAAAAAGCGCAAACGGAAAAAAGCGCAAACAGAAACAGAAAAATGCGCAACCAGAAAAAACAACGAAAAATGTGCAAAAGAGAAATTTAGCACAAAGACCATATGGACTAGATTACACATTTATACATGACTGTTAGGGCTGCTGTGAGAGTGTCGTGTTTGATCACGTGATCTACTACCATTTAAAGCGTACCACTACCATCTGCATTCCCATCACCACGATACAGGCGATAATCACTTTACACAATGCCTATTATTTTCTTGGTCAATAATTATTCAACTACTATTCTCGTATAAACATAAAACTATCGACATTACACGTAGTATCTTTCACATTCTCCCTAGTCCGAACTACCTAGCTTGCATACTATAACAACCCGTTCCTATGGCAAAACTTCACTCTCTTTATGACCCCCCATAACCCCCCCCCCCCCCTGCCTACGCCACTGCATATAAGTATTCGCATAGATTTAGAGTAGCGTCCCTTTTGTTTACATGTTTTCATTACCCTTCAAACAAAAGTCTATTTTAGTTATATTGAGATTAAAGAATGTAAATAAATAGTATACACAATTCTGTAGAATAGGAACGATTGGGAGGGAAGTGACATTGAGCGCAGTAAATTTAGAGGCTAGGTAGGGTATAATAAATGGTGGGGTTAGGAAAGTTAACGGTCCATTCTCTAATAGGCAATCTATGTCTCTTTCGTACTTTCGTGTTGGTTTATTGTCGAACCTGTCCTCACCTCACATCACAACAGTTGGGTGACGCTTACCGTGTAATGTTAAAATAAATAGCATGTAATTGAGTTAGTTCGAAGTGAGTTTTCATACAAGCCCAACGCACTAATTAAGGTTGTCGCAAAATGTAACATATATGTAACATATGTCAATGATGTCAATGAATTTTCATTAAAAAAAAGATGTCTAGTACAGTTTACGAAACTTACCAAATTCGCCGATACTTTTTTGGTGGGTAGTTTGGTAAGTATGTAGGCGGGTAGGTGGGTAGGTGGGTAAGTGGGTAAGTGGGTAGTTAGGTAGGTAGGTAGGTAGGTAGGTAGGTGGGTAGGTGGGTAGTAGGTAGGTAGGTGCGTCATGATGTGAAAAAATATTAAATACAAAATTGTTATTTTGGTGCGAATGAATGTTGTTACGAGAGATATGACGAATGCATGTTTGATGACGCGGATGAAAGAGAGTGAAGTTTTGCCATAGGAACGGGTTGTTATAGTATGCAAGCTAGGTAGTTCGGACTAGGGAGAATGTGAAAGATACTTCGTGTAATGTCGATAGTTTTATGTTTATACGAGAATAGTAGTTGAATAATTATTGACCAAGAAAATAATAGGCATTGTGTAAAGTGATTATCGCCTGTATCGTGGTGATGGGAATGCAGATGGTAGTGGTACGCTTTAAATGGTAGTAGATCACGTGATCAAACACGACACTCTCACAGCAGCCCTAACAGTCATGTATAAATGTGTAATCTAGTCCATATGGTCTTTGTGCTAAATTTCTCTTTTGCACATTTTTCGTTGTGTTTTTTCTGGTTGCGCATTTTTCTGTTTCTGTTTGCGCTTTTTTCCGTTTGCGCTTTTTTCTGTGTGCGCTTTTTTCTGTTTGCGCTTTTTTCTGTTTGCGTTTTTTTCTGTGTGCGCTTTTTTCTGTGTGCGCTTTTTTCTGTTTGCGCTTTTTTCCGTTTGCGCTTTTTTCCGTTTGCGCTTTTTTCCGTGTGCGCTTTTTTCCGTTTGCGCTTTTTTCCGTTTGCGCTTTTTTCTCTTTGCGCTTTTTTCCGTTTGCGCTTTTTTCCGTTTGCACTTTTTTCTGTGTGCGCTTTTTTCTGTTTGCGCTTTTTTCTCTTTGCGCTTTTTTCTGTTTGCGCTTTTTTCTGTGTGCGCTTTTTTCTCTTTGCGCTTTTTTCCGTTTGCGCTTTTTTCTCTTTGCGCTTTTTTCTGTGTGCGCTTTTTTCTCTTTGCGCTTTTTTCCGTGTGCGCTTATTTCCGTTGCGCTTTTTGATTTGCGCTTTTTTCCGTTGCGCTTTTTTCCGTTGCGGTTCTTTCTGGGAACCCAAACAAACACTTATGTTAAGCATAATAAAGGGAGATCACCTCAACACCCAGCTCCATCTGGCAAATAGGGCAGTTGTCTGGGTTACAGTCTTCACCATTGGAGTTCTACAAGAAGAAACAGGTTCTGATTAGACTAATGCAAGTTATCTTGGCTAACTATTAACAGTTTTAATTGTTATTTATGTGGTGGGATAGGGCGTCATTAGCGAGAGACTGCTAACCCAAAATTTCTACAGTTTGGTCCCTGCATTTTTGCTTATAGGATATCTCAGAGTCCACCAAGCTCTGGTGGGTACCAGAGTCACAATAGGGAAAGTAAAGGATGCTGAGAATAGGACTAATCATTTAATCTCTTTATGCCAAGGTTACAGAAACAGGTGAACTCTACTTTATCTGCTCTACTGACAAAGGTCAGAAAGAGTAACTTTACTTTTTAGATTGTTATATGCCTCAAGATTTGAATTATACATCTACAGTTAAAACTTAATCATGATTTGCATTAAATAGCTCCATTAGACTTGGTATAAGTATTGCTAGGAAAACACCCTCACAAAAAATATCAGTCTTGTACGTATTTCAGTCAATAGGAATAATATTGTATTACCTTCTTGGCCAGATTTTTGAGGTAAATCAACTGGCCCTGTTTTTTCTTGAGCTCCTCTCTACCAATGATCTCATCAGAGGAACACTTTAGCTCGTGCTGCAACATCTGGGTTAATAATAAAAAAAGAAATTTGGCTCTTTTTTTTTGTTTTTAGGAAAAATGTGGGTATTCAGATTGGTCTAATTGCTAAGCTGTATGGAACAGATTTTTGTTTAGTTCGTATTTTTATAATAAATCTGGTTCTAACCAAAATGCTAGTATAAACTACACACTAGATTTAAATTTAACATACATCAAAAACTAACATTTCCTATTTTTGTAATGTTTTGCTAATGTTTATTTTCTGTCATTTTTTAATATTTGTAAGCAGAATGTAACAATTGGTATTTAAAAAAAATAAACCTGGTTCTAACCAAAATGCTACTATAACTTAAACAATAGGTTTAAATTTGCCATGCATTGAAACCCAACCAACCCTAACTTGGTAATGAGGAACAACTACACTTATAGTACCAAAAATTATTTTTTTCTAGCAAGTGACTGGTAAAAAAAAAAAAAAAAAATCAAACTGTCGGCTGATAGGATTCAACAGGTCCACAACTTACATCTCTCTCTTCTATAACATTTGGTATTTTAGTAGCTGCCTCAGGTTCAAATCTTGTCCGTAGTCTCAGCCTCTCAGTTGCCATTTCACACTCATCAATAGCAGATACCATCTCTCTATGACTCAGCCAGAGTGAGCGTAAATTCTGACGGTAAAGTAAGAAACAGGATGTAATTATATTTATTTATCAATACTTGGTACAGAAGGGAAGGTGTGGTACAATGGTAGAGCATACAAATCTAACCCGAAAGTCTCAAGTTCAAGTCTGAGTTCAATTCCCAAATTCCAACCAGCTCTGATGGGTACCTAACTCATGTTAAGAAAAGTATAGGTAGCTGGGCATAGTGCTCACCACATGATCCCTTCATATATTAAGGTTACAGAAACAGGTGAACTATACTTCACTTGCCCCAAGGATCGTGAAGTTCAAAGGGGAAACTTTACCTTTACTTGTACAGATATATAAATGTTTCATGGGGATTGGCAATAAATTGGAAATTAAAGTTGTCTTGAAGAAAAAAAGGATGGTTTTTAGTCAAAATAAAAATTGTATTATAGAAACAAAAAAGTACTTCAGGCTTTTTTTATTGATTCCCATGCGTACAAATAGGTTTAAATAAATCTATGAAATATTTGTTGTAAAATCCATAAAAAAACTAAACATGTTAGATGAATTTGTAAAATATGAACTGCCAAATAGACAATGTATTTTTTATTTACCTTGAATTCTTTCTTTAAGGTTTCTAAATATTTTAACTGTGTAGATGCTGCCTCTAAAATATCATGGTCTGGATCTATGAATAAAATATTTTTTAAACCTTGAATTTAAGTATGCATGTATTCAAAAAAACAATTCATGACACTTCAATGGGCAAAATATTTGGAATATTATAAAAGTAACTAGCTGTAATATTTGTGTATAAGTTTATACGTTTAGCATGCAGACAACAGATTATGATGAAAGCAATTACCAAACTGGAGTCTGTAGAAGGACAAGATGCTCTTGAGAGACCTCTCCACCTCGCTGTCGGCCCAGGTGCCTTGTCTTTTGGTGCTCACCTGATAGGCCAGGTTGTTGTCATCACCTGACACAGTGATTCCCCTGCAGGGCAATTAATTAATTTGTTAATTAGTACTTTAAAACAGGGGGAAGCTACTGGATTCGAATTAGAATTGACGCTGGTTTGAAATTTAATAAAACTGTAACTGTGTACATACAAGTTTGACAAGTAAAGCGGGTCAGGCTAAGTATGGAAATCTGTCTGAAATTGGCTAACTAAAATATCACTTATAAATAGAATTACCTTTCTACAAAAAGAAACAACCTTGATTCATATTCATTGAATAATTCATCAACTTTACAAAAAGGGCACCTGTAAATCAATTATTTTGATTAGTGGCATACATTTATTTCAATAAAAATATATTAAAAAATCTTTTTTTTTAAATTGTACAAATTCGTTGCAGATTTACAAACTATTGTAGATTTTTAAACCAGTTTTTAACACATTTTGTCATTATTCTAGAAGTACATTTTACAATAATATACATCAGGTGTGGGAATTATAACTAATCAGGTTTCATGATATGACTGCCCTGTGCCTACAACCAGCTGATTTCAATTTGTATTAATTAGTTACCATCGTTCCGACAACATAATGACTGGCTAAATAATACCTAAGCCATGCAATTTCTATCAAACAAACATATCTGTCTGCTTATCAGTGCTTAAATGCTCCTTTTTTTTTAAATTACTATTACAAGAAAATCTTGTAATAAAATAAAAACCATAAAATAAAACTAGCTTACGTCTTAAGAACCTCTTCAACAGGTCTGAGACAACAGGAGGCTGCTGTCTGCACCAGAGCGTGTGACGTGTCGTTGGCCAGATTATCCAGGTCTGCCTTCAGGCTCTTCCTGGCTTTGTGGAGTGTCTGAAGGTGGGAGTCAATGATGTACATCAGACCACTAGCATCTGTAAATCTGTCAAGGGAAACAACTTTCTTTTAAACTCATGCAAATCTGTCAGGGGAAGCAACTTTCTTTTAAACTAGTGGCAACAATATTTTGTAAAATCTAATGGTAACGATGTTTTATTAATACCAACAGCAACAATAATTCTTTAGAATTAAATAATGACATCAATATTTTTTAGAGCTAAGTAATATAAAAAATGTACAGAAATATCTAATAGTAACAATTTGTTGTTGAAAAATAATAAGAAAATGGGAGCAATATGTTATTAAAACTTCATAATGGCCTTAAACATCTTGATAATAGTAATGTATACATTGTGAATTCAACACTACCAATGTTGCGACTGAAAATATTTAGCTTTAAAACACTATCAGTAGCTGGAGAAGGACTCTGCTTACTCTCCCTCTCCCCCTAGGACGATTATGCTGACTGGTGGGGATGGGAGTGGCAGCTATATGCCTAGAGAGGAGTAAGACATGCTTTTGTGCTTTTACATGGTGTCTCCCATGGTCCCCATGAAGCGAATTATATAGATAGAAGATAGAAGATAGAAGATGTGGAAACAATACATTTAATAAAAACTAATGACAGTGGGTAAAATTAAAAACTACTTGAAAAAATGAAATTAAATAGTCAGGAAGTTAGAATAATGTATTGCTAACATGTGATTAGGTAAAGATCTTATGATACTTCTATGTTGACTCAGCTTTACTTAGTACTCAACAAAAGTTTAGTATATAGAATAAGCCATCACCTTTTCTCTGAGAAACGGAGAAAAAGTGCTATGGCTGATGGTTGTGATTGGGGTTAACGAGATTGTTAGGGCCAGGTTACAAATTGGGTTTGGGTTAGGTATTGTTAGCAGCTAAGGCGATTTAACATCAGTCAAATTTTGAGATTTAACTTTACTTAACTTAGCATTTTAGGGTGCAAAAATTACATTTTGTACCACCAAATTTAAGCAAACCCGACCCCCCCCCCCCTCCCCCCTTTTACACATCCTCAAAACTTAAAGCCTCCCTATTGAGGGTAGCCGAGTTGGACGAGATGGTATCTAACATTGTTGTTGACATGGATAAAAACAATGTTGTTTTTTTTTTATTTTGCTACATGACCTAGTTCTGCCAGGTTTATTTACATTTTCAAAGATTAAAAAAAAATACATAATTGCTTTTGGCTTTTTAATAAACTTACTAAACACATTAAATACATCCCAGTTTTAGTAACGCCTGACAAAAAAACCTCGCAAAAAAAAAGCTTTTATAATAATGTTTATTTTAATAACATTGAACCCGATTTTAAAAATATTTAATGAACCATTCGAGACAATTCACAGTTGCTTCCATTTGTTCTGATGTAACAAATGGATGACTTAACTTACATGCCCACCAACCCACTACTTACACATCAGCAATGGTCCCCTCTGTTGTGGAGGTTCTGAGCAGATCATCTTTAATTTTACAGATGAGATCTTTCTCTATGGCCCTGTGTACAGCCATGTCCACAACATCAGCCCACCAGTCACCATCCAATGAAGAGAGCTAATTACCGAAAACAAACAGAAATAACAAAATATGCATAAAATGTTTAAGAAAATTTCATCTCTAAGCTAGTCATCAATATCTTTAAAATAAATATTAACTGTAGTAAAAATAAATTTTAAACTGTAAAGACATACTCTACTCTAATACAGAAACATGTTATATGAATAATAGACAATAAAAATTCTAATGAAAATTTTTGTATCACTTACACACTATTTCAATACAGAAAATTTGATATAATTTCTCTTTCTTCTTCTTTTTCATTCTTAATTTTTGTGTTGGAAGGGATCCCTTCCAACAAAATTAAGTATACGTGTTAACTGGTTATGCGCCATTGAGGCCATTGAAACAATTTCAGCCTGCTTTTCTTTTTATATTTGCTTCCATAGCCTTTGTTCAATCAAGAATAAACTACAAGGCAGCAGTTGTTTAAATTTGGAGTTGTCTCTCCAAGAAGAGCGGCTGTCCCCAGCTGGCGAGCCTCATCTGCTTGAGGGTTCGAACTCTTTTTTGGTTTAGCAACCATGAGTTTTACCGACTTGACCATGCCGACCCCTGATATAATTTGATACAGAACATTTAGTAAAAATATCAACATGTACTCTAATGAATGCCTTGTGTCTTCACAATGGACCAACCTTTAGTGTCAACTCATTCAATGATCTCTGTACCAGGTCCACAGCTTCCTTGCTGCTGGTGAAACTTGTTTTAGTTTTTGACATGTACTTTTCCTTCAAGGCGGCACACTAAGGAAGGATAAGATGTCACATGGTTTAGAATCAGTACCAGCAAAAGGTTAAGTTTCTCTTTCATGCTAGACATTTTGGCAGATAAAAGAAAGTTGATCTGTTTCTTTGACCACAATATTTGATGGTATGTTCAGCACTTTTTTCAGCCACTTTAATTTTTAGGTACCCACATAAGCTAGAGCTATCCTATAAACTAGTGTCCAGAAATCAACATTTAGACTTTCTATCACTAGTTCATGCCATCCCATTTGGGGATAACAACGTAATCATTATTTATGTACTTATTTTTGCAATAACAAACAGTTTAAAATTTGGTTAAGATAATTAATGTGTCTTTTTTCTTAAGTCATCATGTTTACCCATTCATGCCTAAGACACATGGGGCAGATGTTTCAGCTGTTTCAATGAACTCTGCATAAAGATGGATAGTGTGATCAAGACTGCCTTAGTTTCCCTAAGACTAGTCAAGTACCTATCAGAGCTGGGTGGACTGAGAAACATTATACAGATCTGAACTCAACTTTTGAGTTAGCCCTCATAAGCTCTACCATCTGAACATGGTGTCCCCTTTTTAAATAATACGTAGATATGTCAATTATTTTCCCGCTAGAAATGTGAGAGAGCAAGTACCTCATCCCTCAAGCTAGCATCACGGAGTGTTGGTGCCACGTTGTCCGGCTTCTTGTCGAGGATCTCAGCCAGGTTGTACATGGCATGGAGCTGCTGCAGGTCATCTGTCCGGAACTGATCTTTGTGTTCCTCCACTGACCTCAGGACATCTCTGTACTTCTCCACTGCTTCTGCCAGCTGGGGTCAGATCAAACAGGTGAGGTCAACAACTCAGGTGAGGTTAATAACATGAGAGGTATTTGGTTAAGTTAGATTTCATGAGATACAATTATACATATGTACCTTTTCCCTGTCTAACCCTACATCAACACCTCCACTCTTCCCCCATCAAACCTACACCAACACCTCCATATCTTTCCATCAAACCCTACATTCCCCTGTCTAACCCTACACCAACACCTCCATACCTGTCTAACCCCTACACCAACACCTCCATACCTTTCCCCTGTCTAACCATCAACACCTCCATACCTGTCTAACCCCTACACCAACACCTCCATACCTTTCCCCTGTCTAACCATCAACACCTCCATACCTTTCCCTTGTCTAACCATCAACACCTCCATACCTTTCTCCTGTCTAACCCTACACCAACACCTCCATACCTTTCCCCTGTCTAACCCCACATCAACACCTCCATACCTTTCCCCAGTCTAACCATCAACACCTTCATACCTTTCCCCTGTCTAACCATCAACACCTCCATACCTTTCCCCTGTCTAACCACCAACACCTTCATACCTTTCCCCTGTCTAACCATCAACACCTCCATACCTTTCCCCTGTCTAACCCTACACCAACACCTCCATACCCTTCCCCTGTCTAACCCTACACCAACACCTCCATACCTTTCCCCTATCTAACCCTACACCAACACCTCCATACCTTTCTCCTGTCTAACCATCAACACCTCCATACCTTTCCCCTGTCTAACCCTACACCAACACATCCATACCTTTCCCCTGTCTAACCATCAACACCTCCATACCTTTCCCCAGTCTAACCCTACATCAACACCTCCATACCTTTCCCCTGTCTAACCCTACAACACCTCCATACCTTTCCCCTGTCTAACCACCAACACCTTCATACCTTTCCCCTATCTAACCACCAACACCTCCATACCTTTCCCCTGTCTAACCACCAACACCCCCATTCCTTTCCCCTGTCTAACCACCAACACCCCCATTCCTTTCCCCTGTCTAACCACCAACACCTTCATACCTTTCCCCTATCTAACCACCAACACCTCCATACCTTTCCCCTGTCTAACCACCAACACCCCCATTCCTTTCCCCTGTCTAACCACCAACACCTTCATACCTTTCCCCTGTCTAACCCTACAACACCTCCATACCTTTCCCCTGTCTAACCACCAACACCTTCATACCTTTCCCCTATCTAACCACCAACACCTCCATACCTTTCCCCTGTCTAACCACCAACACCCCCATTCCTTTCCCCTGTCTAACCACCAACACCTTCATACCTTTCCCCTGTCTAACCACCAACACCTTCATACCTTTCCCCTATCTAACCACCAACACCTCCATACCTTTCCCCTGTCTAACCACCAACACCCCCATTCCTTTCCCCTGTCTAACCACCAACACCTTCATACCTTTCCCCTGTCTAACCACCAACACCTCCATACCTTTCCCCTGTCTAACCACCAACACCTTCATACCTTTCCCCTATCTAACCACCAACACCTCCATACCTTTCCCCTGTCTAACCACCAACACCCCCATTCCTTTCCCCTGTCTAACCACCAACACCTTCATACCTTTCCCCTGTCTAACCACCAACACCTTCATACCTTTCCCCTGTCTAACCACCAACACCTCCATACCTTTCCCCAGTCTAACCCTACATCAACACCTCCATACCTTTCCCCTGTCTAACCCTACAACACCTCCATACCTTTCCCCTGTCTAACCACCAACACCTTCATACCTTTCCCCTATCTAACCACCAACACCTCCATACCTTTCCCCTGTCTAACCACCAACACCTCCATACCTTTCCCCTATCTAACCACCAACACCTCCATACCTTTCCCCTGTCTAACCCTACACCACCTCCATACCTTTCCCCTGTCTAACCCTACACCACCTCCATACCTTTCCCCAGTCTAACCCTACATCAACACCTCCATACCTTTCCCCAGTCTAACCCTACAACACCTCCATACCTTTCCCCTATCTAACCCTACACCAACACCTCCATACCTTTCCCCAGTCTAACCCTACACCAACACCTCCATACCTTTCCCCTATCTAACCCTACACCAACACCTCCATACCTTTCCCCAGTCTAACCCTACATCAACACCTCCATACCTTTCCCCTGTCTAACCCTACAACACCTCCATACCTTTCCCCTATCTAACCCTACACCAACACCTCCATACCTTTCCCCAGTCTAACCCTACACCAACACCTCCATACCTTTCCCCTGTCTAACCCTACAACACCTCCATACCTTTCCCCTATCTAACCACCAACACCCCCATACCTTTCCCCTATCTAACCCTACACCAACACCTCCATACCTTTCCCCTATCTAACCACCAACACCTCCATACCTTTCCCCTGTCTAACTACCAACACCTCCATACCTTTCCTCTGTCTAACCCTACACCAACACCTCCATACCTTTCCCCTGTCTAACCCTACACCAACACCTCCATACCTTTCCCCTGTCTAATCATCAACACCTCCATACCTTTCTCCTGTCTAACCCTACACCAACACCTCCATACCTTTCCCCTGTCTAACCACCAACACCTCCATACCTTTCTCCAGTCTAACCATCAACACCTCCATACCTTTCCCCTGTCTAACCCTACACCAACACCTCCATACCTTTCCCCTGTCTAACCCTACAACACCTCCATACCTTTCCCCTGTCTAACCCTACACCAACACCTCCATACCTTTCCCCTGTCTAACCATCAACACCTCCATACCTTTCCCCAGTCTAACCCTACATTAACACCTCCATACCTTTCCCCTGTCTAACCCTACAACACCTCCATACCTTTCCTCTGTCTAACCCCTACACCAACACCTCCATACCTTTCCCCTGTCTAACCCGACACCAACACCTCCATACCTTTCCCCTGTCTAACCCTACAACACCTCCATACCTTTCCCCTGTCTAACCATCAACACCTCCATACCTTTCCCCTGTCTAACCCGACACCAACACCTCCATACCTTTCCCCTGTCTAACCCCTACACCAACACCTCCATACCTTTCCCCTGTCTAACCCTACACCAACACCTCCATACCTTTCCCCTGTCTAACCATCAACACCTCCATACCTTTCCCCTGTCTAACCCTCCAACACCTCCATACCTTTCCCCTCTAACCCTACACCAACATCTCCATACCTTTCCCCTGTCTAACCCGACACCAACACCTCCATACCTTTCCCCTGTCTAACCCTACATCAACACCTCCATACCTTTCCCCTGCCTAACCATCAACACCTCCATACCTTTCCCCTGTCTAACCCGACACCAACACCTCCATACCTTTCCCCTGTCTAACCCTACTTCAACACCTCCATACCTTTCCCCTGTCTAACCCGACACCAACACCTCCATACCTTTCCCCTGTCTAACCCTACTTCAACACCTCCATACCTTTCCCCTGTCTAACCCTACACCAACATCTCCATACCTTTCCCCTGTCTAACCCGACACCAACACCTCCATACCTTTCCCCTGTCTAACCCTACTTCAACACCTCCATACCTTTCCCCTGTCTAACCCGACACCAACACCTCCATACCTTTCCCCTGTCTAACCCTACTTCAACACCTCCATACCTTTCCCCTGTCTAACCATCAACACCTTCATACCTTTCCCCTGTCTAACCCTACTTCAACACCTCCATACCTTTCCCCTGTCTAACCATCAACACCTCCATACCTTTCCCCTGTCTAACCCTACATCAACACCTCCATACCTTTCCCCTGCCTAACCATCAACACCTCCATACCTTTCCCCTGTCTAACCCGACACCAACACCTCCATACCTTTCCCCTGTCTAACCCTACTTCAACACCTCCATACCTTTCCCCTGTCTAACCATCAACACCTTCATACCTTTCCCCAGTCTAACTACCAACACCTCCATACCTTTCCCCTGTCTAACCATCAACACCTCCATACCTTTCCCCAGTCTAACCCTACATCAACACCTCCATACCTTTCCCCTGTCTAACCCTACAACACCTCCATACCTGTTCCCCTGTCTAACCCTACACCAACACCTCCATACCTTTCCCCTGTCTAACCCCACAACATCTCCATACCTTTCCCCTGTCTAACTACCAACACCTCCATACCTTTCCCCTGAGTATCAACAGGCCAGCCTTGCCATTGAGTGAAGCTACTATCTGCCTGTGAGCCTCCTCACATTCTGTCTTCACCTTCTTGGTCATATGTTCCAGCAGTTCTTCCATTGTCATCATCCTACATAGGGGGAAAAAATATTTCATGTACAATTAATTAACTATCACCAGAAATTATTGCAATGGATAAAACAATAGCAGTATATATTTTAAAATTATAATTGAACACAACCTGATATAATTAGCAGACCACACTATACTTATAGAGTAGCATACAGTGTTGTGAAATATTTAAAGTAAGTGATTTGATTGCAAACATTCTACTTACGTTTTGTTAAGGGGCAAGAACTCTCCCCTGACAATCTGGGGGTGACAACAGGCCTGTCTTAGCCGGAACAAGGGACTCAGAAGCTGAAAACAATTGTTTTAATTATGTTATTATATGTTTGAATTTGGCTGTTTGGTTTTTGTTCATAAATAAATATATCACATCCTTTTTTATTTACACCATAAGTTCTAAAATTAGCCCAATAGTTTGTAAATATATATTTATAACTTGCATATGCTAAAAAAAAAAGCTGCAATAAATATAAATCACTTAAAAATAATTTGCACTATAAAACATAAAATAGGTAAAAGCTTTTTTTTTAATTCTTCATCTCAACAGCCAAAGGGAGATCAGGCTATTGAACTTAAAACAATGTTCATATTGTACTACCATGGCAACGAATCCTCATTCTACCAGTAAAAAACCACCTACTTCACTCATAGTTTTTCTATCCAGGGCATGGAGCTTGGTGTTGGGATCTTGAATATGCTGAGCTTTGTTCCTGTACTGTAAAAGAAAGAAAAACAGAAATTGTAACACTTTTGTACATAGTCGCTAAACCAACCTAGTTTAATTAAACAGATGGCGATTACAGTACCCAGTGGCGTCACAAGGTGGTGGGGGGGTACAGTCCATACTGGGTGACACCATTTAGGCAGTGAGACCATATGAAAAATTATAAAATTCACTGTTAAAACAATGTTTTATCCACCTTAGATAACAAAATAACAGGGGAGAAAGGTGACACCAAACCAGAATGCAAAATTGTTGGAGGGGGTGGGGGTGACACCCATATGGCTCATATCCCTGGAGGGTTACAAAGTCAAATAACAACAGGCTTCGGTAATTCAAAAGATAGATTTCCAGAAAAGTGTGAAACAACGACCTGTGGCAAATAAATCTCAAAACAACAGCCGATAGACAGGAATTATTAAACCACGCAAATGGGGATGTATAGGGCACGTCTTAAGAAAAGAGAATGTCAACATCGCGAGGCAGGCGATGGATTAGAACCTCAGGGGAAAAGATAAGTCGGGGCGAGGTCAAAACATCCTGGAGCAGAGGCGTAGCGACCCTTCCCGGCGCCCGTGGACAAACGTTTTAATTTGGCGCCCCCCCCCCCCCCTCAAACTTACGATTTTGGCGCCCCCTATATGTACCCCGACCCCCCCCCTCCCCTCTCTACGCCTCTATCCTGGAGGACTATGGAAGTAGAAGCTGCGGGGATGACATGATCTCAACAAAGCGAGCTGTAGCTGCAACCTTTTGCTCCTCATGGTCTTTACAGGTGTAAGTCAGTAAGTCAGGCATTAGGGGTGAGGGACATATGCCAACTAAATGAGACGGGTTTACTGGCGATAATCCGTTTGATAAGAGATGATACTCTGATTCTGGTGACGCGCTGTGATTTCATTCAAGTGACGCGCGGTGATTTCATTCAAGTGACGCGCGGTGATTTCATTCAAGTGCCGCGCGGTGATTTCATTCAAGTGACGCGCGGTGATTTCATTCAAGTGACGCGCGGTGAATTCATTCTAGTGACGCGCGGTGATTTGTGGGACGCGCTATATTTCTGGTGATACGCAGAAAAAAACATCACTAAGTGGCGCGCGGTGTTTCGGCTGACGCACGGTGAAATGATTCAAGTGATGCGCGGTGATTCTGTTGATGCGCGGTGATTCGGATGACGCGTGGTATATCTGATGACGCACGGTATATCTGCTGATGCGCGGTGAAATCATTCAAGTAACGCGCGGTATTTCTGGTGCCGTGCTATGAAAAAAGAAAATGAAAATTCACCTTCTTGCGCATTTTGCTTGAGTATTTTATTTTTAAAAGCGTTTTACAGTCATTTTATTTTACTATCTCTCAGATCGCAACGCCTCCACAATCGAGTACGAAAGTATATCACGATCTAGTTTTTGTGTTGAAGTAGTACTTTATCACAAAAACGAGCTACTGTATTTCCCTATCGCGTTATTTCTTTTCACTCTACACTCTACCCCACAAGAGCGGGAGGGGAAGTTGGATACTACACATATCTACGTATGAGTATGAATCATACACTATCAACAAGCACCTAAGAAAACGCGTACAAGCAAACGTGTTTATATTTCGGGGTTAGAGGTTAGAGAGCAACAAGGAAGTGAAGAAAAACGAGGCTGGGATAACACGGTGGTTGATTAGCTTGGGACGACACGGTACCTGGTTATTTATAACAGAGGAAATTAATCACCCATGAAGGATTAACACATAAGGTAAGAAATTATATTTGGGAAATAGATTTATTTATCTAAATTTCATGTCGATTTTATGTTCACAAAATTTGATCAGGTCTATTATCTTAAGCGTGACCGAGTTAATCACAATTTTAAAATCTTTTAAAGTATATCAAGCGGTAGGCGTGTAGAGAGCGGCCTAGTTCTTTTGTTACATAGTGTAGAAGTGGGAACCGTGCGTTACGTTTGACCAGGAGATTTTTCTCGAAAATAATTGCCTTCGAAGCTATTGCGCACTGCGCATAACAAGCAATTGCGACCACCGTTTAACTATCAAGCAATTTTTTGCCCTTCATTTGCGGCAAAGAAATTGCGCCCTTTCCAGTCATAACAGACTGTTGTAAGCTCGGTGAAAGCATCGGTGATGAGATGATCAACGGTATATGTGAATGTGTAGAGTGCATTGAACTTCGTTCAACGGATTGAGCACTTTGATTTCCCAGACTTGCGTTAGTGCCAGGTGAAGGAGTCAGGGACATCCCGTACACTGGCTGGGTGGAGTCAGGGACATCCCGTACACCGGCTGGGTGGAGTCAAGGACATCCCATACACCGGCTAGGTGGAGTCATGGAGTCAGGGACATACCAATTACCATACACCGGCTGGATGGAGTCAGGGACATACCAATTACCATACATCGGCTGGGTGGAGTCAGGGACATCCCGTACACCGGCTGGGTGGAGTCAGGGACATCCCGTACACCGGCTGGGTGGAGTCAGGGACATACCAATTACCATACATCGGCTGGGTGGAGTCAGGGACATACCAATTACCATACATCGGCTGGGTGGAGTCAGGGACATACCAATTACCATACATCGGCTGGGTGGAGTCAGGGACATACCAATTACCATACATCGGCTGGGTGGAGTCAGGGACATACCAATTACCATACACCGGCTGGATGGAGTCAGGGACATACCAATTACCATACACCGGCTGTGTGGAGTCAGGGACATCCCATACACCGGTTGTGTGGAGTCAGGGACATCCCATACACCGGCTGGGTGGAGTCAGGGACATCCCGTACACCGGCTGGGTGGAGTCAGGGACATACCATACACCGGCTGTGTGGAGTCAGGGACATACCAATTACCATACACCGGCTGAGTGGGGTCAGGGACATACCAATTACCATACACCGGCTGGGTGGAGTCAGGGACATCCCATTCACCGGCTGGGTGGAGTCAGGGACATACCAATTACCATAAACCGGCTAGGTGGAGTCAGGGACATCCGGTACACCTGCGGTTAGACTACACGCCCATATAAAAGTCGGTATCTCGGCGGAAATTTTCAATACTTTTATTACTAACGTAGCATTTAAACAACGTCCTATCTCTAAAGTCTAGAAAAATGTCAGTAGGGGGAATCCCCGCGCTTTGTTTCCCTTAAATCCGTATCTTCCCAGAAAATATGCAGGGCTGGCAAAGTTTGGCAAAAACCACTCTAGGGAATTATATATAGAAACCCCACACACCATGATCAACTTTAAAAGGGGTTACGAACGTTTCGGGTTACGAACGTTTCGGGTTACGAACGGAAAACCCGGTGCCAGCCGTAGATCTACATTGCAGTCTTCGCATACCACAGTGCACAATAGATCGAGTCCTTTCAACAAGACTTTATTTTAGCATTGTGTTGGAACTTGTCATAGCAAAACCAACGTTTCTATATACACAAGAACTCAAAGGTACATTCAATTTTCTTGTATCACTCGAGATTTGGTTTTCATGTTATCTATTTAAATTAAAACTTATCTATTTAGTAGACGTGCGCGAATGAAATAATGTACCATCTAGATCAGGGGTCTCCAAACTACGGATGCGGCCCGCGAGGTCCTCTAATCCGGCCCGCGGAGATCTTTTTGTCCACGAAAAAACGTTTGTTGGTGATGTCTGAGGAACTTTGCCCAGAAAAATCAAAGACATGCCTGGAAGAAACTGGCCCCCGAACTGAAAATTGATAGTTAATGCGGCCCTCGGACTGAAAAGTTTGGAGACCCCTGATCTAGATTAAGTGGCACAATTGTCAATAAGGTACGATGGGGTATGGGTTGGCAGCCCTTTGTTCATCAGGGGCTTCAAAAGATTAAGTCATGGGTTGGAGAAGGGAGATAATGACATAGCCAAGTTATTCATTCACTTGGATTATGCTTTGCTGACTCATTATTTAGATAGCAAGCGGTACTTATGGCGAGAAAAGAGGTCAGTGTAAAATTACAACCAAAAAAAAAAAACAAGACATAAATAATAGGAAATGGAAATGGGGAAATTGAACCATCAATTAAATTGTTACGGCTGGGTATGGGTAGGGAGGAGAGATTGGCACGTGCGCTGTGAAGTGCTGTGGTAAACATCAACACAGCCCACTCTTCTGTCAACACTTACGTAATGTGTGAGTAACTGTGATGAAGGAAATGATACAATGTTTTGTAACCTTCGGGCACTCCTCCCCCCCCCCCCCCCCGTCGAAAAAAGTAAACATAACTTCACATTTTAGCCGACCTACCACCAGCCTTAGGGGTCATCCATATAATGACGTCACGCCTTTTTGACGATTTTTTACCTCACCCCCTCCCCTCCGTCGTACACCGTCACAAAAAGCCAGACCCCCCCCTAAAATGACGTTACACCTCAGCATACAACCCCCTCCCTCAAAATTGCAGTTGAATTTTTCTTAAAATACGATATTTTTCCAATATATTGTCTGAACTCTTGTCAAAAGAGTATTTTTAATCACTTCCTATTAAAGTTTTCTAAAACGCGAAATAACGGCTAAAATTCGTTTTCCAACACTGCTTTTTTAAAATGGTTAAGTGTGACGTCACACCATCTGAACACACCCCCTCCCCCCCTCTCATCACACACCGTCACAAAATTACGGACCCCCCCCCCCCTCCCCCCTACGAGTGTGACTTCATTTATGGACGACCCCTTACTCATTTTCTGTTTCATTTTTGGAAAGTGATATAACCAGAGTAGGCTGAACATGCCGAGAGCATTACGTTTATTTCTGTATACAAGGAAAATGACGAAATGATATACCTAGTGCTGCTTGTTCGTTAGAATAATATTTCGCATTCAATATAAATATTGAAAATCTTAGAAAGTCTGGGTCGATATTAGATTCGTGGATACATTTTACATGAACAAGTTAGGCCTACTTGAATTTGGAATAAACACTGCGAAAATTCAGTTTAAAATTACCTGTTTCAAATGCGTGTTCAACGTTACACTTTCTTCCCCGCCCTCCTGCCCTTGACACACATAACGAAAGTCCGACCCCCCCCCCCCCTTTTCGCTAGTGTGACGTCATTTACGGACGACCCTAGACAAACCTGTGGCGGCTTGGAAGATTAGATTTAGAAACAACGTGGGGATGATCGGGGCGTCATACAATCTAGGGGCGCCCTAAAAAAAACTAGAGGTGTCTTGAAAATCTAAGGGCGCCCTAAAAACTAGGGATGAAAACAGATTAAGTGCTCAATGAAATGCCAGAAACCTTGAGCGTCTTAGAAACCAAGGGGTGCCTCCAAATTACGGCACTGTGATAAATAACCAAAGGTATCCTAACAACAGAGGGGTGCCCCCTTGAAACTTAGGGGTGTCTACAAATTAATATGATAACCTTAGAGTCCCATGACAACCTGCTTATATGTACTCAACTGTGTTATATTTTTTTATCTCATATTTTCTGATTATCTCATGGTTAATTTAATTTTTTTTACATCTTTGTAACACAGATGGGGATCACAGACCTCATGATCGTGTACACCCTCTTCTGCCTGTTAAATCACTCTCATGGTTACCAGAAACCGGACAGAGAACTAAATATACAACACACGCTCACACACAACAAAAGCTGCGAGATTCAAGGGACGCAAGCCAACTGTTCTTCCTTGGGCTTAGAAAAAATCCCGAGTTACCTCCCTTCCAACATTACAATACTGGATCTGTCCAACAACAAAATTGAAGAGATCCCACCCAATGCGCTGGTTTACTACCCCTCCTTACTGACCTTGGACATTAGCAGGAACAGGATAAGAACCGTTCACAACCAGAGCTTCGCAAACCTAACACAACTCAAGTACCTAGACGTCAGCTTTAACCTGCATTTATACCTGAGCAACTTAAGCCTGGCACTATGGGAGCTGCAACATTCAGACCTAGAGACTTTCAAGATGGAGTCTATCGTGTACCCATACTCCTCGGGGATACGCGTCCGCAGCGAGTTTGCCAGGAGCCTCCCGAGAAATATAAAAACGCTCGTGGCCTCCAACAACTGGATGGAGTGGGTGGGGAAAAATGTTCTAAAACATCTCCCAAAGAACTTGACATACCTGGATGTCAGCGACAACAAGTTCAGCTTCGGAGCTTACCTCAGCCAACTGGACTTGCTGAAAAACCTGGAAACTCTCAAGCTGAACAAAGGGACAGAAAGCTTTAGTTTACCTACCACCATCCCTACACTGGAGGACGACGAAGACAACCCAAACGAGGAACCGACACACGAAGATCAGGAAGTAAAGAATTATTCAAGCCCATCGAAACTACCACCAAATCTTAAAAATGTGGAAATACAATACGCAGGGTGGTCGTTTTCATTCACAGAGTTCCACATCCACCCGGATAACTCGCTGGAGAGTTTAGACTTGAGAGGGAACAACATCCCCAATCTTGTCGGACCGGTGACGGGTTTCGAAAAATTAAAAAAACTTGTTCTGTTCAACTGTAACATTAAAAAAGTCTCGGAGAGATTTTTTGACAATTTTCCAGCACTGGAGACACTAAATTTGAGCACAAACGCGTTTGGTTACAGCGTACTGAGAAACAACAGCAGACCCATCTTCAAGAAACTGTACAACCTCACAGACTTAGACCTTAGTTTTACAGACATCGCCACAGTTGACAGAAAAGTATTTGAAGGCCTGGCCAACTTGGAGAGGCTTCACCTGGAAAGAAACATCATGTACTACTTCAACGCCAACATCTCCCACATGACAAAACTTCAGTTTGTCAACTTCAGCAACACTGAGCTCAGCTGCCTCCGTCCTATCGTCACGGATACATTCGTCCAGCTTATCAAACACAACCCCAACTTCAGCATCGATTTCTCCGAGACCCCCATCCACTGTTTCTGTGCTAATTTCGTTTTCATCAAATGGATGATTGAGCATTCTTCCATTTTTACAAACAGAAACCGCTACAAATGCGTGTATGACGATACCTCTGAGAAATATCTAACAGACTTCAATGAAACCTACCGCATGTTACAAAGACAATGTGCAGACAACTACGAAGTATTTATTTTGGTTTCCTCCATCATGTGTCTTACGGTATCTGCCGTTATTGGTGCCATTTGCTACCGATTCAGATGGAAACTCAAATATTTGTATTACTCGGCTTATCTCTACTACAAAGATAAAGACAAAATCAAGCCAAGTCAAAAAGAGTTTAAATTTGATGTTTTTCTATCCTACGCTCACGAAGATGAAGACTTCATCGTCAACACGCTGTCCCCCTCGCTACAAGCCCTAGGGGTGAGATTACACATCCACGGGCTGAACTTCGCAGTCGGGCAGTACATCTCAATCAACATAGTGGAAGCTGTACAGAGCAGCCGCTACACGATGTTCGTCCTGACCAACAACCTTCTGGCTAGCAAGTGGTGTAAGTTTGAGATAGAGATGGCCAACATGGAGAGTGTTCATACCGGGCGCAACCTGCTGGTGTTTTTACTGGTGGGTGAGCTGAAGAAGGAGGATATGAGCACCCAGCTTTTGTACCACATAAAAAACAACACGTACATCCAATACCCGGACAACGTAGAGGACCTGAGCAAGATGAACATGTTTTGGAGAAAACTTGCAACGGATTTAAAGTCGTAAATTGTTATCAAAAAGTTAAAAGTCACACATTTCATGTCAAACCTATTGGTACTTCAGTTATGAATCTTAAGACAAAAAAGATGTAACGTCTTAAATAAATTAAAGACAAAAAAGCTAGTCTTAAGCTAAGAAATAAGAGTCATCGTGGAAAATAATGCATTTGTGGAGTCAGAATACTTAAAGCATATGACTGATAGAAAAATTTTAGCTTCTTAAAATGTGTTGAGGTCTGTTGGTTATGTATTTAAATTGAAAAAATTAATCTCATAACTGAATTCAACATCACAAGCTATTGTAAAGCAGTAGCACTTGTTTCAACAATATGGATTGATCGCCTAGAATTAATTGACTCACTGCGTATGCGTTGCGCAGGTAAACCTCGTACTGCCTGCGGTAGAAATGTTCCTCCACAGGAGAAAATGTCAGCCAGTTAATTTCTTCTGTCTGTGCAGGTAAATCAATCTGAGGGTTTTAAAAAAATGTATGATTGTGATTAAGTAAACAAAACATTTCTTTCTAATTACTTTATCTGGACAATTTTCAACCAGATCAGATTTTATCAATGAAAATTTTTTTACAAGACCCCGTGACCTAGCGCTAGAGAGCTAGACTGCTAACCCGAAAGTCTAGTTCAAATCTGGGTTCAAATCAGTGGAATGTCCCTGAGTCCACCCAGTTCGGATGGATACCTAACTCTCATTAAAGAAAGTAAAGGCGGCTGGGCATAATGCTGACCACATTATCCCTTCATATCCCAACATCAAGAAACATATAAACTCTACTTCATCTGCCCAATGGATTGCTAGGTCTAAAGAGGAATCTTTCCTTTTACTTTAAATGATTTATATTTGTGTAAATTAATCCCCTTTTTATAAAAAGTCAATTCAGCGTATAAGGTGTGGAATTACCCCGTGTGTGGAATTACCCCGGGTTACCCTATTGTTTAATTCAGAACTTTCACCCAATGTTAAATTGCTGTAAAAAAAAAGAAAATTATTACCTGATCAATGACATCCTTCTTGGCCGTCCTCCAAAGTATCTGGGCCAGAGCCTGGTGCATGGGGGCCGTGAAGCCATGACAAAAGGGCTCCCACACCAGGAGGCGGAACCACTGCTGGACCATGAGTGGGTCCACCCCAAGGAACAGGAGAAGGCCATAGATGTCTGTTGGAAATTAAATGGTTCGTTAGTGGGAAGCTTAATGAGTGGGTCCACCCCAAGGAATAGGAGAAGGCCGTAGATGTCTGTTGGAAATTTAATGGTTCGTTAGTGGGAAGCTTAATGAGTGGGTCCACCCTAAGGAATAGGAGAAGGCCGTAGATGTCTGTTGGAAATTTAATGGTTCATTAGTGAGAAGCTTAATGAGTGGGTCCACCCCAAGGAATAGGAGAAGGCCGTAGATGTCTGTTGGAAATTAAATGGTTCGTTAGTGAGAAGCTTAATGAGCTAATCAATGCCATGGAAGAGGAACAGTCTATAGATAGAAATGGTTCGTTATTGAGAACAGCCCATAGATGTCTGTAAAAATTAAATGGTTTGTTAACGAGGAACTTAATGAGTGGATCTGCCTCAAGGAAGATAAGCAATCCATTAAGTGTCTCATAGAAATTAAATAGTTTTTTCATGAAAATTTTATGAAACAGCAAGGTTGAATGGTGAATCATGACTCACATTAGGGAAAGTAAAGGCAGCTGGGCATAGTTCCTGACTATCCCTTCATGTGCCAACGTTACAGAAACAGGTGAACTCTACTTCACTTTCCCCAAGGACCATTAAGTTCAAAGGTGAACTTTACTGAATAAAAAGCTTAATAAGAATATAGTATTGTATTTCTATTATTTTTATTTCAATGCAATACAGCAACAGTTCTATATCAAGGACACATCAATAAAAGTAACAGAACAAAAAATCTAACATCAATATAAGTAACAATTAGAACAAAATATCTAACATCAATATAAGTAACAATTAGAACAAAATATCTAACATCAATATAAGTAACAATTAGAACAAAATACCTAACAAAATTTTACACTTACCTTCAACACTGCGCATGAGGGGTGTACCTGTAACACACCACCTATTCACAGCTTTAAGTTTCAAGGCCATTTCAGCAGTCTGCAAGTACAAACCCATTACACTCTATGGTTAAATTCAATGTATAAATGCTTTGAGAAATGCTTTCTTTTATAAACAATCAGTCTGTATTTTCATGTCTAGAGTTTTAACAGTAAACCTGCTGTTAGGCATAATAGTGTTAAATGGTTGAATATAAAAGTGCTTCTTTACATTTTTGTAATTAAATGTTTTGTTTAATTAAATTGTCTGTTGTTTTCTTTGTCTATAACCAATAACATTATGTAGCTTTCAGACTTGTGTATACGAGAGGTTAAAGCATTTTTTGTCTACAAAATCTTCAACATAGGTATATTAAGTGTTTGCGATGAGTAAATAAATAATTACATTCACGATAAAATGTGTGTCTGTACACTTTGTGAGTGGGCTATAATTGTACTACATCAAAGTTGTTCAGAGCTTTTTAAAGCTACCAAAGTAGAGACTAAGAAAATTTTGAAAATTCCATTTTCCAAGTTAGTACATAAATATGCCGCATATGATGTGTAGGTATTATTATAGACAATGAAACTGTAACTATTAAGCAAAAGCTTAAGTGTAACTTTTTTTTTTGTTTACATGTAATGACAACCACAACAACCCCATACCTTAGTAGTGACACACTCCACCATCTGTGCTTCATCAAGACAAATCTACAAGAGAAATATGAGAAGCTATAAACATGATGTATGTTTAGGTAATCTGTCATAAAAACACATTTTACATAGACACAAAAACACAATTCAGTTGACCAAAAATACATAGAAGTGAAACAAAATCCATTTGACTATCAACATTTTACATAGACACAAAAACACAATTCATTTGACCACAATTACATAGATGTAAAACAAAATCCATTTGACCACCAAACATTTTACATAGACACAAAAACACAATACATTTGACCACAACTATATAGATGTAAAACAAAATCCATTTGACTACCAACATTTTACATAGACACAAAAACACAATTCATTTACCACAATTACATAGATGTAAAACAAAATCCATTTGACCACCTAACATTTTACATAGACATAAAATAAAATTATTTTGACAACCATTGACATGACCACTGAGCTCAATAAACATGGAAATGAAAACAATTTACACAAACACAACTTACACTACCCCATAAAATATGTGATCTTTTTTTATCAATGTTTAAAGAATTCAAAGGGATAAACATAACTTTCATATTTTATACTAAGTAAAATACCACATCAAACTTAATACAAATTAGTATGCAAATAGTATGGTAGTTTATTGATATTAACTGTTTATATTCAAGCAAGATAAACTAAATGCAGGATACATTCTAACATCATCTATCACAATACTGTTAAACCTGCCTTTGTGTCCTGTGCTTCAGTGCATATCTATACTGTTTATTTTTGTATAAAATGTATTAGGATTTGCTAGTGGAATTAGAAAGATATATTAGTACAGATACAGACTCAAGCAAGTAGTATGATGGATGAATATTCATTTTTGAAAAAAATGAATATATTATTCTTTTTTTGCCAATTGTGTTAATGACTAATTTTAAATTTCAGTGAAGTGATTTTATAAATTGGTAAGAGCCATTGGAAAAAAAGTGTTGTTTTTTCTTTATCATATTATATTGTTTTAATTGTATTAATTAACTACTTTAATTATAATGACATTAAAATAACTACGTATTATATTTAAAATTGTTTGTCAAACTAACAAAGAAAGACTACATTTTTCATTAAATGAAAATAAAATTTGCTTTGCTAATTAATGTCCCAATAGAAATTATTACTAAAGAACTGTTAAAGCATTGTTCTTAATAATGAATCAAATTCCACCCATCTAGGTTCTGTTAACACTTAATAAGCATTTGACTTTAGTAAACCTAATATTAGTCAGCTTATATTTAATATTGCAAGTTTGAGAATGAGAGAATGATGAGTGGTAAAGTGGTAAAACTATGAACACTCACCCTCCACCACTCTACAGCCACCAAGGGGGACGGTGTTGCCAGGAATCTTTTAGGGTGCCTAAACCTTCTCCCAGATTCACCTGTTGAAGACAGCAACACATCAGTATTACATGTGCTTTTGTGATTTGGTATTTCAATGTCTTGAGGTGTTGATATAGTCATAGCAAGTAGTATCACTAGGTTGGGTTGACACATTTAAGTAGGGTGACAGACTTTGGTAGTGGCACATAGGGTGACATATTTAGGTAAGGTGACACTGGAAGGGTGACACATTTAGGTAAGGTGACATTGTAAGGGTGACACATTTAGGTAAGGTGACATTGGAAGGGTGACACATTTAGGTAAAGTGACATCAGAAGGGTGACACATTTAGGTAAGGTGACATTGGAAGAGTGACACATTTAGGTAAGATGACATTGGAAGGGTGACACATTTAGGTAAGGTGACATTGGAAGGGTGACACATTTAGGTAAGGTGACATTGGGAGGGTGACACATTTAGGTAAGATGACATTGGAAGGGTGACACATTTAGGTAAGGTGACATTGGAAGGGTGACACATTTAGGTAAGGTGACATTGGAAGAGTGACACATTTAGGTAAGATGACATTGGAAGGGTGACACATTTAGGTAAGGTGACATTGGAAGGGTGACACATTTAGGTAAGGTGACATTGGGAGGGTGACACATTTAGGTAAGGCGGCACACTTAAGTAGGGTGGCACACTTCTGGTGACACACCTAGGTAGGGTGACACACTTGGCTTGTGCACCAGGTGTGCCGAGTCAGCAAAGCCTCATGCACATACAACCTTCTCAGCCTCCCCCTTGCTAAGCCACAGCATTTTATTTAAGCAAGAAAAAATCTCTAGAAGAAATAATACTTGCTCTGGTTCTACTATAATTTACACTTTACTCAGGTGGTCTGAGCCCATAACAACATCAATGTATCGTCTCACTATAGGACTGGTAAGTAGGTCACCAATCAGATCTACGGCTCAATAAAACCTGCATGAGCCATAGAACTGGTTGGTGACCTACTTACCAGCCCTATATCTAAGTCACTGCATTCTATCAATATAAAGTTACCCTTAAAAACATGGCAATATATGGAGCAGATGAAGTAGAGTTCAGCTATTTCTGTAACCTTGGCATGTGGTTAGCACTATGCCAAGCTGCCTTTACTTTCCCCTAACATGATTCAAGTACCTATCAGAGACAGGTTGACTCAGTGACATCCTGCGGACTCGAACCCTAGATCCAAACTTGGGACTTTCAGGTTACAATCCACCAGTTAGCACTCAAACATTTTTTATTCATAGCATAGAAATTTGAGAGCACAGCTATTTGATATTCAGATATTCAAGTAACACCTGATACAACAAAGAAAAAAGAAAATCATTATTTTTACTTACTGTTGGTGTGAGGTATATTCACATAATCTAACTCCTTACGTAGCACATCATATGTCGTTATGACTATGTCTTGTTGAGCAAGTGTCTGAGGTTGAATGTAGCCTAATTTTGCCACGCCTGTGTATATCTATTTTATAAATAGAGGTAAAATTGCAAAGTTGATACCATGTAACAATAACCGCTGTTCACATTTTAATATTTCTCTATTGAAATAAAAAAAAAACTTGTCCTAAAAATAAGGTCTTCAAAAATAATTAAATAAAACACAATATGTATTTTTTTTGGTCATTTAAATTTCTGCATTGTAACAAAATAATTTTAAACATTCAGCTGGTTTAGCTGCATCACTTTTATAAGCAGCTGTAGACATTTAAGAGTTAATACATGCATAATATACCAACCAAATGCAACAAAGGCCACTGCTTGGCAGTACTTCCAAAACAGATTGTAAAAGAAAAAGTAGCATATTTTTAATGTGACTTACAAACACTCGAATGCTTCTCTCTTTGATGTGTTTGCTAATTTCTTCAATCCACTGGTGACATATAGAATATGGTGAGATGATCAAAGTTGCTCCTGATTCTATTGTAGTCTGAAAGGGTTAAATGGGTGATATGCTTATAATCTTAGTAGTCACACTCAAGGCATACAAAACATTAGTAACTTTACAGTGAGCTGGTATGGTTAAAAAACAGGACAGTAGACACACTCAACTATTTAAAGAAGGTAGACAGAAAATTAGTAACTTTACATTGAGCTTATATGGTTAGAAAGTTATGAAACAGAAGAAGGGAATAATTTTAAAACTTAACGTAAAATTTTTAAAAGCAAGTGAGCAAGAATTAAGTAATTGGATCCTGTCCACCTATTTTAGTGGAGAGGATAAAAACAAAAGTACCCTTAGGTTTATAAAATTTTCTTAATATATTACATATAAATATGAAATAACAACTGCTTTTAACAAACATTAAATAATTTTATAAATGAATTAAATAAATAAAGAAAACTATTACTTACATGTAATGCATGGCAGTGCGGACATCGGTACTGTCCCCTGTGTGGGTCCTTGAGGTCGTAGTTCATACATTCTGCATGTTGGGACATGCCACACAGATCGCACTTGACGGTGTGCAGCCCCTTCCTCCTGGTTTCATACTCATCGTCAAGCTGGCCACAGTTGCACTCAAAGAATTGTTTCTGGGCCGTCGGCTTAGTCGTGAAGTAGCTGGCCTCTTCCGACATGGGGACGTATTCAACGTAGCCTTTACGCTTTTTCTTTTCCTTAAGCACTGGGGTTACGCTAGCTTTTTGTAAGCCTTGTTTGAGTAACGATGAATCTAATACTGAGATACGACGAACTTTTGAACCACAAGCCTGTTCGATAGAGGCTCCGTTAGAGTTAAGGTTTTTAATGAAAACTTCGCCAACACCGTTAGTTGTGTGAAGATTATTTGAGTGTGTTACCTTAATTAGTATTTTTTCTTGCTGGCGATCATTACCAGGCTGATTAGTAATGCATGACACATTGTACACCAGCTTATTGTTAATACTTTGACTTATGTTTGATGCATGGGCTGACTTGAGATCAAAAGCAGTGGGAATGTCTGTTTCTGCGTCGTCAAGTATTTGTATTTCCTTACTATTCAGAAATGTTATCACACCTGCATCAACATTGCTCTGACAAGCTGATCTGTCGACCATGTCGACAGTTTGGGGATAACTTTCTTCATTAGTGAAGATGATTGTGTCGGAGCTACTGTTAGAATCCTGCGAGGGAACAGCCACTGATACAGACTTTATTTTATGGCTGTCAAAAACACAACTTCCGTTTTCATCATGTGTGTTTTCTGCATCATCAACATTCATTGTCTTTTCTTCTGAGTCCTCTACAGCATCTGAACAAAGATTATTTTCAACGCTAGAAAGTAGTGAACTTTCAAGCACTGGGGGTTTCTCTGAAAGTTCAAGATTCAGCGCTTCGGATGAAATACTGTTGTCATCACTACCTGTAATAGAATGCTTAAGTACTTTATCAGGTAGTTCAAGATTCGGAGCTTCAGAAGACAGGCTGTTGTCATCGCTACCTGTAACTGAATGTTTAAGTACTGGTAGTTTCTCAGGTAGTTCAAGCTGAGGAGCCTCTGAGGAGAGACTGTTCTCGTCACTACCTGCGGCTGAATCCTCCAGCGTCGGAAGTTCCTCAGGCAGTTCAATATTTGGCCTGGGGTTGAGTAGCATGCAGCAAAGCACCTCCACTGTTTTACCCAGGCCCATCTCGTCAGCTAGGATACCACCTGGCAGATGGGGTATGGCCTTTGGCTTCTCCCTAACCAGACTGCGAAACAGAAGAAAAATTTATGAAACATTCTTAACAATTATACAAAAGTGACATTGTATGTATAAGCTCAAAAAGAGACAGTTTTTAAACCTTATTAAAAAGTAATACATCAACTGCATCTGATTATTAGTATTATATTCAATTATCTTTTATTTTGAAATTTTTACTGTGGTTAAATAATTATTTAAATTTTTGTTAAATTTAAAATCCAAATCAGTACCTTCCTCCATGTCTGTTGTAGAAAAGAGCAGTTCCGTCTTTAAGAGTGACAGCACAATACAATGGATGCAGCTCTGTTGAGATAGGAAAATATTATATATTTCAAAACTTGTATCATCAAACTTGATATTGATAGTTTCAGTAAGGTAATCTGCTATTTATAAACCATATGTTATATAAAAACATGCAATCACCTATATAAATTTAAATCATATCACATATGATCTTTAAAATTTAAACATAAGATGTCCTTGCCAACTACAATTTAATTATTTAAGAAAGAATAATTTATTAATAAAATGAAAAGCAAGTACTTCATGTTATATTGAATCTCAAGAGTTTTAATACTTTTTTTGAGAAGAAGATACACATCAAATATCTTTAAAATATTTCAAAATACTACATTTATAACCATTTTTTCAATCAACCTTGTAGTACTTACCATTAATCTGTCTTTTAGTGGCTGTGTAATTTCTTTCTTGTCTCAGCATCCAGGCAACGCTCTGTTTCTGGTACTGTCTCAGGGTGGGTTTAAGGCAGCCGTGGTGAATCTGACTCACTTCTACAGTCCACGTAGGGTCTAAAGATAGCCTCTCCATCTGGACGGCCATCACACATTCATACAAGTGGAAAAAGTCATGCCCAGTTGTTCTTTCAACACCTTCATAGGCTGGAAATGCAGATTAATTTCATGGTAGCTATCTTCAAGAACTTTGTTATAATAGCAATTATAAAAACAATTCTAATTTAATATATTTTTATAACTACGAATGTCTTGTAAATCCACGCTTGAATATAGAAACACATTTGAATAAGTAGCTGAATGTACACTTGTTTCAGTGTATTATTAAGTGTATTCAAATGAATGCATCATGAACAACCTTTCATGTGTGTTTTCTGCATCATCAACATTCATTGTCTTTTCTTCAGAGTCCTCTACTTTTTTCCCTTAGTCTAATGGAAAATTTCTTCTCTTTACTCACTCAGCTTTGTTTAAGTTTTAAAAATAAATCAGTAATACTCACCATAAGGCAAACACATGTGATAGTAGTAGTCCATAAGTTTTTGTACAGCTAACTGGGGTATTTTGAAGCGCAATGATTCACTAGGATGAGACAACTTTAACACCAGTGTTTCACTACCATATATAGAAACAGTAAACTCCTTTTTGGTAGAGTCAAACTCATCACACAAAAGCTGGAATTTACAATAGATTTCATTTTTTAATATGATAAATAGTGTTATTTTAAAGTAAAAAAACCTAAGGTAGGTAATTTAATTTTTTTTGTTGAATATTTTTTTAATTTCCAGCAAATCAAAAAAATAAGAAAGGTGAATAGGTTAAAACAAACATTAAAATCAAACAACTGTCAAAGAACATAATCCAAAAAGCTAGACAAGGTTGTAAAACAACATTTTTTTTTGTTAGAAATAAACAACTTAACTTACCAAAAATGATTTGTGTTTGAGATTTGTTAAAACAGCAACGGGTACACTTAATGAAACAAACCAAAAGAGGCCAAACTTTGATTGGCGCGATTTGGTCCTTTTTTGCCGAGCTATGCTCTCACCATTTTTCTCTGTTTCAAAATACAACATACTTGTGTCCTTATGTGAAAGATATAACCAACAGTCTTCAAAGTCTGGAAGTACTTCTGGAAGAGGTGTGATTGAGGAATGGCTTACAAGTGTTACCTTGAACTGTCCGAATTCTAAGAAATGGGAATTGTTTTTCAACTTGACGGATGTGGCTTTACGTAGTGTTAAAGTGGAATGGCAGGATGCTAAATTCTGGTAGAAAGTGTCCACACACAGAGCATGTAGTGGTGTATGATTCGATGAGCTCACATCATTTTGTGGCGTTGAGGATGATGAGGAGGCAGCGTTGTCTACATTTACATTCTCAAGTATCTGATCACAAATAAATGTCTGGGAGTTGTTCATCTGTTCAAGCATGTTCCACTCAAGCTGCTGACGTTTTGCTTGGTCAGCAAACTTTGGGAGTGTTTGCTTTCTCTTTCCCATTTTTAGGGTGTGTTGCTTAAAAATCGTTAAGGAAACCTAAAATCAAACAAAGGCATAAAAACGCAAGTGTGAACAAATGATGTATTATTGTAAAAAAAAACGTAAAGAATAATAAACTAGTAAAATTACACTAAAATATATTTAATGCACTACTAGAAACTAGTATAGTTTAGTGTTATACAAAACAAAATATAAGATGTCACCGATAAATGACATCTGACTCTTATAATGGGGTGGCTGGTGATGATACACTTTTGCGTTTTAAAACATTATGTTAGAAACTGAATTTTAAGCAGATATTTTTATTTTTTTAAAAAGGCTGTTCTAGTAAATTGGACAGCGTATCCTAGCGGTGGAGCACTAGACTGCTAACCCGAAAAATCTCGAGTTCATATCTGGGTTCAAGTCAGTAGAATACCCCTTAGTCTACAAGCTCTGATAGATACCTAACTAAGACACTCCCATAATCTTCAGTCGCTTGGACCTGATGGTTCACCTTTAAGAAAAGTAAAAGGCGACTGGGCACAGTGCTGACAACACCATCCCTTCATTTGCTGAGGTCACAAAACAGATTATCTCAACTGCACTAGCCCCATGGACCAATAGGAACTTTACTTAGTAAATCAAAATAAAAAAATCTATTGATACAAACAATGTTTAGAGCTCAGATTCAATAAATACATTTTCATTTTGATCAAAAGAACTAAGTTTACCTTCAATTTGAAGTCATTTTTTTTTTATTGACCTGTTAATTCTATCTATAAGCGCCTAGGAAAATTAATTTTAACTATAACTAATACTTAGAGTAGCTGAATTATTTTTATCTGTTTAAATTTTCATAAATATAAAAGGTCATGTGATGGTAATATGTAGGCCAATGTCAACACTGCATGGAATGTACTTAAACAATAAAAGGCATGCCAAGTTTAGGCCTGTCAAGCAGCGGTTTTGTTTAAACAAGTTAATAAAAAGTCTAGTGACAATTTAAGCGCAATTTCCTTATGTTATCCATAATATTTTAACGAGTAGGCCTACACGATGCTCAGTTTAAAATAGCATCCTAGGCCTACACGATGCTCAGTTTAAATAATTATTAAAAAAATTTTGTGACCGAACGAAAGGATATTTTTGAAAACTTTCTTCGGCAATATTGGTTTAAATTATGGCAGGAATCGATTGGTAAATGTTTCAAGTCGCTAAGTGGTCTGGTTGCCGAGATATGGAGCAAAAACTGCATTTGTTCGAGGTTTTTTGGCTTATCCGGGAAATCCAGGAAGGAATTCCGGGAATTTTTTTGGCCTATGTTCATCCTCGGAACTTGCTTAACATATTTGCTTTTGGAACTAGTCCTCGATATTGCTTCGTTGAGGAGGAGATACGACTTAAAGGCTGCGGACACACATCCATCCAGAAATGACGAGTTAATAATCGCAATCCCAGTATGGAAATTGCGCTAAAAAAATAGGAGTATAGAATATGCCCATGTCCAACAATCTGAAAGCCTATACCTGCTCCCTCCTTACCCCTACAAGCGTGTTTCATTGGGTGGAAGTCAGATCTAGCATATCCTGGTGACTGAGTGGTACAATAATAAATGAAGTCAGTGATTAACTATTGATTAACAGTTATTAACCTCAATGGGAATATAAGCAAAGCACCTTGTCAAGTAAATATCTTCATTCAAGGCTGGTCCAAGTCAAAATTTAATTAATGAATAATTTTATAATGATGAACTGCTGAGTTCTTAGTGAGTGTGTTGTTTGTGGGGACTGTGTTGTCACTGTTGTGCAAATCTATCTGTTTTAGTGTCCCAAGGACCTATGGTCTATGGCGGCTATGGACACTATGGACTATGGTCATATCAAGTCATATGAAATATAATATATGTCATGATAATGATAATGGCATTAAATTGATCAATCATTAAAATTAATGTGGTGTGTGTACTCACTACTCAAGTGTAGTGTACTGTGCAGAATACTGAGTAAAAAAAGCGAATTAGTAGATTAGGCCTATACTCAAGAACACAGAACTGAAGAGCTAGGCTGATTGATTCTAATAGGAAATTGTTCAGATTCTAATTCAAGACTTTGAGTATCGTCCGTTATGCATAAACAGAAACTTCACTTTTTAAATTGTATTATTCTTTGGCTTAGGCCTTAAGCCTATTTGGTTAGGCCCTGATAAATTAATAATAAAACGAGTCTGCTTACCAACTAGATAGTTCTAAAATCTATGTTAAAAATAAAAACAAAACACAAGAGAAATAGTTTCAAAAGCGGTTTTACTAACTGCCGTATTCTTGTTATAATTAACTAAAACCACACCAGTAACACAAATTTAATTATGGTATTCCAAAAAATTTAGTAGCCTGGTATCTTATACTGCTCGCCTATTCCACATCTTTCACTCGGCGCTTTACTTAAAAGTGTGCTTTAATTAACTGCATGTGCAACTTCAAGCACAGATTTAACCCCCCCCCCCCTCGTGATTATTAGAGAGAAAGCAGTGTATCAACGAGTTAGATACATAATTGAATAATATATACTTTATATAGAATTCTAGATAAACACATCGTTAACATTAATTTCGCTCTGTTTGACCTCATCTCGTAGAAAAGGGGATGACACCAGGCACCGAATAAAAATGTTGCAAATTGTACAAAGAGAAAAACAAACATGTTTGCTAACTCAGATAAAAAAAAAACTGAGTGTATTCATCGAGACAAGGGTGATTTGCGGAAGCCTACTTATCTCACACCGCCTTTAGCAGATGCACGAGTAGACAGACCTTGTGGCAGCCACAAGCAAAAGACGAAGCTCATGGAAACAAATTTCACTACAAAAGAAGCAGTCGTAGCAAAAGTCCTTATCCTCGAGTAGGTTAAGACGTGTACTTACCTTGTAGTGTCACATATGAGTAGGTTTGGGGAGGGAACAGACACATAGTTTCTTCCAGGCATCCCACCCCCCCACCCCCCCCCCCCCCACACACACACGAAAGAAACACTAGTCTTGTTTAAGTGATTTCAGGAAGAGACTTTTCGTGTTGTGACGATGTGTGGTCATGGGAGGGGGGGGGGAGACTCAAACTGAGATTTTCCATCATACATTTTCATTGAAAGTTTTCCCGAATTACGTTGATTAATAAGCACCCCTACCAATTTCGGAAATGGAGAGGGGGTCATGGCGATTTTTTATAGACACTGTCTATAAACGCTGCAGCCGAAATTAATATTATATTTTTGTTGCTGCTACGCAATCGATGTAGAAAATATGGTTTAAAAAATTAGTCTGTATAGCTATGGACTATGAAAGTGCGTGTGTTTACTTTCTTTTAATTAACTTGTATTGCACAATTCAGTCATATCTCTTAAACTTAAATAGAGAATTTTAACATCTTTCTCTACCCCTTTTTAACTCACATTGATTCAGCGCTCTGAGCTGTTGCGCCCCACTCCTCGTCCCCCCGTCCCCCAGCTACGCCACAGCTTACTACACATTTCCTACACACCAATAAAGAGGGTGCTTGAGGACGCTGGGGTGTGTGCTGACAGCACGCTAAGAATTTGAATTTGCTGACGTAGAGTGCAACTTCCTGTACGCAAAAGACAATTTCATAGTCCTGGCTACGGAGTAATTCGTTGTTGTATGGCTAAATGTTTATTTTTATCGTTAACAATATTGTCGATTTTTATATTAAATTATATTTTCTTTTAGCTAGGTCATATTGTAATACTTTTAGATACTTATTTTAAGTTTTTGCTATCTTTCTTTTTAATTTGCAGTTTTGAAGTTGACATGTTTTGAACTGAAGACGAGGCTTGCAAGTTGACTTTATGTCGGCCATTGTAAACTAGAAAAATTATACGTAATACAAGCGAATGCCATCCTGCAAAGCGATTCATCAAACTTTCTTCATCTTCCCTGTGAATTAAAGATTGCATCTTCTACATTCAGATTTTAGATATATTTCTTGGATTAATTACACAGAAGGTGACCTAACGACTGCTTTAAAAACACAAAGCCGGTTCTCATAATGGCTTGTGGGGCAACTTTAAAACGTTCACTTGAATTTGATCCTCTGCACAGTCCTACACAAACGACTCCTATTAAACGCAGACGATGCATGCCGTTGACGATGGCCCAAACTGCACCACCTACCAAACTGCATCAACTAAATCCATCTCCTTTCCTAGATGTATCATCAAAGCTGACAAAAGGTTGGTTGCTAGATTCAAAATTTAGTGTTAATCACTGAGAGTGTTACTGTTAGTCTACTAATAAAATAAGTGTTATTAGTGTAGTCTAGGCTAGATCTAGGCCTAGTTTGGAAATCTATTTAAGATTTTTAAAGTAATTTAGTTGGTAGAATCTAGATTCTATAGATCTAGAATCTAGGCAAGTTCCAGTTTCACACCTGATGGACCATGGGGCGAGTGAAGTGAGAGAGTTCATCTGTTTCTGTTACATCGGCATATGAAGGGATAGTCATAGTGTGGTTAGCACTATGCCCAGCCGATCTTACTTTCCCTAAGATAAGCTTGGTGGACTGCAGTAAGGACGATGTACTGCATATGTACTGACTTGAACCAGGATTCAAAACCAGACCATACATTGAGTTTATATTACGCTTCGTAGATATCGCTAAAGTAAGCAATTAGGGCTTAATAAAGGTAGGCCTATTTCCTTTAAAAAACAACAGGTACTTAAGATTAGGCTACTGGTAGCTAACTAAATACGCAATTGACTTGCTAATGTTGGAGTATTGGATACTGATGTCAGACAATAAAATAGCTCCTCAAGCATGTATTTTGTTGGATCTTGCCTGATCCCAGAGACTAGTATAACAATTGTACCAGTGTCTAATAATGCTACAGTAATTCATCAATTGAACATAATGGAATCTTCCACAAAAGGGCTGTTAGATTACTGGTAATTAAGTAAATGAATAGGCCCTATTAAATGTATTATTTGCTAATGTCAACACTAACTCTTACTTCCATTATTCTAACCCTTTTTTCTGACTAACACTAAACTTGAGATTTGAATACTACAATGCCTATTTTTTGGAATAGTCATCAGTAATACCAATACTAAAAATACTAATATAATAATAATAATATAAATACTAAAATAATAGCAATACCCCTAACCCAGTTTCCGGCCCTAAAACTAAACCTGGTATTACTAAACTTCTAACAAGCTTATTAGCTATTTGCTCAAAAGTTCATTGTCAGGCCCTGGTAATAGTAATACCTGTTCTCCAGATTTTCATGGTAAAACATTCCTACAAGCTTGTAATATTCAGTCCTAAATAAAGATTGTTGTAGGAAAGTTTTACCATGAAAATTTATTTAGGTCTATGAAGTATTTTTCTGAAGGTTTCATAGGTGATTGTTTAAAAAGACCTACGAGAAGATTGCTATATCTGTTAACTAGATCTACTCATAGATTGATCTAAATCTTTTGCCTTGATCTACATAATCAGAAATGATAGGCCTATAGACTTATATTTCAGTAATCATTAGCTTTACTTTTGGGCTTTACTGTACTGAAAATAGTCATCTGATTCATAGACCTGACATAGATTTCATCTGGTTCTTTGACCATGGCATGGATGGTCTTTTAGTATTCAGACTGTATCATTCGTGCTTTAAAAAATATGTAATTTCCTTGAATGCCAATTTTATTGAAGATTTATTTGATATAGGCTTAATATGTTCTGGGGTCTAGGCCCCAGTCCTTATGGATGCCAAAAAATGCAAAAAAAGTTTTTGTAAGCATGGAGTTACCAATCTTTCTTGTTAACCATACATTTCTTAGCCTTAGACTATTGAATTGAAGTTCTAAATATATAAAACAATTATGACACCATAATTACCACTAATATAATATAGGCCTACATAAATTAATTCTTAATTGCTTTTGGAGTATTTTGGTGCTGTAAACATAAATGTCAGAGTGACATGGTTTAGTTTACTATGAAAGAGAATAGAATATACACACATTATCATCAAATTTAGGCTTAAATTATAGAATATATTTTAAATTTTGAAAATAGAATTAATAGACCTATATTAATCACTATACTATATTAAAGATGTCTGTACAATTCAGTAAGCTGCTGTGCATAAATATTGCCATTTATTAGTTTCATTACATTAGAGCCCTTTATATTTAGGTGTTTGCTATTATTCAATTATACTTTTGTATTGTTTTATTTATTTATTTTTTTACTATTTAGGCCCATTAGTGTTTTTTACATCAAGTTTAGGCATGTTTACAGAATATGGTCAGGCCAATCAACTTATTTATAGTAGCATGTAGGCATCTACTTTTAGTATTTTATCTCCCTATAGTTTATTATCATCCCTAAATAAATGCAGTCAGATTACATATATTTAGGGATAAGGTTTTTTATTTCACTTGCATATTTCTACTTTCTCCTAACACCATGTACAAAATTTGGAAGTGTAAAACATGTTTGAGCAAATATTGTTTTTCACAGGCCAAGCTTATTGTCTATATATTTTAAAATTTTATTGAATTGTAGAAAATATTTTAAACACATGAGCTAATTGCAACTATTCTTTTACAGAAGAAATCGCTGCCAGAATTGGATCAGAGTTAAAAAGAATGCAGAGAAGAAAGCAATTATTTTTACCTTCAGGATATCACAGTCCACCATTATCAACATGTTCAGCTCTTGGCCGTCAAAGTCCACCACTTACTCTAGATACCTTGACTTGTGTCAATTCTTCCAATGATTTTCCATCAACATCACAGTCAGCTTCTGGGTCATGTTCACCAAAGCAGAAAGATGTACCTTTGTTTACCTTTAAACAAGTGGCTATGATTTGTGAACGAATGGTTAGAGAACATGAAGAAAAAATAAGAGAAGACTATGACAAAGTTCTGAATAACAAGCTTTCAGGTACAAATATTTATTAGTCTGAGACTTTAAAAGCTCTTCTTTGCCAAGATCTGTAGGAGACATCATTTATTATCCAATTTCATTTCCTGGTCTACTTGTGACACATAAGAAAACAAAAATTGAATTATTTTGTGTGTGAAATTACTAGATTAAAATGTACCCATTATCCATAGCCAAATTATCTTAACCAAATTAAGACCCCTTTTAACACTATTGAAATACATCCTTGCCTGCACTGCATGTGGACTGTAGCAGTGTATGGGAGGATTTTATGATGAATACATTACATACAATAATAGATTTATTCATTTTTTCAGAACAGTATGAAGCATTTTTAAAGTTCAATCATGACCAGCTACAGAAAAGATTTGGAAATGCACCTATGAGCTGTAAGTAATAATCTTTTTTTAAAGCTCAATTGACCTGAATCTACATAGTTTTCAGTTATTTTAAAAAATGGTAGTTATAAAAAAAAACAGTGCCATCTGAAAATTTAGACATGATTTGTATTTTCTATTTTTGCTGCTTATTTATTTCTGTATAAATTCAGAATTAATTTACTTATTCAGTGCTTAACTTGATTTTTTTTTAAAAACTACAAGCAAAAATTTAACATGTTTCTATTTCATTTTCAGATGTTTCTTAATAACAGATGACCATAAAACTTGTACAAAAATCTGATATGTCAAAACAAGAAAATCACCTGTGGATTATGAAGCTTGACTATGTCATTTCAATTACCATTGGAGTTGCTATGGAAGCTTATTTCAATGGGCTGTTAGAATCAAGTTATAAGATAAATAGTAATATTTAATCACCAAAAAGTTGCTATTTATTATTAAAGATAATTCATATTTTATAGTACCAAAACTATTACTATTGCTGCTATGGTTTTTTTTTTTAAATGTTAGGATAGGTAGATTAGAGAGATAGCTATAGCTGAAAGGTTTTCTTTACTAAAGATTTATTAAAAGAATAGATTAGTTGGTTATAAAAAATAACATCTTTTGAGTTAATCCAGCAAATGTTCCACTTCAGTTCAACATGTAATGTTGCAGGACAAAGTGATTTAGTCAAATTTTTAAAAAATAAACTTTTGGATTTAAAAATTATTTTACAAAACATTGTATTGTTATATTATTTTATGGGTTGTGTACATATTCTGTTTTATTCTGCATAAACATTAAAATAATTACTTTATAACTTTATAAATTTCTTGAGTACATTTTTGTAATTACTATTGAAATAGCACTTTAAAAAGTTTATGGTTAATCAATATTTTACTGTTGAATTTTAAATTTGTCAGACTGACTGAATTTATAATTCTGTTGCTTTGTATAGCTTTTATGGTGTCAGCATTTTTTAATTTTAAAATTGCTGTCATCGAGCATTTCAGGTTTTTCTGTACCCTTGAAAACCTTTCCTGTTGTATCAGATTTAATAATTTGATGTAGAAACAATATTTTGTTTTTAATTATTTATCGTTTTGCTTGTTTTATTTATTTTTTTAATTACTGAATTTAAATTTTGTTATTAATTTTGTAATTTAATTGTAACCAAAGCCATGTTTAATATGGCTTTTAAAACAGCCCATAGGTATAAATAAGATGAGTAAGAAACTCATTAATTTAACTAACCAAATAAAAAAGCAAGTTAATGTCATCTTATTGTGAGAATAATTTTGGACATCATTTGCTATTTAGTCATCTGTTTCAACACGTGTCTATATTGTAAATACAATTTTGGAGCACATTTTTTGTTTAACAGTTAAGTTCTTTGCTGTAAAAAAAAAGTATGGTTTATTTAATGGGTTTTTATTTTTGGTGGTTGGGGCTTAAGATTTGATTTACAAGAAAAAATGTAATAAGCATGAGACAATCTGTAATTTTGTTAAGTATGATGTAAAAAATTATCCTTCGAGACTTCAAAGTAAAAATCTGAATAAAACAGTTGTTCCCAAAGCCAGTACTCCCATAAAATGACTAATTTTATGATGTGTTCTTACGGGTTGTAAATTTGGTTTGAATGCGAGCATTGAAGTGCATTAAAACAAATAAAATTAGCTTTTGAATGGTGTTTGTTTAAATTTGTACATACTTGTGCTATTTGTTCTTATCAATTTGTATACGATTTTAAAATGTTATTGTTGTCATTTAAAAAATGTGAATCCACTTGAAAAACCATTTTATGAAAAGTCCTTTATGCTTAAATAAGGATGGTCTTTGCTCATCTTAATTTGATCTTGATGCTTCTGTTTGAATGACTTAATTCACATTTGAGACTGCAATTATTCTTATGCCTAGTTTCTTTTTTTGCTCTTGTAATTTTTTTGAGTGTATGGATTTGTTGTGTATGTGTAACTGCTTATGCCATTCTTACCATGTTATAATTACATTGCCTGTAACTTCACCATGGATTATCAATATGAGCTGATCATTGTGTATTCTAGAATCTTGTATATGCATACTTATTAAATACTATGAAAACTTGTCATTTTAAAATGGGCATTTCTGTATACTGGCAAATTTAGAAACAAAAACTCCAACATTATCTGCCATGCTATACAATTTTAGAAAGTTCGTTTGGAAATGTTGACTTCATGGTGTTTTATGTCAGGTTTTGATACAATAAAGAAAATAAAGAAGTTTCCCACCATTTGTAATAGTTTCTTGTTTATTAATCATTGTACTTTTGGCCAGTCAAAATTCTAAACCCCCAGTGTCTTGTAGTTCTAGTTCTAAGGCTTCATTTGTAAAGTTTGACAAAAAAAGCTGACAAGGAGCTCAGTTGGTGATATCATTAGAATAGAAGCTTTGGTATCCTTTCAGCAGTTGCTGCAACCAAAATGGTATGTATTACCTAGCATTTTGGACTATACCAGCAAGGAGGAACCTTGATGCATGGGCAACCCATTATCTCTTCATGTGACGCCTGAGTATGTCCTCAGGTTGTCGTTCATTGCCTCGCCAGACTAAAGGAGACAGTATTTTAGCCATTTACTTCAGTTGCAGATATTAGGTTGTTCATGTTGTTGAACCGTTAAAATTATATTAATTTAAATAACAAAAACACATATTAAACTTGTCCAGATAGCTCAAGATCAGTGTTTCTTCCAGACTTTTTTCTCGGGGGGGGGGGGGGGGGGCACTTGAAATTTTCGGGGGGGGGGGGGCGGACTGTTAAAAGTATATATTTTCTAGATAAATTATATAAATTTCATTTTGTTCGGGGGGGGGGGGGCGGTAAAAAAAAGGTCAAATCACCATCCTCCAAAATATTAACACTACAGCAACGATCCACCTCCCCCTCCACCCTACCTCCCAACACTTGCTCCTCCCAAAACTTGCCATAGATTCATATATGTAGATATTTTTTTTCAGAAGCTGCAGTTCCGTGCAAAATATTTAGCATGAAGTTTTGTATAATGATCTAGTTTTACATCAAGATGGTTTTCAAAATTTCAGTTCTAAACCCCTTTCACCCCGAGGTATGGCGTTCTACGGAGAAAGTCTTATATCAAGTCTAGCTCTTTCTTTTAAAAAGTGTACAAAAGGTATCATGTTTTGAAGTTGAGAGCGGAACTAACACCACTTTCACTTTCATAGTCACTCCCACTATCACTATTGCCCGGCGTCATGTTTCCATGGTTTCTTTCAATTTTTACTCTTACACTGATTTTATTGATCTTTTTTATAGTTAGAAAAACAGTCTGGGGTTTACAGGGTAGTCGTAAAGGTATTAAACTGCCACCAGTTTATGGTGGTTGGATTCCTTGGCTAGGATGTGCGGTGGAATTTGGAAAACGTCCTTTGGATTTCATTGAACAAATGAGAAAAAAGGTAGAATATAACTATAATAACTAAGATTAATAAGCTAGATTATAAGAAAAGATTGAATTACTCTTAGATTTTAAATAAATTCCCAGATTATAGATTAAGATAGATATGTTTAATTATTAAAAAATTAATCTTTTTTTTTTAATTTAGAGTACGTCTAAATTTTGCTACATTTATTTTTAAATATTTATAATAATATTATTAAATATTAATATTTATCATTGATGATTTACTTCAATTTTAAAATCATAATTATATCTAAATGGAAAACCATATTAATGATAACAATCATTAGCATAATAACTTGCGGTAGGCTATTAAATAGAAATAGAGTAAGGATGGAGCCTTCATTTTTAAAATGATGTAATTTGTACTAGGCTAGGTCTAAATTTATGTCTTTATTTTTCAATTTGGATACAGCTAGGACCAGTATATACATTGAAGGTTGCTGGTGAGCGTATGACTTTTCTGACAGATTCTAAAGATTTTCATCACTTCTTTCAGTCTTCAAATGTTGACTTTCAAAAAGCTGTTCAGTCAGCTGTCCAGAAAGTTGGTAAGTTTTGTTTTAATCAGAACCATTTAAAACATTTAAAAATATAATATACTGCACTGTTTTCTCTTTCTTCCATTAGAGATGTTCTGGAGACTAAAGTAAAGAACAGGGTTTGGCATGGTTGGGCAGGTAAAGCTCTTATAGCTGCCTAACCAACAAGTCCTGAGTATGAAACCCCCCAGGCAGATGAGACCTGATAGCTGGGGACATCAATCCACCTAGGAGAGAAAACTCCAAAATCAAACAACTGCTGCCTTGTAGTTTGTTCTTGGATGGACAAAGGCTGTGGAAGCAAATGCAATAAGAAAAGCAGGCTGAAATGGGAGCATACAAAATATGGATAACAGTGTAGCAAGCAAGAACTACTATCCCAGGCATGTTATCTCCCCTTAAGAGATGGCTGGACCCTTAGATTACCACTGGGATTTTGAATCTCTTCCTATTGATTCCATAGCTGCATAATTAATTCACTTGTACTTGTATATTTTATCTTGCTACTAGATATCTCACAACTTTACCATTATTGTTTGTATATCAATATAATTTATAATTGACTTAATCTTTTTTCTCTCTTTTTTTGTTTTAAACAAACAAGTAATCAAGTTTATAATTTATTAATAAAAATAGATTCATTTTAATTTCAGCTTCTGTCACAGAAGATGCATTTTTTCAGAACCACACGAAAATTCATGATACAGTGAAAGGGCGTTTAGCTGCAGGTCATCTACAAAACATCTGTAAAAACCTAAATGGCGACTTCAAGAAATATCTCACTGATGTTAAGCTTCAGAGTGAGTGACTGAATGACTTGATTATGTATCTTTACAACCTAAAAAACAGATTGCTTTCTTGTTTTCATATATAACTCTTCTCTTTGGGGAGAGGGTAATTCTATGCCATTCACTGTCTCAGTTTAGCTGTTAAACTTTTCACTAGTAAGATACTTTGATTTTACATTTTATTACCAAACTAAACAGAAAACTCACTGAGGCAAAACACACTTGCAATAATTAAATAAATAATTACAAGATTTCTAAATAACCTGACAGTTAAAAAAAAAATCTACATTAATTATAGAGTATTTCCTGCAAATAAGTAGGCCACTATTTGGTGACAAATGGTGTAAGTACATAGCCTCACTGTTATAGGCATGGTATGATTATTTATTTTTGCATTGTTACTTATATATTACTAAATTTTGAACAAAACAAATTCCAATAATTAAAATATTTATTACATGTAGTAATATTTAGTATTAAACACATGTATTATTGAACACATGCTTATCTTTTTATCAAACTTTTCTAGATGAAAATAATAAATTTTCGAGCATGGACTTGAACAATATAATTCGTAGGACAATGTACCGGTCTGTTATGAACAACCTTTTTGGGGAAGATGTTTTGTTTGTTGATGAAAAGGTACTTAAAATTAAACTTTTGTGTATGTTTTTTAAAGCTTTTCACATTCTAAAATATGAATTGACCAAAAAATACGTTTGACATTTTTCCTGTTAAAAGATATAATATGTAATATGAAAGCAGTTTTTTTTATCTTTTTAGGATTTAAACTTGCATGTGTGTACTGTGTTATAATAAATGAGTTGGCATAAATTAAAAACATGTTTCAATAAAATATATTTTCAGGATGATTTTTCTGAGTTAGAAAAACATTTTGTAACATTTGATGATCAGTTTGAATATGGAACAAGGCTGCCAACCATTTTTTTAAAGTAGGTAACATTGTCAACATCTTTTAGAATACTAATTAATGGAAATTACAATAAATCTTTATTATTTTTTAACCAAGTACCTTGTAAATTATTTAAATGATCAGATTGTTAATTGTATTGGTCTATTAGTATTACTTACAATCTGATTTTTAAAGTTCCCTTTCAAATTTTCTAAATTTTAGTTAAAATATGAAAAACCTTAAAAAATGCTTATTATAACAATATAATTTTTTTTAAATTTTCTTATATTTTTTAAATATATAATTATAAAGGGAGTGGTCTACATCAAGATACTGGCTTTTGAAATTATTTAACAAAGTTGCACCAAAAATATTGAAAGAAATACCAGATGATACATCAAAAAGAGTAGGCTATGTTTTTTTAAAATATTATAGCTTGCCATACTAGACAATAAAATAGTATTCTAGTATAAGTTTATAAATATGTATTATGTAGACCATCGTGCAACTGACTCATTGACTGTATAAAAACTCATGCTTTATTAAAACATGTCAATAACTTCAGTTTCCTTTTTAGACCTGATGTTACAGAGTGGTCTTGACTATATCCAGACAAAATTTTCTGATACCAGAATATTTTAAGCATAAATTAGTAGGCCTATACTTTTTAGAGATAGGGTACAAAAAAACTTGGAAACAAATTGTTTAAAAAAATTAATAATTTTTCAGTCAGATGTTCATGATGCTCCAAGACTACTAAAACTAATAATGTAATTTATTCACCAGAACCTTCTTCAGTCCTTACTATCAGTTGTAGATAAAGAGCATGCACCTAACTGGAGCCTCCTGCTGTTATGGGCATCTTTAGCTAATGCTATACCAGTATGTTATAGAGTTTTACAAACATTAAGCTCCCTTTTCAAACCTGAGGGTCCATGGAGCAAGTGAAGTAGAGTTCACCTTTTTCTGTGTCCTCGGCATATGAAGGTACTAGCCTAGCCATCTTTACTGTCCCTGATTTGAGTTAGGTGGGTGGACTCATGGGCCCTCTACTGATTTGAACCAATTATCAAACTAGAGACTTTCAGGGTTAGCAATCTAGCGCTCTACCTCTAAGCCATGCTGTCCCCTTACAAACATTACTAAGTTAAATTAGTTTTAGTTAATTTAGATTTTAAAAAATTGTTTTTGATAAAGGTCATTTTTTTAAAAAAACAATCTAAGCTACTTAGTGTTTTTTAAATCATGTTAAAATAAAATTTCACTAAGAACAATGTATTTAATTAAAGTACTTTGGATTTTTTTGTGTATAGATTACTTTCTGGACACTGGCTAATATTTACAGTCACCCACAAGTTAAATCTAAAGTTCAAGATGAGGTAGATCGCTCAATAAATGATATGGACAATAGTAAGAAATGCTTGCATTTTATATTTCATTTTACCTAATGGCTATAATTTTTTGGTGATAAAATACATTTAAATTTGATTTAGACCTATAAATAGAGCTAAACCTAGGAAATAATAATAACATTATTAACATTTGCAATAGTTTTTAATGTTTGAACTAGATATGTTTCAAAGTGTCTTAATCAATAATGACTTTATTGTAAAAAAATCTCATATATCAAATATTTTAGCAGTAAATTAAAAAAAAGTTTGTTTTAAGTAAAACAAATCAATAAAGTTGGAAACACTTTTGTTTGCATTATTTCAGTATCAGAGTCTACTTTAGCAACTATGCCATACACTAAGCAGTGTGTCCTGGAAGCAATCCGCCTGAGATCACCAGGGATAATAACACGCAGGGTTGTTAAAGAAATCCAGATCAATGGTTTTACGATTCCATCTGGTGATCTGCTTATGGTGTCCCCTTTTTGGTCACACAGAAATCCACATCATTTCCCTGATCCACATCAGTACAAGCCAGTAAGTATAAAGTTATCTTGTATTAAATTTAGGTTTTGATAAATAAAAACACTGTCCTGAATAATGCATTAAAAGGGATTATAATTTAAAATAAGTTTATAAATTAATTTTATATTTATTAACTAGACCAACACTTATGGTTAGTATACAGTACTATTTGCAATTTTAAAAATTTAAATATACTTGTGATTATAGAAATGTTTTTTTCCATTAATTTTAATAGGAAAGATGGGATGGAGTAGATAAAAACTCTTTTCCTGAAGAGTTTATTGCATTTGGTGGTGGGCGTTACCAGTGCCCAGGGAGGTAATCATTCAAAACACATAGAACTGTTAACCTGTCAAAAATTTTAAACTATCTGCTTCTCTTTTTAATAAGATAGTATTATTTAATTAAACGACTTATTATAGTTTGGTCTTAAGGTGTATTTGCAAAAATTGACTCATAGTATCTTGTTCACCTAACAATTGTCTTTAATTTGCAGGTGGTTTGCATTGATGGAAATCCACATGTATGTCTGTATGTTTATGAAAATGTTTGACTGTAAATTATTACAAGGTGTACCAGATTTGGTGAGTAAAAAAAAAAATTATCTCCCTTTAAAAAATATGGTTTACTGCACAAATTCTTAGCCCAGAATTGAATACATTTTTTTGTTTTTTTTAAACAGTGTGAGTTGCATCTGGTTGGCTCACAGCAGCCTGTACAAAGTTGTCCTGTACTGTTGAAAAATAGACTGTCCTGAAGAGCATATTGATTTTGTAAAAAGTTTTTACATACATGTGTAAGTTATAATTGTTTTACTCACGTTTTTAAATCATGTATCTTTAATGGAACATTGTAACCACATTATTAAAGAACATAATTTAGTTTGTTTGAAAATGCATCAACCAGTAACTGTAGGATCATACAACCATGACCATTCATAATGACACTAATAAATGTATGAACTTTATGGTGCTAAAGAGAAAAGATATAAATAAAGGCAGAGTTCAATCTTATGCTTGCAACTTGCATAGATTTTTTTAAAAAATGTCTGCTAATTTGTCAAATGATTTCTTGCATCCCAAAAGCAGTCTGTGATACAGAAACTAATGCAGCAGTGTACCACAATTCTCTTGTTTTTCTAGTTACTATAGCCACTTAGCAAAACAATTGGTGAGCCTGATAATAAAACATGAATTGTTATTTTTATATTAAAGTAGTTTCATTTTTTTTTAGCCTGATAATAAAATATGAACTATGTTATTTTTTATATTAAAGTAGTTTTGTAGTTTCTTGACACAGGAATATTTTCATTCCATAATTTCTACCTCCGTTCAATATTTGATATGATACATGTATGAAAATTTGTTTTCACTAAAATAAGTAAATTTCAATTATATGATAAATGTAAAGCAATTACTTAAAATAAAAACATTTTTCTGATTTTGTATGATTTTTACCCTTGTTTGTAAAATGATTGATAATAAAAAAAAACAAGTGATTGATTTTGTTTTATTATAATTTACGATCTCTTGCAATTAATGAATTCAGGCAAGTAAATATAGCCAAACACTGTACATACATATAAATCCTCAATAGCAAACAAAACAAGCATAGAGTGTCTATTACATTCTCCCTCACTTCTATTAGTCTTCTGGAAACTTCTTGATTTATACTGCCGGCATTGCACATATAGACTATATAGTAGATAGGTAGCATACTACTAAAACATAAATGAAGCTAACAATTTTCTCAAAAGTATTTACATAACCATTCATACATATCTACAAAAATAAACTGAGTTAATATTTTTTCAATGTTTTCCTTATCAAGGCCATTCTCTGAAACGAGAAAAAGAAAGATTATTTTAACGTGATGCAATTCAAAAATTTGATGGAACTACTCATTGCATTTTTTTGTGTCAGCATTTAAGTAGTATGAGAATACTGATAATTAAGCATGCACCAATTATTATTAAAATACACAAGTTTTAAACTGATAATTATACATATAGATAATGAGACTATCAGTTATATGCACAAACTCACTTGTTTATGAGCTTCTGTTGTTATAGATTTCTTGTATGGACGAATCTCCTCAGAACCGAAACCAGGAATTTGTATGTTCCAGTTGCGTTCTGAAAAGCAAATGTTAACACATTTTCCACTGCAGAGAACTTAAACGAAGAATATAAAAAGAAAGATAAAAAAAAAACAATTATTTTAAAATTTTCTTTTACCTAAATACAACTGCACATCCTTTGCTTCTAAAGTATTGGAGCGCCTATGTTTTGCTAACTGACATGATGCTGCCACAACATTTTCAATAAAATCATCAGCAACTTGCAATAGAACCTTTATTGGAATAAAACAATTTAAAAAGTAAAAGTTGAGATTGTTAAAAATCAAAATGCAGCGTTCAAATTTTATTATGGCTGACATTTGGATAAAAGCAAAAAAAAAACTTTAAAAAATCATGAAAAAAAAATCTTAGTAATCTACTTCATACTGACAAGATAAGATAATAACAGCTGTTAGTGCATTAAAAATTAACTATTACTATTTCCTATCTTCATTTAAAAACACAATAGAGCCTCACATCTTCTACATCATCATCCATCTGCTCAAGAGGATCTACTTCTTTAACCAAATCCCTTAAGCGTGACTTGTCTAGAACCCCTTTAGTTTCAGACCCTGAGGCTCCTTGAGCAGCAGCATTAGCAGCTGCAGCTTGTGATGCTGCAGCCTGCCTTGATTCTAAAAGTTTTGATGCGCCCATGACCTAATGGAGAGAACAACAGTTTAGTCCTGCTAAACTAATTTAATTCATCAATAAATACTGCCGTAGAAGTTAAAACAATGGTTACATGTAGTAAAAACACTTAAGTAAAATCCTATTGCCTAATTCAACACAACAATGCACAACATGTGATTTTACACATAATACACAGCCATTTGATAGATATTAGAACTGATATTAGGGATTTTTCTAAAAAAAAAATATACACAAGAAAATACTCTGGACGGGGACAACACAGCCCAGAAAACATTCATTTTGTTATTAGCTAAAAATAGGTCAGCAGCATAAGCCTGATGAAAAAAAGTGGCTTGGCATTGTACTGGTGAAATATTCAGTTTACTAAACATCACTGTAGAAACAGTTGTGCTCTAGTTCATATTAAATGTTTATTTTAAAACACAGACAAGAGCATTTTATTGAGCAAGTAACCCCTAAATTTTATTAATTCTACTACAGCTAGGTAAGATGGTAAAGAGCTCGAATGCTACCCCATAAATCAGATATGGAACCAAACAATCTATTCATATTCTGTGATCAAAAGTCATATAAACTGATTAATTATTTCTTCCTTTGACTTTTAGACTGTTCAAGGGTAACTCACTACTTCAGTCATGTACTTTAACCTTAGGGAAAACAAAGAAAAAAGAATGTATGAGAACTCCTTACATTCCCAACAGGAACTATAATCTGCTCTGGCATAGACTGAACTGACTGCTGAGATCTAGCCATAATAGGGCTGCTGTTAGTTGCCATGATGATGGGTGAACTCATTGGACCATTATTCATGATTGCTGTTGAGTTGCTTGTAGCTGTATTCTGAGTAGAAGGATTTGGGCTGCTTGTGCCAGGATGGCCGTTAGTTGTTGTATTTAAAAGGTTCTGGAAACTGCTCATTTCAGGCTAAACTCCTTCAACTGAAAGAAAAAAAATGTCTTGAAAAAATAAAACCTGATGGTTTATGAAAATATTGTACCTTATTGTCATAGATCTAGTGAAAATAAATGGACTGCTCCGGATAGTTACAGATCTAGCAAAAAAAAAACAAAAAAACAACCTAACTTTGATCCCCTACCCTACCCACCCGCCGCCTTACAACATACCGCATGTCTCTACGAACGGGGTTAAAAGTTTAACTTTGAGTTCAAGAAGGGGAGGGGGTGGTATTCAACAACGAAGGTGTTTCTGTAATAGTACAAATACATAGTTTAAAAAATTATACTTACCGTAACTTACCTACTGCTATAGCATCATAAATAATTTTATAAATTAGCTAATTAATTAATTAACTAATTAAATATATCTAATGATAATGAAGGGAGATAGTTTATTTTGGTTAAGGCACGACACACAACACTGTGCGTGCCTGGTATGTGGCCTGACCGACCTAAAAGGAGATTGTTTATATTATTGTTTTGAGTTTATATTTAACTCAATGCAACGAGCCCGCCGGTTGGCTGAGGCCACGCCGGGGAGACGATCTGTCCGGGATTCAAAGGGACGACTCGAAATATCGTCCGATCACTGTTTTTGTTCTGCTAAATGGTTAATGCTGGTTTAACAGAACATGAGTTCAATGATTTTTCAATTTAAAAATTGTTGGGCATGTGAATTAATAATTGGTATTAATAAACAGTAAGAGTACAGTAAGAGTAAGAGGACATTAGCCCTCAAGTTACTTGAAGTTACAAGTCGTAACAAGTCAACCAACAAAATGTGTGTAGAATGGGAGTCGCAGTAGATGAGTAGAGAGTGCCAGAGAATGAGAGTAGGATGTGAATTTGATTGGTTTATTAATAGGCTATAGGCCTATAATTAAATAATTAGGTAATCTATCGTTTTGGGTACGTAAAATCGCCCGCGGCTATTTATGTACGAAAACGTTACCTCATTGTCAAGGCTTTAATAGAAGTATATTGTCATACTTTTGTGTCAAATATTATAGATAAATGAATAATAAACCTAAATCAATGGCTAAATATATCGATATAGGCCAGAAATTAACTTTAAACAGCAGTGTCTGAGAGCAAGATTTGCTATATAAACAGCAGCCATTTGTAAAATAGAGTGGCTTCCCCCTGAATCTGGCGCTAAAAGCTTATAAAAATAAAACTTAGACAAGATGGCTGCTATAGTAAATGAGCATGGTTGCATCTGTTGGAAACATCGCTAGTCTTCATTTATTACGGAAAAGTTTTAATTCAATTGTTTAAAATCAGGTACATAAATGAATCAAGGAAACATTTTTGAATTTTTTAATACATAAATCCTCCTCAAAATGTGAAATAATTTTTAAAATTTAAGGAGTCACCTGTTTTTCACATTACAAATCGCGGGCGATTTTACGTACCCAAAACGATAGATTACCAATAATTATTATTATTAATTTATTATTACTAATATAAATATTACACTAGTAAAAAAGTTTAGTTTACACTTTACAGTACAGATGGCAATATTGTTTGCCTAAGTACTGGTAGATCTAGATCTAGCACTATATTCTAGATCTAGTCTACTATAGCTACGTAACTATTTAATTTAATTTTCATTCTAAACCGGAGTCAGTTCGTTCAGGTTCAGTCAGTCACAGAGTCACAGTGACATTTTTTAAAAATATTCAATAAATATTGTTTATTTAATTTTATGTTTAAGCCTAGATTTAATCTACATAAATATATAGATAGATCTAGATCTTGCTCCTTACAGCGCTAGAAGAACACCGATGAATTTTTTTTTTTAGCTTATTGGCGAAGAATATCAAGTTGAACAAAAAACAATGAATATGGTAAGCTCCTTTGCTTTGCAGATTGTTTATGCTATGGAACTACGACTAGGTCGCCATTTTTAGGTTACTCTAAATTAAAAATACACCGAAAAAAAACCCAGCAAACAGTTTTTTTTAACGGTTACTTTAAGAGGTACAATTTGGAAATGTGACATGAGTTTTTGTATACTATTACACATTTATTATTTTTACTACAAAAAAAAATATTGTATTTTTTACTCAGGTACCCAACGATACTGTTGTTAAAAGAAAAGTTATTAGTGATTTTTGAAGCTTGCTTTGGACCACGTCCCCGCCCCCCCCCCCTCCTCGCTCAGCTAGGTAATAAATGTGATAGCCATTAAAATATTACGGAGAAAGACAGATTAAGCTTATTATGTGCATTAATATCAGAGTTACATAGACCAATTCGAAACGCTTTTTATCGCTAAAATTCACTGCTTATCTTATGTTTTACCTACAGTGATTTTCTCTTTATCATAGTACATCAGATCCTTCTCTCCTCCTTCCTTTTTCAATTGATTGGTTCGAATGTAGATGCAAATAAATCCTAAGATTTATGTTAAGCTATGGTAGGAGTAGTCCATTATTGACGTAACGCACCCCTCCCCCCATCCCTCACAATCACTTCTGACGTGGTGAAACACTTCAGTAAATAATCCCTGTCTAAAAAAAAATTTCTTTATAAAGCAAAAGGTTAAAACTGATTTTAAAAAAAAAAGTAGGCCTATGACTTAATTAATGACTTCTTCCCACGTCTTCGTCACAGTTCATCCCTAAAGTTCGATACCCCACCTTCACTCTAGGATCTTAAACTGACGTCAATAGTGGACTTTTTACTGTATCACGAACGGGAAAACATGATGAATACGTGGATAAAGATAGTAAATAAGCAGAGGCGCGGTTGCACTTTCATTGTACATATAATTTATTTAGTATAACTTCAATTATGTCATTAACAGATGCATTAGAAACTGCATAAGAATATCAACTCAAAACCCAAATATATGTAGGCCTACAAAGATAAAAATCCTATAAACTTTTCTTGCGTTCTGCTTAAGACAAATAAATTAGCCAATACGTCGTCTGTGATTCCTACGGCAACTTTAATAGTTAACAATTTGCTGTCATCGGAGCGTCAAGATTAAGGAATTCAGCATTTTGGATGTGTTTGAATTTTTTAATTTAACCAATATATATATATATATATATATATATATATATATATATATATATATATATATATATATATATATATATATATATATATATATATATATATATATATATATATATATATATATATATATATATATACACAGGCTAATTTAAAAAAAATAGATGTCTATTTGAAACGTTAACTTTTAAAAAACATTATATGCAATAGGCAGTACTGATAAAAAATACACGCAAACACGAATTTTATTAAAAATATATGATTTAATTTTAAATAATTATAAGTATGGAAAAAAAAATAAAAAAAAACACCCAAATAATCACTTTTATAATGATAACAAACATAATTGTCAAAACGAAGATAAAACATCTAATTTGCATCTGGTAATATTTGCCCAACACTGACATAATACTGTTTATCATTGCATGTCGATGTAATGCTTTATTCTATAGTGGCACGGCAGAGAAGGCTTGCGAGTTCAAAAACAAAGAACATATATATACATTTGTGTCTGGACATGCTCTGATTGTGGTTGCTGTTCACTATCTTCAATCCAATGATTCAGATAACAATGAATTCTAATTTCAATTAGATGATAAAACAAATAAGTTAGATTATAATGAAGTGTATATTATTATATAAATGCAGCGTTGCGAAATATCTTGGTAAGTAACTTCAGTCATTAAGCGTCTTATTATTGCGCATTCAGTTGACTACCATTGCGTACATTGTCAATATGATAGGTTTTTTTTTTTTGTTAAAAAAAAATAAATCTTTTTGTTCATAAAAAAATATTGTCCCAATTCATTAACCAAAGAAATGTATTCGTAAATCTGGTTCCAGTAACAGAGTCAATAGGATTAGGGTTAGGGGTTCTAAGACTAGACTTTTTGTCAGGTTAAGTAAGTACAAGGGACCGTGTTTTGATTAGGGTTAAGGTATTGCCGTAATATACGAATGTATGAGTATGACTTCAGACTTAGACTCTATCAACAAACACCAACATTCCGGGTACTCCTTCCATGATATTGATGTGTTTAGAACTGTTTTTTTTTTCTAATCTTTACAGTATGTTACACAAAGACGACGTCACCGCATCGTTTTCTCTCATTTCACACGATCCTCCGTTATCACTGCGGTAGTGGAACACAGTATTGCTCGCCAGATCGTACGATTGCGTTTTACGCACCCGGTCCGGGCGCATCGCTCTTCTGTCGCCGCCGGCTTCAAAATCGCTGGCGGGTTTGGCCAAGCCGGAAGCGATCCGCTTGTCCGCGTCGCGAAGAACGCTGAGCACGCTCACGTGACCGTATTTAATGGCCGCCCCGACAAGGGTCAAAGGGGAGAACGGCTCGAAGCAGTTGTTTTTCACCGAGGTGTCGCGGGTGTTCAAGTCAGCCGCACCGTTACACAGCAAGAACTGGGTGCGCTCCGAGTCCCCGGCCATGACAGCGTGGGCCAGTTCGATGGATGCCTCGTGTTCGATCAACATCTTCGACACACTTTCTTCTTTCGCGTTTTGCTTGGCGTACTCGACCAGGGTCTGGCCGTTGCGGGAGAGATTGACACGTGACCAGGATTTGACCAGCCGGTGAACCTGAGAACAAAATCGTGTGTGTTTTATTAAGTTGAAATCTAAGATAATGAATAAGGAATAAACATAGGCCTATTATTGTAGGAATACGACGTAATTTTTTGTGTTATTGAAATGTTAGCGTTCTTTAAACGAAATATCAGCTGAATATACCTTCCCCAACTCCCCCAACTAAATAAAGTAGACAAGTTTAGCCAGAGTATAATTCAACGGAGATCCGCCACAAGCAAATTTAACAGCTTTAGAGACACGTTTCTAACTGCAATTTGCCATAGTGATAGATTCTAGTCGCGGCTTTGGCAGCTTGTGTACCCTGACGACCGCGAAAGCTATACAAAGCGGAGGTTCAACCAAAAATGGGAAGATCTGCGTGGGTAGGGGTCAGACGAAAGATAGCTCTCCGGTCCTCCAGGTTGGAGGTTAAACAAAAGTCACAACCTTATTTCGAAAAAATAAAAAACCCACTACAGAAACCAAAGCGGAAAGCAGCAAGCTGTTTCTAAAATAATTGAAAAAAGAAGATGGGCCACGTTTTAAGTATAAATCCAGATGATATCAGATGAATGACACTCAACTGGACGCCTCTAGAAAAAAGGAAATAGTGAAGACTGGGGGAAACGCAGAGGCACTCAGAAGAAAAACAACCGAGAAAAACATGACTATCTTGGGGGAATGCTAGATAACTGCAAAGGGGCCGGCAAAGGTGGAAAGAGCTTTCCCTGTCTCGGGCACACAAGGGAAAAGATGATGATTGCAACCGCAACGGATTTAACGGCTTTGGGGACCCTTACCAGATGCAAAGAGATTTTAACGACTTTAGGGATCCTATAACTGTAGGAGATGTTGAAGGCGTTGGGGACTCTCCCCAACCCCCATCACCCACAAAAAATGTACTTTACGATGTTAAATAGTATTTTAAAAATGTATTAAAGAGTAACAACGTTTGAAAGAGACCTTGTACGGTGTGACGTCATGTACAGCCGACCAGTATGACGGTGTAAGGCGTCGTAAGATCTCCAGGATATCTGACTTGGCCACTCCCCTCACTTGCTCGGCTAGCTCCAAGTCCATCTCTTCCACCTCAGCACCGCATTTCAGTAAAGCTGCCAGTATCTGCGGCAAGACAATATACATTGATTTAAGGGAACTTCACATTTATAACAATAACATACTAAACATCCTAAACAAAGTTACATTGTCATTACTAAATTATTGTATGTTGTTGCGAAGATTTACTGAAACAAAACTATAAAGGGAATTTTGACTTACACCTTGGTAATTAATAATTCTAATATTTTCACACACATCTTTTAAAAGAAAAATATATCATTATATGCAGTACGGCACCTTCACGTCATGCATGTGTTGAAAGTTTACCAAAAAAAATAATGGCTTATTTGGCGATTAGGTGTCGTCTGTAAATGACGATACACCTAGGGAGGAGGGGGGTAGGGCAGGGGGATTCGGATTTTAATACACTGCATATATTCTGACGATGGAGTTCGGCCTTTAGTAACGACGTGTGAGGATAGTAGTTAGATTGAGGGTGGAGGGACTATGGTGAAAACCTGCCATATCGTCTGAATTTGTTTTAACGACGAAACCTAAGCCTCTAAGAGATCTTTATATTTCCTTTAAGTGAATGTTGGAGAAAGCCTCATAAATCTGACCACCCTGTAATTTAATGTAAAGATGTATCTATCCTAAAATGTAATGTAAATAATGTATTTATCCTAAACATATTTAATGTAAATGATGTATCTATCCTAAACATATTTAATGTAAACGATGTATCTATCCTAAACCTATTTAATGTAAATGATGTATCTATCCTAAACATATTTAATGTAAATGATGTATCTATCCTAAACCTATTTAATGTAAATGATGTATCTATCCTAAAACTATTTTATGTAAAGATGTATCTATCCTAAACCTAACTAATGTAAAGATGTATCTATCCTAAACCTAATTAATATAAAGATGTATCTATCCTAAACCTAATTAATGTAAATGATGTATCTATCATAAACCTAGTTAATGTAAAGATGTATCTATCCTAAACCTAACTAATGTAAAGATGTATCTATCCTAAACCTAAATAATGTAAAGATGTATCTATCCTAAACCTAAATAATGTAAAGATGTATCTATCCTAAACCTAAATAATGTAAAGATGTATCTATCCTAAACCTAATTAATGTAAAGTTGTATCTATCTCAAACCTAATTAATGTAAAGATGTATCTATCCTAAACCTAAATAATGTAAAGATGTATCTATCCTAAACCTAAATAATGTAAAGATGTATCTATCCTAAACCTAAATAATGTAAAGATGTATCTATCCTAAACCTAATTAATGTAAAGATGTATCTATCCTAAACCTAATTAATGTAAAGATGTATCTATCCTAAACCTAATTAATGTAAAGATGTATCTATCCTAAACCTAAATAATGTAAAGATGTATCTATCCTAAACCTAAATAATGTAAAGATGTATCTATCCTAAACTTATTTAATGTAAAGATGTATCTATCCTAACCCTAAATAATGTAAAGATGTATCTATCCTAAAGCTATTTAATTTAATGATGTATCTATCCTAAAGCTATTTAATGTAATGATGTATCTATTCTAAAGCTATTTAATGTAATGATGTATCTATCCTAAAGCTATTTAATGTAATGATGTTTCTATCCTAAAGCTATTTAATGTAAAGATATATCTATCCTAACCCTAACCTGAGGTAACCGTCTGAGGATCGCTATCCTCACGGCCGTGTTGCCGTCCTTGTCCTTGACATTTAGGTTGATGCCAGCGTTGGAGAGCTGGAACACCATGGGCACGTACTTGACCTCATGCTCGGGGGTGGCGTTGGTGGCGACAATGTGGAGGAAGGACATCCCACTGTGGGAGAGGATATAAAACTACGTTTATAGGTTGAGAGAGAGGGGGTGAGAGGGAGACGGATAGATAGGGAGAAATGGTGAGTGAGTGGGGGATAGAGAGATGGAGAGAGAGACAGAGAGAAGGGAATAGAGGAAAGATATATGAGAGAGAGAGAGAGAAGGGAATAGAGAAAAGATATATAAGAGAGAGAGAGAGAGAAGGGAATAGAGAAAAGAAATATAAGAGAGAGAGAGAGAAGGGAATAGAGAAAAGAAATATAAGAGAGAGAGAGAAGGGAATAGAGAAAAGATATATAAGAGAGAGAGAGAGAAGGGAATAGAGAAAAGATATATAAGAGAGAGATAGACAGAGAGAAGGGAATAGAAGTAGAGAAAAGATATAGGAGGGAGAGAGAGGTAGTGGGTGGGAGAGATACAGATAGAGAGTTACGTTGCTTCCCTCGGACACGCCATGTATTAGGACCACACGATAGCGTGGAGGGAATAGTGTGGAAAAAGATGTTAGCTTTTGACTGTAAAGGAAACCCCGCAGTCTTGTTCTACTCGAGACCCCAGGCTCCATGTTTCTCCGGAAGGGGAAGGGGGGTAGTCATTGTTGCCAGGTCCGAGTGAGTAATAGCTAGAGTTTTGATACTGCTACCCCATGTGGACAACGTGGCCTAGTGATAGAGCGCTAGGCCGCTAGCCCGAATCATCGGGGTTCAATTTAGTAGAGCATCCATGAATTCACTTAGCTCTGACGGGTACCTGACTCGCGTTAAGGAAATAAAGGCATCTACGCATAGTGCCGACCACACTATAAACTTTAAATGCTGAGCAGTTCAGCTCTCTACCGCTAGGCCACTCCATCCCCTATTAACGCAGTGAAGTAGAATAAGCCTGTTTTTGTAACCTCGGCATATAAATTGATAGCGTGGTTAGCACTAACCCTAACGTGTGTTAGGTACCCATTAGAGCTGGGTTGACTCAGGGACGTTCTACGTACTTGAACCCGGATTCGAACCCGGGGTTTGGCTAGGGTTTGAATGAAATATGAAACCTTACCGCTTTTACGACTTTAAAATTTTATTTAACACCGTTACGGGTCAGTTGTAGGTTAGATAGAAATAGTTTTAAAAGTTTACCCTAGAGTATTGTTATCCCAAGGTCGAATGCGGTATAAAAGTTGGAGTGAATTGTTGTAAGGGGTTAGTTGGTAGCGGTTAGGGCGAGGGCTACTCTGTTATGTGAAGAATTGAGTCCAAATAAAAGTATTGAAGTTAACCACGAATCGTTTCCTGAGCTGAACCAAACCCGGACGTAACAAACACTGCATTATAATGCCGGCCAATGTTGCACGCTGCAGGCCAGGAGCCCTTACCTTTTGGAACATATGGTGTGAGGACTTTCGCCCTGCCTCAGACACTCCAGCACCAGGATGTTGTTGCCCATAAGGATGGAGCGGGCGATACCAGACCTGGACATGGCATCGGTCAGTGGAGGAGCCTTGTCAGGTTTCTTTGGGGAATACAATAAAACAAGATTGTATCGGTGCTAACATTACCTGACTCTTCTAAAAATAGGCGTGCTGGGTTGTTAGTAGTATTGTAAAACCAGGTTTAGAATTAAGGTCAGTTATTAGGGTTATAACAATGGTAGGACATGGGTTAGTGTTTGGGTGAGGGATAGCGTTGTCGTTAACATTAGCATGGTATATTTGATTTTAGTTTACTACAACTAACTTAACACCCCTTTTTTTAAAGAAGATTCCATTTTTGTGACATTGTCAAACAACTCTCCAATGACGAATTTAGTGTTTATCCTGCATTTACACTACAGGGATGATTACGGACCACTAGTAAACAGAGCATGATGGTGTGATCTCTTCTTCTACCCTAACCCGAATCATAGATAGTATTGCATGACTTAGAAACTTGAACATGGTATGATGAATATTAAATTATATATATATCAGGTGAATGTATATATATATATATATATATATATATATATATATATATATATATATATATATATATATATATTATCGTCATATTTAGTCAGTTCTGGTTTCTTTTCGAAAGCTTCAGCAACCGAAGCTGGTACCTAAGGTAGTGCTTAGCATTCCTTAGGACTCTACATCAAAGATCACGATGTATGGGCAACTCATGATCTTTACATTTAATGCCCTGGTACCAGCCCCTAAGGTTCTCAGTAGTTTGGGCACATCCATCGTCTCACAGGGCATCATGTAGACATATTGTATTTAGTATAGGGATAGCGTAAAATAGTGATTATTTGTTTCTTAACGATGAACATTGGTACAGGCCAACTTCTCTTGTCCATCTCAGTGGCGTAGGCAAGGGATGATTAGGGGGGTTATAACCCCTCCCATTGACTCACACATGGAAAAATATTTGAACCCCTCACATGACCAATTCCTGGCTACGCCACTGGTCCATCTCCTAAGACACGAACCAATCATCCCGCAGTCAAGTCATGACATGATGAACAACTTACCACACACGCCTCTGCCTGCACCGCCTCGGGTGACTTAATGACTGTGACTTGACCCCGCCAGTACTGCGAGTACACAGCCTCGTCGGTCGTCAGCGGCTGGCTCTGGGACCTCGGCATCGGCGTCTTCTTGAAGACGCCCTGCTGCTTCACGTCCGTCCTCCCTTGCTGCTGGGGGGACTGGACCTGCGAGACGGACCCCCTCGGGGGTGACGCCCGCTCATTGTCAGCCAGCAAAGGTTCCGACACCGGGTCGTAATCCGAACTCACCAGCCCGTCTATCAGCACCTCGTTTTCTCCAGCACCGGATCTGTTCTTCGCCTTCTCCGATTTCTGAAACTGGCCCACCTCTTTGGGAGTTGAACCCACGCCAAAAGAAACACCCCCTTCCGCATCAGATGCCACACCATTGGTCTGTTTCATCCGGGTTGCATCGCCCAGCTCCCGAACATCCCCCAGCTCATGAAGATGCTTTTTGTCTGACGTCACAGTTTCTTGCAAGAGCAGCGGTTCCTCTTCTGTGTGGTCGAGGAACGTGGTTTCTATGTTAGCGATGTCCTCCACTGTGTCCGTTGCCACGGCAACCTGGCCGGCGTCCTCCCCTGGGCTTAGGTTACTCATCTAGTTGGTCTCTCACTTTCCTTTACAAACACGGGTACGTACACGTTGATCTCGTTGTTTTACATCATACTTGTAATAAATGTTAACGGTATGTTCGCTACAGTACTGTACCATCCGGAGTCAATAGTGAAAGCATATATCCATTCTTCTTTATTTTACTCAATGTCGTGTTAATTTAAAGGTAGGGTACTTGATTTTACTCCAAGCTCATGGATCACCTGTGTGGAAATTTTAATACATTTAATACATATAATTTTAATACATTATAATAAGTTTTTACTATAAGTGGAGAGGTTCAATTTTATCATTTTAAGAACAAGAGGCGTTGGGAGGGGGGGGGGGTATTAAGAAAAGTGATATATCGTTTATGAGGGCTGGTAGGATTATATAGTGTGTGGTATTTGTGCATATATGCCTATATGATCGTAGCATTATTGTTAATGCTAATCTTATTACCTGGGATAAGGACACTATAAGAATGAGAGTTAAGATTAAGGCTAGGACTTAGGACAATATCAGGGATAAGGTTAGGACCAGGTCTAAGGACAAATGTAAGGGTCAGGGATAAGGACAATAACATGGCTAAGGTAAGGACCAGAGGTAAGGACCATATAAATAGACAGTAGAGGGGCTAAGGTAAGGGCAGTTCTAAGGACAAATGTAAGGGTCAGGGATAAGGATAATAATATGGCTAAAGTAAGGACCAGAGGTAAGGACCATATAAATAGACAGTAACGGGGCTAGGGTAAGGGCCAGTCTAAGGACAAATGTAAGGGTCAGGGATAAGGATAATAACATGGCTAAAGTAAGGACCAGAGGTAAGGACCATATAAATAGACAGTAACGGGGCTAGGGTAAGGGCCAGTCTAAGGACAAATGTAAGGGTCAGGGATAAGGATAATAACATGGCTAAAGTAAGGACCAGAGGTAAGGACCATATAAATAGACAGTTGAGGGGCTAAGGTAAGGGCAGTTCTAAGGACAATATCAAGGCTTAACCACGAGTTAGAGGCAATATCAAGTTCAGAAGTAGAGATACAGGTTAGGCCTAAAACTATAGTTAGGATGATGGATGAAAAAAATATTTAAAAGATCACAGAAACTATAACTACAGGTTAGTTCTACAGTCTTTTTTTTTCGAACAAGAATTCCACCAATAGAGCTATGCTAGGGCTCTAACACACGAATCTTGTTCATCTCAATTATCCCATAACTAATCCAGAAGCTAAAGCCTTCTCGTAGTGATGTTATCCATTGTGTTGGCTACAGGACATTACCCCCCCCCCCCGAAAATTCCCCCCAGGACATCCCCCCCGTATTTACCCCCCGGAGCAATTACCCCCTGTCAATTACCCACCTGTCAATTACCCCCTTGGGAATTATCCCCCCCCCCCTCATCCACCAAGATAGAATGCTAATTCTAACTCCAAATCTATACCTATATATTACCTTAATCCTAAACTTAAGACAAAGACAAAAAAACCTAAGAATTCCCAATTCTAACTCGAAATCTATACCTATATATTACCTTAATCTTAACCTTAAGACAAAAGACGAAAGACCTTAGAATTCACCTCACCCAAAAATAAACCCAAAACCAAACCCAACTCTAGATATTTAAGCCTAACCCTGATCCTAACACTAAACCTAGCCCTAACCCTAGCCCTATCCCTAACTCTAGCCCTAAGCCTAACCCTAACCCTAACTCTAGCCCTAACTCTAACCCTAGCCCTAATCCTAGCCCTAACCCTAACTCTAGCCCTAAGCCTAAGCCTAAACCTAACCCTAGCCCTAACCCTAGCCCAAACTCGAACCCTAACTCTAACCATAACTGAACCTTAGTCTATGACCGGGGGGTAATGTCCTACTGGGCGGGGGGGGGGGGGGGAGGGTAAATGATAGGCGGTAATTGACAGGGGGGTAATTACTCCCGGGGGGGGGGGGTAATGACGTGGGGAATGTCCGGGGGATAATTGACTAAAGGGGGGGGGGGGGTAATGCCCTGTTCCCGTTGTATTAAAGGGTCGAATGCCAGAGCATACGACTGCTAACCCGAAAGCCTTGAGTTCGAAGCTGGGTTCTAGTCCGCAGAACTTCCCTGAGTCCACCCAACTCTGATGTGTACCTAGCTCACGTTAGGGAAAGTAAAGGCGGCTGGGCATAGTGCTGACCACACTATCTCTTCATATGCCGAGGTCACAGAAACAGATGAACTCTACTTCACTTGCTCCATGTGTAAAAAAGATCTTTACTTTTTTTACCTTATGCATTTTTTTTACGGCAAGTAGGTTTGGGGATTGATACAACGCAATTTGCAATATTAGTTGTAATAATATGTAGGTATGGCAGTCAGCCTAGTAACGTTTGGTGTAATCATATGTATACGTGATGTATTCATACAGCTTTTGTTTGGTAACTCGTTTTAGGTTTGGGTATGAGGTTAAGGTATTGTTATATACAATCTCAGCAATAAATAGGGGTCAGGATTGCTTAGACTCGGCAGTAGCATAGCGAGGGGGGGGGCGGGGGGGGGGGGGGACATATGTCCCCGGGCGCCGACGTTAGGGGGCGCCAAAATGGGTTGGAAAAATAAATTGAAAGGTTGAGGGGGGGGGGTGCAAATCAAAATCTTGAGGGGTGGGGTGGAAATCAAAAGTTTGAGGGGGGGGTGCAAATCGAAAAGTTTGTCCCCGGGCGCCGGGATGGGTCGCTACGCCTCTGAGACTCGGAATACATGAACTGTTCTTGTCAGCTGCTATTATACCAGCTGGATGCCAGATTAATTTCACTGAATCTAGACCAGGGCTCGTGTGTTAAACGTTACGGAAGCGACTCCAACAAAAAAATAACATGGATACGGCAATGACGGCCATCATACAATACATGGACCCACCCTTACCCTAAGTTTTAAGTTTAGTTATAAATCAATTAATATTACATGCTATCTCATAACGCGATCCATTGGTGTTAAGAATTAGACCTAACTAAACACCAGAAAGCAACCTAAACGCTAACCTACCAAAACCAAGTTTTCAAAACGGTCAGCACCAAAACAATCGCCAATATGGTGGAAAAGAAAAAGAGCATGTAAACAGGAGGTGACGTCATTTTAAATGCAATTATTTTTAAAAAGTTAAAAATTGGACAATATTTTAGAGATTATTTTATTACGTATACACACAAAACTAGCGCTGAAAGAATCAGATTCTTGTTTTTAGAGTGTAGGAAACAAATACGACAGGAACAAATAGTTGACAACAGAGTTTCTTACAGGCATCTCCCCCGAAGAACATCTACCCCCCCCCCACCCCGAACGAAATGGATTTTATATAGAAGATACATACTTTTACCAGTGTCCCGTCCCCCCTGAAATTTTAGCCCCCCCCCCCCCCCCCAAACTAGACTAACCAAAAGGGAAAAAGCAAAGTTTATTAAATCAAACATTATTTGAATCAACGTAATGCAATAGTTTCTATTTTTAAAAACCCATTGTTCTTAGTTAACAGATTTAAAAAATAGAGTATCTAATTGTTGATTTAAAACTATCGCTGCTTATAGTTAAGATCAGAATAAATCTTAATGTTGTTCAGGGTTTGGGAAATTTGGGGTAAGTTGCCGCCGTAGTTAATGTTAGGGTAGTTTAATCAGTAAAGATGGGCCTATCTGAGGCCGCCCATCGGGAACGCCTGCGTAAATCGTGAGCAGAGTTTCTTCCAGGAGCCCCCCCCCCCTCCCGAAAAAAAGTCTACCCCACCCCCCAAACGAAATGGAATTTATATAGAAAACATATACTTTTACCAGTGTCCGCCCCCTTACCCGAAAATAGCAAGTGCCCCCCCCCCCCCCCCCCCCCAGAGAAAAAAGTCTGGAAGAAACACTGATCGTGAGGTGCCGCGGTACTGAAGTTTAACCAGTGTTATTGTGATTAGATGACCTGCATATCTTAAGCACATCTGCAGCAAAGCGCGAGTCAGGTCCATAGACATTCACAACCCACAAGTGGGGAGGGATTGTGCATGCGCCGGGGGGAACAGAAGAAAACACGGCCAATCAGGCTCTAGCGAGACTGGTTTTCAAGAAGAAAAAAATGAAAAGTTAAAAAAAGTAGCTCCCCTTTCAGACCTAATGGTCCATAGGGCAGATGAAGTAGTGTTCATGTATTTCTTGACCTCGGCATATCAGGGGATAATGTCAGCACTAAACACAGTCGCTTTTACTTTTATTAACTCAAGTCCGGACCGAGCTCCGAATTAGATACTTTCGGGTCAGCAGTTAAGTGCGCTACCTTTCAGCCACATCGTCCCCCGAATAAGGAAACGGCTAGCCGGAGAGAAAAGGCAACAAAAGCTGCAGGAATTACAAGGGCAAACAAAGGTACAAATGAAGAGAGTCGCCCAGAACCAAGTCTGTTTGATAAAAATGCAGTCTCAGCCCTCTGCTCCAAAGAGGTATCACAGTTAAGTCAAGTCATTGCGATAATTACACATCAAGTATCCCTTTAAGGCATCTCTTAGAAAGGGGGGGGGGGGATTTATATTCATAATATATACTTTAACCGATGTCCGCCAAGTGCCCCCCCACCACCGAAAGTTTTAAGTGCCCCCCCCCCCCGAGAAAGAATGTCTGAATGAAACACTGATCCCTTGTAGCCCGGGGATGTTAGCCGGTAATCACCACACATTTGAAAACGATTTCTTCACGTTAACAAATTGTATAACCTAAGTGAAGTATAATACATTTTATTTTTAATCTCTAAACGTGCCTGGCAAATAATAATATATTTCACATATTAAGCACTTTACATTATCGAACAATATCATTTTTTAAAAAAAAAAAAAGGTTGTGTTGTAAAATTAAATAACGACCAAAAACCAACCTGGACACCACGAAACACTACACAAACCAGAAGATCAAATGATGTAAGTAAAGAGAAAATAAAACACACACTCAAAGTGGAACAAAGGTCACGTGACAAATAGCTCAGCGTCCACTTCAAAGGTCATACACATTTCCGGTTCCTCTTGAAACCATTGTTCCTCATCTTAACACACCAAGTAACTAGATCTAATTGTTTCATAGATCAAATGAGTATTTAAAAAACAAACAATCTACAACTTTGTTTGAAAGTTAAAGTGATTAGCATTTATTTTTTCACAACACCAAACAAATTGTAAAAAAACTGAAAAAAAAAATCCATTGATAAAAAAATACATACCAGTGGCGTAGGCAGGGGGGGGGGGGGGTTAGGGGGGGTTATAACCCCCCCCCCATAGACCCCTCGGTATATATAAAAAGTATGAGGGGGGGGGGTGCAAATCGAAAGTTTGAGGGATCGAAAGTTTGAGGGGGGGGGGGTGCAAATCGAAAGTTTGAGGGGGGGGGGGGTGCAAATCGAAAGTTTGAGGGGGGGGGGGGGTGCAAATCGAAAGTTTGAGGGGGGGGGGGTGCAAATCGAAAGTTTGTCCCCGGGTAAAAATTGGACCCCCCCCCCCTTGAGACGATCCTGGCTACGCCACTGATCCATACATAGATATTGCGTTCTGTTATGTACGGGGAGTTTAAATTTACATGTTAATGTTAAAGTGAGAACTGCAAGCATTTTATAGAATGTTTTAATTTTCTGTAGAATATGTGTCGTTTTCTAAGAAATAAATCTTACAATTATTTTTCTTGCATACTTAGACATGCTTAGTCTATGCATTCTATACCATGAAAAGTAGGCCTACTCTTCTACGTTCATATATTATCTGTTTAATTACTTTGGTTAATTAATTAATTAATTACTCGACGAGTCCATAGCTGAACAAGTCGAATCTAAGTAACAAGAAGCTATTTATTAATTAACTTATTCAATTATCTTGTTGTACGGTATTATAAACTAAATTCTAGATTTGTCGGTGTATGATCTTGATTTGTAATTTTTTGTGAACAATTGTTTTGTCATGCACCAACTAGATAAAACACTAGTGTCATCACATTGTGTCTTACTGTATTCTTTATACGTTGCTTGAATTCTTAAGAAAAGTACTTTGTCCATTCTGTTTCGCTTAATGAATTTTACGAAATGGTGTCAGGCGCTTCTTTTACAATCATTAGAGTTTGAACAATATCCACACCCCGACCCAAAAATATAAGTCTTCCCCCACTCCTAAAGTTTCAAGTGTCCCCACCCCAACCCCTAGGAGAAAAGTGCCCGAAAAAAACCCTCGCGAATTAATTGATAACACGTAATACTCAATAGAGCCACACACACACACACACACACACACATACACACAGTTAAAAGTGCGTTCAGCGCGTTATTTTAACTAAACTGTTCATTCCAAAGTGTACTGGACCGTCGCTCCATTCTTCATGCATTAACCACAAATGAAGGCTCGGTAACCACCTTTTAGTAGCCCTACTAAGGCCGAACTCTCTCGCATACCGTCATTTACCTGCTCAAGATATTGCTCATTAGCCAGGCAGACTCGACCCGGGTCAAGAATCAAGCATTTTTTTCTACCCATGTTAGCAGCCGCTAAACACTTGGGTTTCCGACAGGCTTTTGTCTCCCCCCCCCCCGTGCATCGCATCACCTGCTTTGGACATGAGGGGCAGTTAGATCAAGGGACGACCTACGGCCTCAAGCCCAGGATCCGAACTCGTGAGTTCCGGTTTAGCAATCACGCGTCTAATCACGTGCCCAAGGCCTAACTAGAAATGGTTAGAGACAACGACAGACTATTGTAAGAAATCATTGGGGGTATGGGGATGGGGGGTGTTGCCCACCCGAAACACTTCTACCTACCCCTCCCCCAACGAAATATAATTTATGTAGAAAATATACACGTTTACCAGTGTCCACCACCCCACCCCACCCCCACCCCCCCACCCCACCCCCACCCCCCCACCCCCTGGAAAATTTAGTCCGATCCCCGAAAGTTTCAAGTGTCCACATCCCCGGAGAAAAAAAACCCACTGACACCAGACCCCTTGGCACAATTCTCGACCAACCGTATCGACCGCAACACATTGAATCTAACCCACCCATGCAGTGGCGTAGGCAGGGGGGGGTTAGGGGGGTCATAACCCCCCCCCATAGACCCCTCGGTATATATAAAAAGTATGAGGGGGGGTGCAAATCGAAAGTTTGAGGGGGGGGTGCAAATCGAAAGTTTGAGGGGGGGGGGTGCAAATCGAAAGTTTGAGGGGGGGGTGCAAATCGAAAGTTTGTCCCCGGGTAAAAATTGGAACCCCCCCCTTGAGACGATCCTGGCTACGCCACTGCACCCATGCGTATCAAAGCATGCTTCTTATTTGTGTTTTCAAAATATAAACTTGAAGTCCCGAAATGAACTGTTTTCTTTTTCTACTGCCATATCGATCTCGCTCGATAATGATTGATTTTTCCCAATAGCCTCAGGTCGTCTATACATATTTCATGCCTTTCGACTTTGTCTAGCTAGCTGTGTGTCGTGTCGGTGACGACTATGTGTCACCTGTCAAGTGTTACAGTCTGTAAAGATAAGCTTAAGCATAATCGTAAGTCGTAAAAAAATGGGGCATTAGACACAAGGCATTCATTGTTTTAAACTGTAACCATGCTCTGTATATAATTTTGTTTGTTAAATTAACTATGGTTTTAAACAATAACTGTAAATATAGCTTACTTATTAAATAATATAAACATCGCATTAATAGGTATCTACATAGACCATATATATATATATATAAATATATATATATATATATATATATATATATATATATATATATATATATATATTTATATATATATATATATATATATCATATAGGCCCATATATGTAGCTTATATATATTGATAAAACAATAAATTATTTATGTGAATCAAGATCCTCTAAAAATTCTATAATTAGTATCAAATGAACTATCACCAAACTGTAATGATAATTGCACTCTATTCTGCGTGTCTGTTCACGTTAGAGAAATTATTTTTGAACAAATAATCTATAAACTTAATCAAACGAAAGAAAAATAATTTGATTTAACGATGCGAAATGAATCAAAATTTTAAACTAATTGCCGGGAAAAAAATATAAATGTACAAAACAACAAAAAGCGTACAGTTAAAAAAATTGAAACTTTAAATAGGCTGATTTTATTTTAGTGCAACATCTTTTAATTTTTAAAATCTTTTCATTCTTTTGTTTTAAATTTTTTTTTTTAAATCGACTCATACCACACAAAAAGAACGGATGATATTCTTTACAATTATATTCCACCCTGGTCAATAATTAATTCCATAAAGTTATAGTTATATGGCTTACAGCTAGGCTTTTTAAATGTATAGCTCTTTTATATGTCTTTACGATGTTTATAATATATGTATGCCTATGTGTGCGTGCGTGTGTGTTTAGCTCTATTGAATATTACGTGTGCGTATCTATCAATTCGCGAGTGAGTATTTTGTATGTGTATTAATAATTAAATTTATTTTCCATTGTTAAATAATTGATTACCGAATACCCAACGGCGCCAATCAAAGTGGTTTAGTTACACCACAGGAGAAAAAAAACCAATCAAGAAAACGATCTAAGTAAACAATTAAAACCACTATCGGAGAAAGTCTTCAAAGTAAACTAAAGTCTTTACCAACATACCCTGTTTTCTCTCTTCAATAGTTTCTTGTTGGTCCATATCCACATTGTTAAAGTTTCCAATACACAGGACACATAGATACAATGAACACACGGCACGGCCTTGCGTGTAGTTTAAGCCCAGTAGCTGTGGCACGAAAAAAAAAATGTTATACTTATGCTTTAAGGTGAAGATCAGAACGAACACAGCCCAGCGCAGAAAATCGATTTTCGGGCATTAAGTATTAGTAGATTGATTTTTTTTAGAGGCCCCGTTTTTTTTTCCTTTTGTGGGGGCACATTCCATTCTTGTGTCTGTTGTTGGGTTGATAGTAGTTAGATATGTTTCGATTTGTTTGATTAACAATATTTGCGATGGTATTTTTAGATGAGTTCACGCCATTCTATGAAGAAATTATATGGTTTACGTTTATGCAATGTTGTAAGAAATAGACATGTGTTATCGGTGTCAAAGTTTAGTAGAACTTAGCAATAAAAAAATTATAAGGTAATTTGTGTCCCATAGATCTATACTAGATCTATGAATCTATGTTTTAAATTCTAAGGTAGATCTACATATGCGGCATAGTTCATACTATAATACCACATCATAGGAACATTTTACTAAACGCTAATGACAGGGAAGGTGTTTTGAAATTCAGAATGTTAGAAAATGAGCCAATTAAAAAAAAATTGCGGGGAAAAAAAAGAAGAAAAAAAAAAAAAAAACGCCGCGTAAGACGTTAGACTAATCCACCTCTCATTGAATAGAAGAGCTCGAGAGTGGACACACATTTAAATTTAGAAACTTAACTTTTGTTGTTTTTCGCGTTTCTTTTTTTTTTTAATCCTTTTTTTATTGGAAAAAAAAATAACTGATCAATATTCTCATCGTTAATCGAGCTCAGTTAATAAAGAAGTTGCTGCTTTTAAATTGCGATTTTGAGGGTGTGGTAGTCTAACGAGCGACGTCATTTTAAATTAACGGGTTAGAGGAGGAAGATCTGAAAATGAAATTTTTTCGACGATTAGAATGCAGGTAAAAATCGTTAACTCCCAGTGTCGTTTATGGATGACCACTTATGAAGAAAACTGCTTATGGTTGGTTGATTTCGAGAGTCCAATGACCCGTTAATGCTATTATATTTTAGACCAACCGTAATCTAGGCCTATATACTATATATAGGTAATAGGGGTCATCCATAAATAACGTCACTCTTTTTTGGACGATTTTTACCTCCCCCCTCCCCTCCGTCACACGTCGTCACAAAAAGCCAGACTCCCAATTGCAGTTGAATTTTTTTAAAACATCGATATTTTTCTAAAATCTTGTCTAAACTATTACAATTTATTAAAACAGTTATCTAAAACGCGAAATAACGTCTAAAATTCGTTTTCTAACATTGCTTTATTATAATGCAAAAGAGTGACCTCGCAACATCTGAACCCCCCCCCCCCCCACCCCCTCATCACACATCGTCACAAAATTACGGACCCCCCTCCCCCTACGAGTGTGACGTCATTTATGGATGACCCCATATAGTTCTATATAAAAAGGTTTTTACTTTCCCGTATATACGAAGTATAGAGAAAATCTTGTAATCGTGCAAAAAAATAAATAAAATAAAAATGAGATTCTTGCAAATCTCGACGTTTTACACCTCCCTAAGTTGGAAAAACATAGTTTTGCAATCTTGTCCGTATGTCTCTCTCCGTGTGTGTGTGTGTATCTGTAAACACGATAACTTGAGTACCGTTACAGCTAGGTTGACGAAATTTCATATATAAGTATTATATCACAATCGTAGATCCGTATCAACTTTGAGCAATTTCCGATAATCGGAAGTGGAACTTTTTCAACTTTCAATTTTTCAAAAGCCTATAACTTGAGTACTATTTCAGATGGATATATGAAATATTTCAAATGTAAGTAAAAGATCTAATTCTCTGACTTCTGTTAAATTTTGAGTAATTTCCGTTGACTGGAAGTAGTAATTTTCGCTATTTCCGATTTATCAAAAAACGCATATGAATTTATAAAGTACTAATAATATTGCACACTATGATGCACATTTTATTTGGCGTTCACTTGGTGTGCAATTCTTTTTTTTTCTATGAGATTTTATTTTATTTTAAAAAGTTTAAGTATTTAAAATGGATTAAAAAATCATGTCTATATCCCGAGTTGCCATCCGCTGTTGTTTCATATTAGAATATTCGAGAAAGTTTAGGGGAGATCACTCACGGTTTATTTTTTTAACCTGTATGTATAAGGAAATACGCATTCCGCCAATTAATTATAAACAAAAATCAGCCCCCACTTCTCAAGAAATAAGCAATTTCATTCAGCCATCAGTTTTCTATTTCAACTAGGGTGAAGTAATTTATTACAGTCTCTGAATTAAAATTAACAATTCAGAAAAGCTATTAGTAATTTTATAATTGTATGTTTCTGTATGGATAAATAAATAATTTTGTGTTTTGTTTTATTAGTATTGAATTTTGCAGAATTTTAAACAATTTTTTGGAAGCTAGTTATAGGTTGTCTACCTTGCTTTTTAATTGTAGACATGGAAGTCATGCCCAAAATGTATTCAGTATTTGTATTACAAAAGAACCCTACACTATTTGTAGTTGTAATATTTCAGATAGATAAATGAAATTTCACATGTAAGTAAAAGATCCAATTCCCTGCCTTCTGTCCAATTTTGAGTAATTTCCGTTGACCAGAAGTAGTAATTTTTGCTATTTCCTATTTCTCAAAAACACATGTGTATTTATAAAGTACCAATAATATTCCGCATTACTATACACATTTTATTTTGCATTCACTTGGTGTGCAATTCTTTTTTCTATGAGATTCTATTCTATTTTAAAAAGTTTAAGTAATTAAAAAGGGATTAAAAATCATGTCTATTTCCTCTTGAAAATCTTACAGGAAAAAAACCAAGATCAACTTGAGATTTTAAAAGATGGTTTATTTTCATGTTCCTACTATTAAAAAAAATGTTTATAAAAATGGACGGTAAATGTAGCCTTTAACACAAACACATATAATTATTAAAGTTAAAAACAAAAATTAAAATAAGGCTTTACATAAAATATTTTAAATATATAAAATGTTTTACATAAACAAAAGTTTGAATGTCATTTTAAAAAAAACAAAACATGATCACCAAGAAGTTTTTATTCAAAAGGCAGCTTTTGGTAAGCTAGACAAAAAAACTGTCTTTTAAAGTTTAAAGTACATTACATTATATTAGTAAGGCCCTTAGGACGGATTTATAAAAACACAAACTAGTTTAAAGACACAAATAAAGACTGTACTACAGCTAAAGCTAGCACTAAAAAAAACTTTGTTACAAAATCACAGATCTGCTGAGTTGCTACACAAAAAACAACAAACTTCCCCTGGTGGGCAAATTGTTATTTCTATTTATGATGCTTATTTACAACATGATACTTTATTAGAAATAATAATTTGAAAAGTGAAGTATAAAAAAATAGTTTACAATGAAAAATACTTTACATGTGAAAATCCAATTAAATATAATATTCATAAAACAAAATATTTTTAAAAAATACCACATAAGTCTGTTTAGTATAATAATATTCAAAAACTAAATTTGAATTAAAATGTTCAACATATAAAAAAAAGTATAAAACTTAAAGCTTTGGCAAGTTTTATAAATAAATACTATTCTGTAAAATATGGAAAATACAAGTAATAAGGGAATGTTGGTTTCAAAGATATCACTTAAAAAATATTTCTGAAGCAATTTTTCACAGATTTTGGCATTCTTACACACTGATTGAAAGTGTGTAGTTTAAGGCATTGAAATGTCAATAAAAAGTGCAAAATTAAATAAAAATCAGCAATCTTACAATTTTAAGTTACATTTTCAAACAACCAATAAATACAAGTCAGCCTGCAATCAAATGCAAACATGGCATAGCTCTGTTAATTTTTTTTTATTTCTTTGTGATTTATAGAGTAGCTTATAAATGATAAATATAATTATTGTGTTGTCAAAAAATAAGATGCACCTTGAAAGTTTGCATTTATGAACCATGTAACCACAATCATGTGACCACAATCATGTGACCATGTAATTTTTAACATTGAACTAATTTTTAACTTGTTACAAAAATGTATAAGAAGCTTAGCTATTAAGATGTAATATGTTTTGGTAATCTAATAAAATTTACAAAAATACTACACTTTCAGTCAGAATAAAACCTTTCTGACATCTAGAATGAAACAAGAGATCTACATTGATGTTATGGATATGTCTGTGACAAATCTAGATCAAATTTACACCTAACTTTGTTCTCTTTATAATAAACAAATAATCTACTTTAAATTTGTTGAATTACATCACTACCATTCTATGCTAAAAATAGTATAACTAGGCAGGTTAGGTAAAACCAATTTTTTTTCAAAACACACACATTTTTATTGATCTTTAGCAAAGAACATTTATAAATTATTAACTTTACGAGCCGACCCGCGGCATATCATACGCCGCTATTTAGTTGTTATTTTTCTACTTTTCAGTAATTCATAATTTGTGAATTATGATAATACCAACGCTGCAACTGAAAATATTTCTTAAAAACACTATAAGTAGCTCGTTAAGGACGATACTCCCCCACTCCTCCCCCCTCCCCCTCCGTTAAAGTAAACTCCACTTAGTTACTCCCCCCCCTATGTTTAAAATTGTTTCAAACTAAATTATCTGCCCCTAATAGTCGTCACTAAACCCGGCTCTGCTTGTAAACATTTAAAAATTTTCATTTAGCGTGAACTACAGCTCACCAGACCATGTAGGGGTGGGGGCGGTAGGGAGCGCGCTTACAGCTTGTTTTCTAGCGTCCCCCAGAAGAGAATTATATATATAGATTCTTACATTACACAGTGAAACTTACTTCAGAAAAATAAAAAGTAGACATTGGTAGAAACATCAATAAAAAGTGAAAAAGTTAATGTATAAAAACTGGATTAAGAAATACAAGAAACAACCTATACATGCAACTTTAGAAAAATACAGATTAAATAAATAGCTTTTTGGATACTATAATACTGGTCTTGCAAGCTTTAATCTGGTCTACTGTGAACAACTTCTTTAGTACAGTGTCTTTGTCTTGAATGTTTATTTTCTTATGGTGCCCATGCCATCACAACTTTGTTAAAGGCCACAAAAACTCCTTTGTTTGGTTTACTGTTTATTAAAATGAATTGGCAATTAATTAAGATGTTAGGTATTATGAGTTAATGTTTGTTTTATTCATAGTTATAAATCTGTGTCTACAAAGTACATAGATCTATATACAAGCAGAAACACTAATTACACTTTTAAAAAAAGGTTTTTAAGTTAAACATTTTTTACAACAAAAGTTAGTTATTTGATTAAATTACTTTAACCAATCTATTTTTAAAAATTATTTAAAGTTAAAAGTCATTTTTGTATTTTAAAAAATAAATTAAAATTAGGGATTTTAAATGTAGGGAAATGAAAAAAACTAAGCAAGAAAGTAATGTTTTTAGTAAAAATATTTTTTTCTGTTATTTAAAAACAATTACGACTTTCTGCACTGATAAAAATAGTTGCTGAACAAAATGTGTAGCTCTGGTTTGCAGCATTTAATGTATTAGAAGCTGACAAACATTATAGCCAATGGTTAACAATTTTGTGGCCTAAAGCTATTTCCATCTGACATTTCTTTTTGGTGCAAAAACAGTAGAGTTGTTCAAGTAAAAATTCGAGGTTAAAGAAAAAACAATGTAACTCACCATTTAAAATACCGAATGCCTTCAAAAGTTCCATCGTGTCTACCCTCTGGTGAGAGGAGAGAAAGATATGGGGAGTGAGCAGACATTTTCGTAATAATATAAATATTTTACATACGTATACATACATTTTTATTATCTATCACCTAAATCCTAAATAAGTTTGTTATATAGGATCACTTTTTACTATTATATTTTCCAGCTGTTGCAAGTGTTATTTTGTAAGCTACTGTGAAAGTGATTATCTCCCATCAGGTATATTTTGGACCTATAGGGTTATCCTCCCTTTAATAAATTTAATGAATGGTAAAAAATAAAGTGAAGTACCCTTTCCAACCTTAGGTAGGTCAGGTAGGGTTTACATTTGACGTATAAAGGAGAATGTGTGAGTGTATCGGTGGGGGGGGGGGGGGGTGCTGGTACATACCATCTCTATCTAACTTCACACCAAGGTATGCCACACACCTTCCTGGTAGGTGGGGTGTGTATGAGTGTGGGGTGTGTATGTGTGTGTGGCATGCGGGTACATACCATCTCTATCTTACTTCACACCAAGGTATGCCACACACCTTCCTGGTAGGTGGTAGTGTGTGTGAGTGTGGGGTGTGTGTGAGTGTGAGTGTGGGTGTGTGTGAATGTGGGGGTGTGTGAAAGTGGGGAGGCTGGTACATACCATCTCTATCTAACTCCGCACCAAGGAACGCCTCACTCCTGCCGGGTAGGTGGGGATGTGTGGGTGTATGTGAGTGTGGGGGTATGTGAGTGTGGGGGTGTGTATGAGTGTGGGTGTGTGTGAGTGTGGGGGTGTGTGAGAGTATGGGGGTGTGTGTGAAAGTAAGGAGGCTGGTACATACCATCTCTATCCAACTCCACACCAAGGTATGCCTCACTCCTGCCAGGTACGTGGTAGTGTGTGTGTGTGTGGGGTGTGTGTGAGTGTGGAGTGTGTGTGAGTGTGGGGTCGCTGGTACATACCATCTCTATCTAACTCCGCACCAAGGTAAGCCTCACTCCTGCCAGGTAGGTGGTAGTGTATGTGTGTGTGTGTGGGGTGTGTGTGAGTGTGGGTGTGTATGTGAGTGTGGGTGTGTGTGAAAGTGGGGAGGCTGGTACATACCATCTCTATCCAACTCCACACCAAGGTACGCCTCACTTCTGCCAGGTAGATGCCCGACATACTTAACAGTGCCCTGGGTCAGCTTGCCCCCCACACGTGAGAACTTGACCACATCGTCTATCCTGATGTCTGCTATATTCCTGGGAGCAAATGGCCTCAAACCTTGAGTCAGTGAACTGAAACAATGTAGAAGTATGGTTAATGGACGTGTTCAATGAGATGGAACAGTGTAGTGATGGCTAGTCGATAAGTTCATTCCTCATCTTTTCCTTTTCATGCCCAAGACACATGGAGCAGAAGAAGTAGAGTTCATCTGTTTTAATATTACTTTACCATACATAAGAATAGTGTGGTCAGCACTATGCTCAGCTGCCTTAGTTTCCTCTAACATCAGCCAGGTACACATTAGAGCTGGGTAGACTCAGGGACATCTTACAGTCACAAGTCCAAACAGACATATTCATTGTTGTTAGGACATGGTATGTTTTTTTTTTTTTTTTTTTTTTTTTTTTTTTTTTTTTAAGATAAAATGCATATTTTATTTAATCAGGAAGTGGTCAAATTTTTACTGCAAACAAAAATGTATGTTCTACTATTTGCATAAATTTGTGTATATGTAAAAATGTCATAATAAAGCACTCTATTACTTTTTTTTTACTATTTGTAAAAGGTTGTTTTAATTTGTTTTAAATTAAATAAATCTGTCCTTTATAAACAAAAGTATAAAAGCATTTAGTCAACATATAATGTACTGAAACAAGCAAGATTTTATGACTTCTTATTGTATATGACTGAAATACCATATCAGTCAAAACAAGTTAATTAAAAAAGTCTAGTGACATTTATGCGCAATTTCCTTATGTTATCTAAAAATAGCTCTGACGTATAATGCTGGGATGCGTTCAAGCTAGAAGAACAATCGGTTTGTAGGTGTTTTTGTAATTTTAAAATTTGTGACCAAACGAGAGGATATTTTTGAAAACTTTCTTCGGCAATATTGCTCTAAATTATGGCAGGAATCGATTGGTACATGTTTCAAGTCGCTAAGTGGTCTGGTTGACGAGATATGGGCCAAAAACTGCTTTTTTTCGAGGTTTTTTGGCTTTTCCGGGAAAAACATGAAAGAAACCCGGAATTTTTATGGCCTATGCTTATTCTTGTAACTTGCTTAACATAATTGCTTTTGGAACTAGTCATCGATATTGCTTCGTTGAGGAGGAGATACGACTTAAAGCCCGGACACACATTCATCCATACATTCATCCATCCATCCATCCATCCAGAAATGACGCGTTAATAAACGCAATTCTCCAGAATGGAAATTGCGCTAAAAATATTACTTATTAAATAAAGTCACAGGACTGCTCCAAAGTATGTTTAAGGGTCAAGGCTAGAATTAATATTAAATTAGAGTGTTTATACCTAGGGAGTTGATATTTATCCACCTAGCAGGATTATTTTATCTATTGTTTTTAAATACTCATATTGTCAAGGTATGGATTAGTGTCAAGGCTATAACTAAGTTAAGACTAGGGTTATATGAAAAAAAAAGCTTTTATGCATCCAAACAAGTACAGCACCAAGTACTAATAGAATACTGCAGAGAGACATAACCCTGTTTCTCACTTGTTTAGCAAAGATGTGACATTCTTGCCAGTTAGCTCCCCTTTGTTGTGCTGTGTGACCTGAGGAGTGGGGAGAACACTCCTGAATCCAGCAGTATCAAGGGAAGTAACTGATCTTGCACTCAAACCATTGCGGGGCAGGGTTGACATCTGTCTCCCTTTTGATGTGTCTTTATCTGTCACACAAAAAAAAGTTTCTAGAAATGTGTTGATCAATTTAAATAATGTAATTAAAAAGCAAACAAATAACTATGTATTAGTAGAATTACTAATAAAGGTATCTTCATCATCTTTTCCAGTTCGTGCCCAAGACACAAAAGGCATATAGAGTTCAGCTGTTTCAGAGACCTTGGCATATGAAGGGATAGTGTGGTCAGCACTATGCTCAAACGCCTTTGTTTTCCTTAGTGTGAGTTAGGTACCCATCAGAGCTGGGTGGACTCTGGGACTTTCTCCTGACAGTTTTGAGCTCGAGACTTTCGGGTGAGCAGTCTAGCTCTCTACCGCTAAGGACAATTGTCACAATTACAAAGAAACTTAAATAAAACATTCATCTGCTCTACAATGTGCATCATTCAATTAATAAACCCTCTACACCTACAATCAACAATTACACCCACACACATGACTGATTGACTAGACGCACTACATATAAGAAAGTTACCCTGACGTGACATGTAAAAAAAATTATGACACACAAACAATATAAATCTTACATCGTTTGGTATCAACAGATTTAGATCTCCGCCTCAACACGCTGTCGTCTTCAGCTTCACTCAGTGTTGTTGAGCCATCCGATCCCACAGAAGTTCTTCTGTGATTTGAGCCTGTAACAAATATTTATTGGAAAAATAAATTATTAATTTGCACAGACATTAATAGTTTTGACCTTTTTGTGGTAAAGTACTACAACATTAAATAAATTATTAAGATGTATAGACATTAGTTTTCATATTTTTATGGTATAATAATACAACATAAAATAAATTATTAAGATCTGCAGACATTATTTTTCATATTTTTATGGTATAATAATAGAACATAAAATAAATTATTAAGATTATAGACATTATTAGTTTTCATCTTTGTGTGGTATAATACTACAACATAAAACAAATTATAAAGATGTACATTGTTAGTTTTAATATTTTAAAAGTAAAAATACTACAACACAAAATAGATTACAAATCTGTGGTCACAAAAGTTCTTCTGAAAGCAACAATCACAGCCCCCCCCCCCCCCACCTCCTCGGAAATAATAAGTTTGAAAGAAACACTGGTTCCAAAAGTTAGATGTGGCTAGGGATGTATCACAGATTACAGCTAAAAACTGGACTCAAGTCTTAAGAGAACAATAGCTTTACTGCAACAGTAAAAATTTAAATAATTTATAGTAAATTACACTATCAGATCATGAGGTTAAGAGGGCAGATGAGTTAGATTTATCTATTTCTAAAGTTCATCTATTACTGGAGTTCATGCTGTGACCTCGGCATATGAAGAAGGCTTAAAGGTTTGCAGTAATGTGTTCTACTATCTGACCACTCATTCTAAATTGTAATATTGTTTAATAATTTGTATTAATAATATCAAATACTTCAGATAAAAACACAACTGGACCTCTGAGAGAAGTGTCCTGTGCCAGTAAAATATCAGTGGCTGTGTCACTATCATCCCCACCATCATCATTGCGATGTCCTGATGGTGATTTGTACTTGCTAAAGTCTAAGTTACCACTGATGTAATTATTATCTGTGGAGTAAATAAAAATTGTAAACTGTATATATAATTTTTATAAAACAATTTTTTAAAATAAATTGAAAAAAATTGATTACTAGATCTATATTTTGTAAGCTTTGATTCTTTTTAGGGCTTAATGATTGGTTTGAAATTTTTTTTAATGTGTATTTTTAATATTTAAGTTAATTCAAAATTATCTTTCAATTTAGTAAAGAATAACTTTACTAAGTTAGAATCATTTTTTTTTAATTAAAAGAACCCAAAACCAGCTTAACTATAAAAGGATAAAAAGTTCTATGGCATCATTAGTATACTTATAACACATTAAAAAGCTAGGGGAGTTTCGCAAGGCATGATCGTTATAATTGCAATAAAAAAGGTTTGCGTTAGTAGTATACCTACTAACTGAGAAACAAACTATGTTTGTTACAGTACATTTCACAAAACGTTAGAAATTACAGGGTAAATAGAACATTTGATTTTAATAAGTAAAAGCAAAATGTATCACTCAAAACATAAAAAAAATGATGTTTTAAAAATCAATATCCTTTTATTCCTTAATTATGATAAAAGTATTCTTTTAAAAAATAATTATTTTTATTAATGAGGTATTCAAATTTAATGTTTACATATGAAATCTTCTAGAATATAATGGTTTATTACAATAGAAACACGCAATATGTAAACACAAAGAGATTAAAACAAAAAGCAAAGAGTTTTTGTTAAATGGGCAGTGAAAACACAGGTTGGGATCTATCTAATTGCTTTACAGTATAGCTTCTTGAAACAGGCCATAGTGTAACAAATTATTATACTATCGACTAAGTGAAAATATATTTACAAACCAAGTCATAAAATCAATTTTTCAACAAAAACCTCTCAGGATAAAAACCAACAGGAGTATATAAAGATTGGTATAAAAATGAGTTAATCATATAAAAAAAAAAAGACAAAGTTAATTTGGTTGGTATTAATCATGCTTTTATATTTAAAGATTTGAAAAACTTTAAAACTTTATAATTAAAAAAAAAATAAATGTTACACCTGTTGGCAAATATATAACAGACATTGCCTCTGCCTAGATGACTTATTAACATATTTATATTATACAGGGTAAAGCAATTTCTGGAATAGTTAAAGTATTTGGGCTCATCTTTTAAGGGTTACCAAGTGGACATCTCTACCCCACTATTATCCATATATCACAAATGTAATTGATTAGTATGTTAGTGAAGAGTTTTGATGCATTTTTTAGAGTTAGTTCAATAATTAATATGCCAGATGAATTAGAATTTAAAGAGTTGTTTAAACCCACGTATAGAAAAAGCTAATTTACTCTGATATGAGAAAAAAAAATATAAATGTTTAAGCCAAGCTTAAATGTTGGTTAAAGAAAAGAAAATATAGCCTGATAGAGTGCTTAAATATATTGTACTAATAATTATTTACAGCTTGCAACCTCCCTTAACCAGAAACCCCATAATTTAATTTTCAAATCTAAAACGAAAATATCTAGCGACTCTATTAGCTAAAATTACCAATTAAAAGTTGGGTTAAAGATAAAATTAATTAATTTTTTGTTACGCAGAAAAGTTAAGGAAAAAAAAATTCTAGGAAATATATTGTGTGAATACCAGTGGAAAATGGGGTGGGCGTGGTAGAGTTCTGCTTTACTGTTTTACTATTTGCTGGGCGGTCACTTTTGTAAGCAGAGTTTCCTATAGGGTCATCTTTATGGCTGACCAGTACCTCAGTAGAATCACTGTCATAGCAGGTGGTATCTGAATCAGGCTGATCAAAAGCAACTTAGAAAAAAAAATACAATGCTCTTTCATTTTCATTCATCAGTTGGTCTTCTGTTATTCTAGTTGTTATGTATATCATTTCTGAATGTAACATGCACTTTGTTTCCTTAACTTAACAATTGCCCTAATCTTTAAAAACCTAACCTAATCACAGCCCTATAACTCAAACTGAAAGTATACAAAACATAAAAAATTATGAAAATAATAGAAGAAAAAATTACCCAACTTGAGCAGGGAAAGTAATGGGAAGGTACAAAAGGGCTAGAAATCTTCAGAGTTTGAGGGTTGGGAGGTAGAAAAAAATTGGTTGCTAAAATACATCTCAGGAAAACATGACAGCTAAACTATGATTGGAGTTTTTACAAAACTTTCAATACCAATTTTGGGGTAGAAATCTTCAGAGTTTGAGGGTTGATGAGGTAGAAAAAAAATTGGTTGCTAAAATAAATCTCAGGAAAACATGACATCTAGACTATGTTTAGAGTTTTTACAAAACTTTGAATACCAATTTTGGGGTAGAAATATTCAGCTTCACAGTGCACATTGAAGAAAAAGTAAATATATGATCACAATGCTGTTAAAGTTAATTCAAATAAAAAAACCATCTAAACTATAATATGGGTACAGTTGCATAGTTAAAGCATTATTTATTGCTTTGTTTGTGGTTAATGAGTATGTTTAAATAAATATACCTATTGTATTGACTACAATTTACAATAATAATGTTTTATTTGGAAAAATATTTTTTTTTCTTAAGCATTTTTAGTAAAGTAATGGTGAAATTTTTAGGATAGTGAAAAGCACATTTGAAATAAAACAACCAAGAAATGTGCTTATGTGCAATAGAGCAGAATGCAAAATCAAAGTGATTGAATTGAGAAATCACCAAGGTACATAAAAAATAATCACATGTTTAAATTCTTTATTTATTCATCAGTATTATTATTTTAAATATAAGACTTGATACTAGATGGTGTAATCAGGTTTAGATATTCGAATGTATGTTAAAATAATACAAATATAAAAAAAAACAATGAAAAATATAGTTTAAAAAACATTTTAAATGATTTTGTAGGATTTATAGTATAGTATAGCCATAAAAATATTTAAAAATAAATTCTAAACAAAGCTTTGCACTAAATTTCAAAACAGTTTAATAAACCTTTTAACTGATGTTTAGTATTTCCTTAAAAAAAAAAGAACTTGAATGTACTGTGAACAAATAAATGTGCAGACTTTCATCAATACATGTGATTTCACTAAGTTGGATAAAACACAACACATTTGACTGTTTTAAATGAATAAAAACACTGACAATACATTAGGAAATAATAATTATTTTTGATAGTTATAACACAAAACATTCCTAAAATTTGTATCCTTTGTAAAAGTTACATTCAATATTTTAAAGCTAACTGAGCTCTTCTAAATATAAAACTAGATTTTGTTATCAGGTATATATATCTAAATGTATGTTAAAAAAATACAAGTATATAAAAAACCTAAAGATAAAGTTAAAAAAAAAACAACTGTGTTATGTTTTATCAAACTTATAAAATTGTATACAGCAAGAGAAGTGGGGACAGTAAACATGACTGACTACCTTCTTTCAACCATTTTTTTGTTCGTTGTTGCAAGCTGAGGAAAATGTCTAAAACAGACCAGAAATGATTAAAAAAATTAAAATTACGAAAGAAGTATTTTAGTTTATGGAACAGTAAAATATTGTGAAAAGAAAATAGCACAGTTGCAAACTAATTTTGAATACATAATTTTTAACAGATTATTGCTTAAAAGAATACATTATAGTTTTATAACTGATACTATGTTGACTTTTCAAAACTTTAGTAATTTAAAAAATTTAGATTACTTCATCACATAGAAATCTCTAAAGAAATATATTTTTTGAAGTATATTTTTATATTTTCTAACAATTAATAACTAACAGCATAAGAATTTAAAAATAAAATGAATATTAGAATATATTTTTAAAAAATAATTAAAATTAATTAAAAAATAAGATTTTTTGTATAAATGTAGCAAAAAAAGAGTTGTTAGAAAACTTTAATTTTACAAAAAAAAAAAAAAAAAAAAAAAAAAAAAAAAAAAGCCAGAGTAGAAAATAAGAAAATACAAGAAAATTATGCAGATGAGACTGACCTTTTGAACTGATGGCTGATGTAGGTTGCTGCCTGCCAGTGCCAGCCCTTGTCTCCAGTTCCCTCAAATCTTCACTTGTAAGTTTGTAGTTATCTTCCCTTGGTCTGTGAACAAACTCCTCCCTCGGCTTCAGATCAACTGAATCCCTGCTCTTTAGAGCTGCATAATGTTTATCTAGATAAGACGACACCCCTTTGTCAAACGTAGCCTTGTCTCTTGATTCTTCAGGTTTCCTGTCATACGTGGACACCTTCGAGTACTTATCAGAATAAACTTTTTCCGAAACTGCCCCATCCGGTTTGGACCTGTCGACATGGGACAAGTTCGGCCTATGGTAGTCACCTGATTCACTAGCAAGAGAAGAGCGTTCACTAGAATAGCTTCTAATTCGAGAAGATTCCAGAGTGTTCCGTTGTTGGAGGAGTTTGTTCCTGGTTTCTCCCATCCTATGGTCTGGTTCAGAGCTGAGGTGGTGGGAGGGGAGGGGGTCTCTGGTCATGAGGTCCTCAATATTTTTCTGATATGAGACTTTCTCGGCGGGTTTGTAGCTGGATGGTGGGATGATGTAGTCTCTCTTGTAATCTGAGCTAACAGAATGGCGGGAGGTGCCTTCGTCTGAAAAAAATAAAATTTCAAAATAAATTTGTGTTAAAACATATGCGAACATTTTGCTAAATAATGTAACACTTAAAAGCAAAATGATTATTTATTTATTGTGGATAAAATGCTAAGATAAAAATAAAAAAAATAAACCCAAAAATTGATTGTATTTTCATCTTAAATAAAAAAAACCGAAGCCTCAAGACTATTTCCAGCAGGTGTTTTTTTTACTGCTCTGAGATTTAAAATTCATTCTTGATAGTTTATAATTTTTTTTTTTATATTTTGAAACTTTCCACATCTTTTCTACAGTTGTATATAAAATTCTTTCCATTCATGATGGATTTTATTTTTTATACTTCTACAACTTTTCTACAGTTATATCTAACAGCCAGACTCATCAGTAAAACAATGATAACATAAACAATGGCAAGGGATACTAGCAAGACTTGATACCCCCAACCTTACTTATGCAAAAACCAACACAGAAAGATAAAACACCCATCACCTGATTTGATACTGTTACTCAGTCTTCTCTCGTCTCGTGTCTCAGGTTCCGGTGCCTTAACCCTGGTGCCACGCCCCTCCAGCAGTCTCATGTTCTCCTCAGTCAGCTGGTAGTTCCTCTCTTTAAGGTTGCGGATGTCTTCTCTAAGTGTCCTCAGCTCAACCTTCAGAGCATGCTGGTCAGCTTCACGCTAGCATGATTATAGAACAAAGTTTCAAGTAAATTACAACAGAAGGAAGGAATGTGGTTGAGTTGTACAGCATCTGGCTAATATCCCAAGTTTGGTTCGTAGACTAGAGTCTGTCTCTGTGCAGCTCTCATGGGGTACTCATTCCAAATCTAAGAAGGTTAAGGTGCCTGACTTGTTTCATAGGAAAAGAAAACTGACACATGTGTACTCAACTTAAACATCCTTAGGACCATCAAGTTGAACATATTGCTTAATTTTTTTTAAAGAACATACTTGTAAATTTAAGATTTTTATATCTAGTTTAAACTGTGCTTGTATATCAATAAAGTCCTCTAGGCCTATTATGAAAAGATAATATTTAGATAACACCCTGTTTGATTCAAGATGTTCTTTTATTATTTTAAATATAATTTTTGTTTATACTTTTAAGAGACAGATACAATTATGCTGAAATAAAATTCTAACTTAAATCACCATTCTACCTGAAAATCTCCATAAGTTATTGCCCTTGATTTGAGCTCTCTATTTTCCTCCTGCAAAAGTTTAATTTTCTCCTCTGCTCGTGACAAGTTCCCAGTGGTGGACTCTGTTACTTCATGCATGTCTCTGATCTGTGCCTCCAGGTCCACTGGAAAATTCATTCTTCATTTAAATTAGTCCATTACATTTGATATTATTACTTGCCCATGTTATGTTAAAAGATTATGTTCAATTTAATCCTTTTGTAATGAGAAAATTTGATAGCCAAGTGGCCCCCAGAATTTTAGGGGCAAAAGTAAAAGGGGTTGGGTAGAGAATGACACAAGGAACGTGGGTTTTAACTAGAGACAGTTGGAGAAACTTGCCTAAGAAAGATATGCTACCAATGCGGACAGTTGGAGGAGCAAGCCTAGGACCAAGTTGCCTGGGAGGCTTTAGTAGGTGCCAATGTCTACGTGGGATGGTAGAGCACTCGACTACAAGATCAGTTTCTGGGCATGAGTTAGTAGGATATCCCTGAGTCTACCCTAATCTTGAGTTGGGGAAAGTAAAAAGTGGCTGGGATTTGACTGCAAAAACAATCCCGTATACTCAGAGTTTAAAGCAACAGATGCACTCTGTTTGTTTTATGGATGATGAGGTAATGAAGGAAACTTTATAAAATAATTAAAATCATAGTAATCCATGTAAAAACCCCCAAAAAATTAGTGTTTAAAGAAATATGATAGAACATTCCATTTAATCCATACAAAAAATAAGAAAAAGTAAGTTTAATTTACAAATTTACCAATCTTTCTTTGTAAAACCAGTGGGTTGTTTGGGCTGTAGTCTGTAATCCCTGAGCTGGTGAAGCCATTGGTCAGGTCATGACCTTTGGACAAGTGCTGTAACTTCTCTCTTAGAGTTACAACCTCTTTGGCCAAAATTTCCTTCTCTGCTTGTAGGTGCTTAAACTAACAAACCAGAAAACAAATGGCTGTCTAACTTACAATTGGTAAATGTAGGTTAAAAATCTGCCACAGTTAGGGAGACATGCTATGAACAATAAATACAATAAAAAAATAAATAATTTCACAACTGAATAAAAACTAATAAATTATATATTTTAATTAACTTAATTGTGAATTGGTAGAAAAAATATTTTTATCCAAATGTTGTCTAAATCAAATTTAGGTTGTTTTTTTTCTGCAGGTACGATTATTTAAGTTAAGTTTAGGATTAGAGATGGGGTCAGGGTTAGGGTAGAAATAGGTCTTCTAACAAACAAACAGTCTCTTATACATTTTAATTAACATTGTATACATGTTAATAATTATAAAAAAAAACTCCCAACCTTAAAAATTTGAAGATGTTTACTGAAGAATACCAAATATATTTGAAAAAAAAAAACAAATAAAAACCACAAGCAATTATTGATGCTTTAAAGTCAATGAATCACCTCAGCAGAGTCATGAAGGCTGGACACAGGTGTGTATCTCTGTACCCTGTGCTCTAGTTCCTCCTTCAGTGACCTGTTGATGTCCTTCAGATCAGCCATCTGGGACATGAGTGAATGGACTTCTGTCTCCCGATTGGTCAGAAGTTTCCTTAAATTGGTGACCGAAGCCTCCAGTTCTTGGAGTCTGTCAGTATTTGACTGGAAAAAAATTGTGTCAACTTAAAAATCAAATTTGTAGTTTTTAAATTTAAATGAAATAAAAGAAATACAAAAACAACTAATCTTGTTTCTTTTTTTATGGGACGGAGTGGTCTAGCGGTAGAGAGCTGGACTTTTAACCCGTAAGTCTTGAGTTCGAATCCGGGTTCAAGTCAGTAGACCGTCCCTGAGTCCATCCAACTCTGATGGGTACCTAACTCACTTTAGGGAAAGTAAAGACAGCTGGGCAAAGTGCTAACCACACTATCTCTTCATATGCCGAGGACACAGAAAGAAGTGAACTCTACTTCACTTGCCCCATAGACCGTCAGGTTTGAAAGGGATACTTTACTTTACTTTTACATGTTTCTTTTAGAAGCATCAAACTAAAGAATAGACAATAAGTACATTTACTACATGATACTTTTTTTATTGTTTTGGTTCAACAATAATTGTAACAAGGAAAAATGTATTTAGTCAGACTAATATGGTGTAAAAAACTTAATTGAAAGCCTTCAGAACTAATTTTTGTACCATAAAACATACGACAATTTAAAAAAAATATGAATCATATCTAGTGTATTACCTGTCTGGAAACCGCATCTGCATTCACTGGTGTAGCACTTCGACTGCTGCCTCTAGAGACTGTGGAGATACTTGAGGTAACAGAGCCTCGACCTAAGACGTCTTCCATTCTCTCAGTGACAAGAGCAGTTCTATAGGAATGTACGTCAGCTGGTGGTGGGACACGTACTCTGTTATCTGGTGTTATGCTTCTGTTTTCTGTATAGAACTTGCAAATAAACAATATAAATACAATTAGAGATAGAAATAAAAGTAACATTTATATATATATATATATATATATATATATATATATATATATATATATATATATATATATATATATATATATATATATATATATAAATCTGTAAATAAATGATAATGATATATATGATGATATAATTTATATTAAAATGTTATATGTATGTTTATACAAAAATATATATACTTTAAAAATAAGCTATTGCAGGAAGAGTCTAGTCTATGATGTGTACATTCATTAAACAAATATATTTTTACCTGCTGTGGAGGGTGATACCCAGGAACACTTGACGACCTCTCAGCACCTCTCATAATGGCAGGATCCATGATGGACTCATCCGGATGGGAAGATACCCCATGGTTTAGATGTCTTTCAACACTACTAGATCTGGAAATTTTGTTAAAAAAAATAACATTGATAAAAATTTCAAAATACAATTTTTATTTGTGTACAGTGCATTTAAAAAAAAACAACTCATGAAATGGTGTGGCCGGGTGGTAAAGCACAAGACTTCTAACCCAAATGTTTTAGGTTTGGATATACGCCATTAGCCACCACATAGCACACACAGCTCTGGTGCATACCTGACTCCTGATAAGGAAAGTAATGGAGACTGTTCATACTACTGACCACACAATCTTTCCATATTCTGAAGTCACTTGTAAACACATGAACTCTACTTTTCTTGGTCTATTGACATCCAGGTCCATAAAAGGGTATCTTTATTTTCCTGGACTCAAATCTGGTAGCCACCAGAGGTTGCTGGACACACATCTTTATGGTATTATGGTCTCTAAGCCATACCAGTGGAATCAGCAAATGTGGTGATGGCCTAACCACCTAAAAGTAAGTAAAGTTCCCTTTTTGAATCTGATGGTCATGGGGTAAGTGAAGTAGAGTTCACCTGTTTCTGTGACCTCAACAAATGAAAGAATAGTGTGGTCAGCCCATTATTCCCAGCCGCCTTTACTTTCCCTGACATAAGTCAGATACCTCTCAGAGTTTGGTCGACACAGGGATGCTCTACTGACTTGAACCCAGATTGGAACTCGAGACTTTTGAGTTAGCAGTTTATATCTCTAACACCTATCAGTTAATAATCTTTTAAAACCTTTGTACAAATACATTAAACATAATATTACTACTTTTAATCCTGGCCAGAAAAAAAAATTATGATGTCCCCTACCTTGAGCTTCCTTCTATGTACTGAGCCAACTCTTGCTCACTTGTTAAGCTAGTCACACTCTGGTTCCGGCTGGAGATACGACTGTTAGGGTGGCTAGGTGGTCGACTGCCTGGTCGACTGCTGTCTCCGTTCTCAAGTCTGTATGGGTTGAGGTAAATATTTTAATTTGTAGATACAAAAATAAAAATCAGACCAAAAAATTTAGCTGGAATAATATTTTTAAGTATTGCTGTAGATACTAACAATAGCATTCACATCTTAAACCTAAATTTTACTCTAACAAGGTACAGTTGTTTTGCTAAGCCATCATTGCTACTTGTTTATTTTACCAAGCAAAGGAAAACAGAAAATTTTTAATATTTTACATTTGTTTGCTTTACATTAATTTTTTAATGGTAAACTATTTCTGAGTATTATTGTATTCTTATGATTTGTTGAAGTATTTGATCAATTCAGTTTTTAAGTATATTTCCTATTAGTAAGTTTCTTCGACATTAAAATTTGTACTAAACAATTCTTTAGAATACTGTTGTTATTTTATACATTTTGACGGTAAATGTTTAACTTATTAAATCATTAAAATTTAACAGTAATAGCAATCAGAAATCTGAGGAAAGATTGTCAAAATATAATAAAGTGCTTACCCTCTAGTTCCATTCATCTGACTAGTCAGTATTTCTTTTTGAGGTGTGGTTAGTGTTGAATAATTCCTTGGTGAGGCTGTTACTACAGGAGAGGAATTCCTTGTTGGGGTCATGCGACCTTGTTGTGATAAAGGACTATCAGGTGGTCTGGATCCTATGACTGGTGTGGTTCTTTTAGGGGTGGCAGATACATCGTCATATTTCAGACTGACCGTTGGAGAAAATCTGTCAATGTTTCTAGGCTGAGTTGGTCTGTAAACATTTGACAGAAAATACTCAATAGATGTTATTTTATATGGGCAGTGTATAAGTAAAGTTCCAATTTTTAACCTGATGGACCATGGGGCAAGTGAAGTTGAGTTCACTTGTTTCAGTGACCTAGGCACAAGATGGGATAGTGTGGACAGCACTATGGATGGACTCAGGGATGTTCTACTGATTTTAACCCTGATTTGAACTCAAACTTTTGGGTTAGCAGTCTAGCATTCCATGGCTAGGCCACACTGTCCCACTATGGGCAATGTACTTTTAAAAATATGGTTCAGCTGCATCATGGAAAAGCTGTTGTAATAAACTAACCATCTTCAGTGTTCAGATTATTGTCATTGAGTTAGTTGGAGACAAGTTTTAAGAATCAATGATTGTATTAGTAAAAATCAGAAATGGTTACATCATACATAATTGTAATAATGACACAGTAAAATCTCAATAACATGTAAGTTAAAATCAGTTTCAAGATATGGAACTTAATACTAATAGGACAGATGTAGTAGATACATATGTCTATTAAGTTATGGCATAACAAGAGATTGTGTGGTCAATGCAAACATTGAAACCTTTTACTTTTCCACAACTAATATTGTGTATTAATCAGATCTAGGTTGGCTTTGGGATATTTTCAGGATCTATTTTCAAATTCTGGACTGACCAGTACTGAACACTTAGGCTAACAATAAACCAATTTAAGGACTTTTCACATGGTTTTACAAATGACTTATATCACTCTCCAGAAACCTATAAACACACTTACTCATTACTGAGATCTTGGGTTGGTGTTGATCTTGTTGAGTTAGGCAGTGAACCTGCACCAAATGATGAAGCCCTGGATCTTCTTACAGTATCCACATTCTCTGTCACAGGTAGCCCCCCTGGGGAAGATCCACCTTTACCCGCTTGTGAAATATCCCCACTACTTTGGGACAGAGAACGCGAAGGGGGCCTAGGTATCACATCGTCAACAACTTCAGCCCCTACAGACACACGTGAAGAAGGTCTTTCATAAATGTCTTGTGTTGCGCTACTTGCTCTGCTGTGTGTGTATTTTTCTAACACGCTTTCACCATCCATCACTTTTGTGCTTTCTCCAAAAACTATTGCGTTATCAGAAACAATGGAAGAATCTGTTTTTGAGGTCATCGGTGAGGACTGTCTTAAAGGTTTGTTTTCTGTGTCGTTAAATTTATCGGTTAATTGATGTCTGACAAGTTCCTCAAATGTTGAAGGTCTTTTGGAATCATGTGGTTCCGGGGTTTTAGCCAGACTCTGACTCTGAGGTGAGCTTGGTTGTTTGCTGATCAGCTCATCTTCAACATCTATTAGAAGAAATTAAATACATTGATTAAAATTTAATTTGATGTATTATAATCAATTTAAGCAAGCTTTTCAACCCTGGCGACAAACTTTTAAAAAGATCATTTGATTTTTTAAAAAAGCCTACACAATAATTAGCGGTAGAGAGCTAGACTGCTAACCCGAGAGTCTAGGGTTTGAATCCGGGTTCAAATCAGCAGTTGTCCCTGAGTCCACCCCGCTCTCATGAGTACCGAACTTATGTTAGGGAAACAAAGGTGGCTGGACATAGTGCTCATCACACTATCCCTTCATATGCCGAGGTCAATGAATCAGATGAACTCTACTTCATCTGCCCCATGTGTCTTGGGCACGAACAGGATTAAGAAGAAGACACAATAATTAAAATAATAATATTATTATGTTCCATTTCCTTCACTTAAAAGTGAGATCAAGATAGTTTTAGATTTTAGTGTTCGGGTTTTTAAAAAATAGGGAGTGTATGAATTACTTTAGTTAGTGTTGATTAGGAGACTAATATTTATTAGATCTAGGCCTAATAGTACAAATTATTAGTATACTTTAAAAAGTATCTAAACTAATTAACCAGTCCAGTAGGGCCTATAGTATAGTATACTGTAAATAATAGTTAGTATACTAGATCTATTACTAATTAGGAAAAGTATTTTTCGTAGTCAGGCCTGCTAATAATTATTTTAATAAATAGATCTAGTAGTTTAGTATTTAGCCTACTAGATAACTAAATAACTAGAATAAAAGATTTCTAGCAATTGATCCAGTACAGTACTAACTACTAAACTAGTAGTAGTGTGTTTGTCTAAGCCTTAGTCTTAGTAGACTTAGTTAGTAAAGCAAATGTCTTACTTGATTAGGTACTGTACTAATTACAGTAATTAGTTAGTATTAGCCTAAAGTATTAGTCAGAGTTTAGATTTAGAGGTAGATTTTCTCTAGTACTAGGTACTAGATCTAGATCTAAATCTAGTAGGACAGGGGGACCGACTAAAAAAAACTAGATCTAGTCTAGTAAGTCTAGTCTAGATCTACAACAAGTTTTTTAACATTTTAAAAAGTATAGGCCTATCTCTAGATCTACTTTGTTTATTTTATTTTAGTAGCCTATAACCTTTAGATCTAGAATCTATTTTTTTTAAATATTGGCGTAGCTTGATACTTTGCTGCTTTAATCAATACAGAGTTACTTAGCCTACTAACTCAAACGCAATGGTAAATAGTACTAAATACTAAAGTAGTTTAGACATGTTTACACGGGTGTTAAGGGAACTCTTCTTCAAGGAAGCCAAATAAATGTTAAACATTTAAAAAGTATGAATGTGTAGACTATAGATAGACTAAAGAGAGCTATCATACAGTGGGTGTGTGCAGGCTTAAATATCGGTTATTAACTTATTAGTTACACATAAACTATATAGAACTACGTTATTTCTAATGTAATAGTCGAGTTGTTTTTTATAGGCCTATTAAAAATGGTGAATTTGATAACTAATCGCATACACTTTTTTAGGACTGCTCCACTCCACACTGACTAAAACTGCTACTATGATGGTGCTCATAAAAATCTATGTTGTAGGCAATCTACGGTAGGCTATATGTATTAGGTTAGGTCAGAGGCGTAGCGACCCTTCCCGGCGCCCGGGGACATACTTTCAATTTGGCGCCCCCCTCGGGAGCAAATTTTCGATTTGCACCCCCCCCCTCGAACTTTTCATTTGCACCCCCCCCTCAAACTTTCGATTAGCACCCCCCTCGAACTTTTCATTTGCACCCCCCCCCCCCCCCTCAAACTTTCAATTTGGCGCCCCCCCCCCTAAGGTCGGCGCCCGGGGACATATGTCCCCCCCGCCCCCCCTCGCTACGCCTCTGGGTTAGGTTTAACCCAAGCATAACGAGGAGGCAGGGCACACAGAGTTTCTTCCAGCCATCTCTTCGGGGGGTGGGGGGGGGGCAGAGCCCCACCGAAGAAAGTCTACCGCCCCCCCCCCGAACGAAATGAAATGTATATAGAAAATTTAAATATATACTTTTAACAGTGTTCGCCCCCCCTCGAAGAAAGTCTACCGCCCCCCCCCCAAATTTCAAGTGCCCCCCGCCCGGAGAAAAAAGTCTGGAAGAAACACTGAGGGCACATGCGTGTAATAGGTTAGGACAGCCACCCCGGGCGTCTACTTTAGGGAGCGCCAAACAAGGTACACAAAAATATAAATAATAAAAAGCTCATCCGGTGCTGTATTACTTGTATACAATCACATTTATTTGGTTTCAATTATTGTCTAAATAAAAACTGTACGGGGGGGGGGGGGGGGCGCTATTTTTTTTTATAGTTGTCGTGAATAACTATTACTCTACACAAATAGGCGGGAAAGCAGAATTGATAGTTTGAACGGACGCTGGAATGGGTCTGTCGGTACATACTACTCCGGTGTAGGGTGGTAGTTAAAAAAAATGTTTTATAACATTCTGCTTTATGCTTTTTAAGGGGTAGTTAAATATAATGTTATATAACAAGTCCTTTATGTTTATTCTTTACGCTTATTTTCCTACAATTTCATTCATTAAACTGGTTGAATGAACAGGTATGACATCACCGCCTTATATATATATATATATATATATATATATATATATATATATATATATATATATATATATATATATATATATATATATAAATTTTTTTTTACGTATGTTGAGGGTCCTATGACTAATACATTTTGAAACGATATTATTGAACGGCCATCATTAAAAAGTATTCTTATAAACACGTAGAAAATCTTCTCACCTTCTTTCATAAAAAGATCTATTTCAAAAGTGTAGCTCCGCACAGAAAATTCCTCAACGGGAAAAGATTTCCCGTCAACGGTTATGTTGCCATGGTAATCTCCACAGTTCAACCTAATGTTTTCGGAGAAAAACGCGTTTGCGTTTTCATCCAAAGTTAACACTATTGGCTCACTCTGAAAAATAGAATGAAAAATCTTTATAGGTAAACAAAGTGATTAGTATTATAGGGTGTTTTTAGCATGCTATATACAACGAAATGCTGGCTTGACAATGGGGTATTATAATCAGCATTTGTTTTTGTTTGATACCATCGTGTTAGAGTGATTTTAAATGTTTATTTAAGACTATTTTCTCCGGGTGGGGGGGGGGGGGGGGTAGGGTAGTTGTCTGCTAAATTTCCCAGGACGTGGTGATAAGGTGGGGGCGGACACTGTTAAAAGTATTAGTTTTGTAGATATTAATTCTATTTCGTTTGGAGGTTGTGGGTGTGAGTGGTAGACGTGCTGGGGGGGGGGGGGGGGCAGCACCCAACCGAAAGGATGCATTGGTCGCTATGTAATTGTTCATTTAGGGTCCCAATTGAAGCCGACATGTCTGTGGTCAGCGTTAAGGCGAGAACTAGAGTTAGGGTGGGGAAACTAGCTTGGCTCAGTGAGTTACCAGAGATACTAGAATAACACTTTTAAAAATGTATAATTCACAGTCCCAAATAAAGATTAGGTAGGAAAAGTCTATATAATCATACTAAATTTTTTAAAAATTATTTTAAAAAACATGGCAAGCGATAAAATTATAGCTACAATTTTAAAAATTAAAGTAGATTAGGAACCATCGATTACACTCATTTTCATATTTTTGTGTTGAACATAAGCCGTTGAAAATGATTTTGAATTATTGTATAAATTTAAATATTTAATAAAACCGCCCTCAACCCCACCTTGAACTGAACTGAACTGGCCAGGGAGAGTAAAACGATGGAAGTCATAACATTTATTTTCTACGATAAATACTGACAAGGTAATCCAAGAAAACAAAATGGCGAACAAGGGAATATTTTCAGTTCGATTCAGGCTTTTAAAATTCGTTTGTATCCCTTTTCATTATAGTTGGCTTATTTTTTTTATGACTGTTATGCTCAGATTACTAATATCTAACATTATTCTTATTAATTGTTACCAATGTTTTTTGTAGAATGTTTTTAACACACGTTTCATTATTTTTGTTAGGTCTGTGACTACTCATCTGTCTCATAGTCTCATACACTACACTGAGTGCTCTAGTCTAAGCTGAGATCTAGATTCTAGATCTAGAATCTAGATCTAGATATCTAGATCTCTAGATAGAATTATTATTAAGTGTCTATAAGTTTCTAGATCTAGAGTCTAGATCTAATAAAATCTAGATCTAGATTATCTAGACTAGATAGATTTATAATTTATATCGAGAATCTAGATCTAGATTAGATTATCTAGAGTTCTAGACTAGCTAGTCTAGATAGATCTAGATCTAGTAGATTTAGTAGATAGATCTAGATCTAGATAGTAGATTGGTTTATATTAGAGATACTCACTAATTTTAAATTTCGTTATTTTTCGATTTAAACATTACCAATGGAAACTAGAGATCAATCTCTAATCAATCAAATACTTAATTTGTTGAAAATAAACTCATTTGGAGCTTAATTACTGATTTTTATTAATTGGCCACTCCAAGCATTGCAAGCCAAATAATCCGTGACAACCAGATCGCCATTACTTTTCTGAAGAGACGAACTCTGCAGGTTTGACCTTGCAGCTGATTTGATTTTAGCAGAATATGCACAGTACATTTGATTTTATTACCACATTTCTATTCGTATGGACACTGTCTTCGTCAGAATAAAAAATCACATAATGGAATTAGATCTAGAATTTTTAAATATTTTTGTTTAATTTTTTTTTAAATGGAAGGGTGTTTAAAAAGGAAAACTAAATTCAAATTAATGAACAACATGTTCAAGAATATATAGTTAGTATAGATCTAATCTTTTTAAAGATATTCAATCACATGCATGTTTTATTAACTAGTGTAAGTGTTTTAGCAATGCTTAATTAGGGCAATTCATAAAATATAGCGATGTCATTGTAAAATTAATCTAACCCTCTTCTCTCACTTCACTTGGGACAGGTGTGTTATTTACAAAGTTTTGTCTATGCTCAGTTTAAAATGTAAAGATTTGTAAGTATTTGATTTATTTTAAAAAACACTGCAATAGCATTCAAATTCATCAAGTTAGCGAGAAATACATTCTAAACAGCGTCACGGGCAGTGCGCGTGACAGACATCTCGCTCGCTTAGTTTTGTCAACCAGAAAAGTTAGCCTATCAAATACAATTAATTAGGCCTATAAAATAAAAAGAGGCCAATCGCATTAAAATGATCGCCTGTGAGCGAAGATATATGCAAATTACAAACATCGCTAGCCCGCCTGCGTTCTTTTGTCAACCAGCGAGAGAAAACTCACAGCACAGTGTGCGCATGCGCTAAATCTAGTCCAAGTACTTTGTTATCCCAAGTTATAGGCCCTAATTAGTATTATAGGTCTAGATTAATATAAAGTTCAAATTAAATGTATTTAATTAAGATGTGTGTCTATTTGATTTTTCAAATGTCAGCGCATAAAAATTAATCACCCGAGAGCGAGAATTAGGCCTATGCCTATGCATTCCAAACGTCGACACAGGCCAAGTGTGACACACGACTCGCTCGCTCGCGCTGGTTTGTCAGCGCGAGAGGCATCGCCCGCCACAACGCCGCCGGCACAGCACACACATGTCCTAGTCCATGCGTACTTGGTTTACTAAGTACTAATTAGTAATGTAAACCTAGACTCAACGCTAAAATCATTTAATTTATCAGGCCTCTAAAATCTTAATAATATATAATAAAATATATAAATATCAGTGGCGTAGCGAGGTCGGGTGTCACCCGGTGCGGCACTTAATGGTGTCACCCCCCCCCCAGAGGCGTAGCGACCCTTCCCGGGGACAAATTTTCGATTAGCACCCCCCCCCCTCAAACTTTCGATTTGCATCCCCCCTCAAGTTTTTCTCTATATATTTTGCTATTTTTTGCCTTGGTGTCACCCCCCCCCTAAATGGTGTCACCCGGTGCGGTCCGCACCCCCGCCCCCTCGCTACGCCCCTGATAAATATATTTATATAATATAAACATTACTAAGCCTAATAAATGTATCAACGAAGACCAGTGAAAATAATATTATAATTAACCTAATTAAAATTTATGAAATCAATAAGAATTAAGACAAATTAATTAAGCTATAACAAATTTGAAAACAAATAATTAGGCCTAAATAAGCACACAAAGACCAACGCTCACTACAAATTCCCCAGGGATCAACACAAAATTTAAAAAAAAACAAACAAACAGATCGTTGTGGTTTAAGGCTAAGGGCTTTTAGAGTCTTAGTATAATCCAAAAGCCAGGTGAAATATCCATAATTAGGCTTAATTAGTCTAATTACGCTAGCAAAATAAGCTGAAAAAGAGTGTCAAGTGAAAAGAATACAATTATATAATATATAAGCAGCGAGAGAATACTACTGTACAGCTTCCGTAACAATAGCGATGACGTCACAATAAAAAATTACGTGCTTTCAGTGACCTTTTTTGGCTGCCGATTTCTTAAAATGGATTCAAAATAATTACAATATTTTTTCACTAAACGATCAATCTAATAATACTCTACCTTACAGTGCCATTTAGACACGTAACAGTCCTTTATTTAAAGTTTTTAAACAACTCAAACTATACCCATGTTTCCGCTTGACCTCCATGGTCGGAAGCAAATTTTTAAAAAAAAAATCTGCCAAAAATAGCTTTGTCATCTTCAGATAGCTTAAAATACGCGAAAAAAACGCCATTTTTCGCGTGATAATTATTTTTAAACTTAATGTTAAGGTGGTCTCTCGAACAAAGCAGTAAAAATTGCCCAATCGTAGGCCCAGGTGAGGTAGCCATGTTCTGGTTAGCAACCAAGGACGCTTTAAAGTTAGTGAGCCTCGCTAGTTTATATTGGCGAGTATCTAGATCTAGTCTAGATCTAGTACTAGATGTAGATCTAGATCTAGAGTCTAGAAGTCTAGATCTAGTACTAGACTAGATCTAGTATAAATACTAAAATAGATCTAGATCTAGATCTAGATTCTAGACTCTATAAATATTTTATTATTTAAATACTACTAGTACTAGATTTCTAGATCTAAATCTATTAATATATTATATATAACCCTAATCCATAGATTCTATATCTAATACTAACTAGAGAGCTAGATCTAGATCTATATATCTTATACGACTTATAGTTTGTTAAGTAACTTTATATAAATATATTGTATGACAGTAGATTAGATTAGAATTAATCTAGTATTAAGTACAAGTCAAGTTGTAGAGATCTACTCTAGTCTAGTCTAGATCTAGATTCTAGATCTAGAAGCTAGAGATCTAGATCTATATATTTTATAAAAATCTATAGGCCTATTAAATAATTTAAAAAAAAAATAGTATTGAAGTATTTTAAGTTAATAGTAATAATAGATAAGTTAAATAAATTAGGCCCATAGTTTATATTATAAATGTGTAGCTGGTATAGACTAGTTTTAGAGACTAGTCATATAGATTATATAGTAAATAGTTAATCTTAGTCCTTAGTTAGTAATTAGTTAGTAGGGCACTACATAGTACATACACCTAGATCTAGTCTAATAAATGATTAGTCTAATAAGTTAGAGCCTACTTGTTAAAATATATTTACTATTGTAGTAGTATTAGTAAGTATAGTTACTCTATACAGTTACTGGATATATTATAATACACACAACCTCATAATTGCAAAATCATGACATTAGTGAATCAATTATTTAGTAGGCCAATATTTTCTATATTAATTTAATTTTAATATTTAATACTTACTAAATTACTAGATCTGTACAAAATACATTTTATTTTAAGATAATTTAGGCTATGGTACAGATAACAGTCCTAATACTTCAATTACATTGTTATTATGATTAGGGCCTAGTTAAAGGTAATTACTAATTAGACTTATGATGACTTATGTTAGTCTAACTAATAGATTCATATTTAATAACAGTAGGTCTATAGGCTTAAAATAGTATTGTAAAAAAAATAAAGTATGCTTAATTTTTACAGTTGTCATATTACTTTTAGTTTCAGTAGGCCTATCTAGACTGTAGATTTACATGTAGTAGCTTAGTAGTAGTCTAGTAGGCCTGTGATAGGATAGGTATTTAGTATTAGTATGTAGATCTAAGTTAAACAAAGTTAACTAGGCTTAAGGCTACAATTTTAAACTGTAAAAATTGCATGTAGCCTAAATAAAAGGTTACAGACTAGTACATTAAATAATATCCAAAATTTAAGTTTAATCTAGATTAGTAGTCTAACAGTAATTTTAGGCCTCTAATAATAATAGTAAAAATTACTGAATAGAAGAGTAGGCTTACTAGTTAAGAGCTGTCTTATTTTAGTTCTACTTAATTAACTTAATATATGACTTAGTCTACTCTTAGTTTTATGTAGTGATCTTTAGAACTTAAAATGCAGAATAGTTGATAAAGCCAAAAGGTGTCACTTGTCATAGATGGATTAACTTACTAATCAAATTAATATAATTATCCTAATATTTATTTTAGTATGTGCATGAATTAATGATAGTTATAGTAGCCTAGTTTGAATATCAATTTTCAACAAATTCCTGAGGTGGCTAAACATAAGTAGTATATCTTTATTGATACCTTTTTCTTTTTTTTTTAAATGATATATACATGACTTTTGGACTCTTTTGAAGGCCTATTGTAATTAATGACAAACACCTTACATTAAAATATTAAAAATAAACTATTAGACCTATATTTTTAATGAATGGTAATGGTTAGATAGCCCATACAATCCAATACATAAATACACATCATTGCTTTATGATCTTTATAAGACGGACAAATATTTTTATTTATAACATTAAGAGTTGAAAGTATGTAAACATAATGAGTTTAATATAACAGTTTATGAAATTTATTTATGTTTTTTTAGATACTGTGGATTATACAACTGCATACAGAAGACAATAGTCAAGATGAAGCTCAATTTAAAAACTGATCCAAGGATACATGTTGGACCCAAGAAAACTTGTTCATATTGAACAACTATTTTTTATTTTGTTAGTTCTGAATGAATATGGTAATTAAAAAAAGAAAATCATAAACTTTGTTATGTTTATTTTTTTTTTCAGCACTGGTTGTGTGTGCTGGTGTAAGCGGAAACTAATTATTGCTACCTTAATTCAACAAATAACTGGCGAACTATAAATAGTTTTTAAAAATATGGTGCTGAAGTAGATTTCACCAAGTTTTGTTGCCTCTCCATATAAATAAATTGTATGGTCAGCAAAATCTCAAACAGCTTTTACTAAGTTTTACTGTCTATAACCAGTCAGGTACCAGTTAAGGTTAAAGCTGCTTTGAATTTGAATCAGAGACAACCTAAAGGATTAAAATTTCAAATCAAGAACTTTTGCTTTAGCAAATGTGTTCACAAATATGTAGTTCCACTCTAAGCCTTACATTTGCATATATATATATCATAGATGTAATGATAAGGGAAGAATCAAGAATATGGTTTTTGTCAATTCTAGCCATACCAGCATATAAATGTAGACCAGGCTTTGTGAAGCATGGCTGATAACTAACCATCAACCACAAATACAGCAAACTATAATCACTGCCTGTTTCCTGGTAATGTGTTGTTATTGGCCGTGCAAGTTTATGAACATGTTGTAATTGTTTATATATTACAAAAGAAAAAGACTTGCTGATCAGATACATTCCAGATATTTGAGGAAAAGATGTTTTCTATAAGGATAGGCAGCTGTAGCAAATGAGCTTAGGGGAAATGTTGAGTTAGATAAACTATTTAATAATTGTAATGACAGAGATACCATAACAGCAACAAATGTAATTGGGTTTGTATGACTAATTAGTGAATATCCTATAAATAATAGCAAAATGCTGTAGTGGTCGTCCATCAGACTTTGAGGTGGTGTGGGAGATTTGGACCTTTGTGTCAAGGGCGGGAGGGGGTTCAGAAAGTAAGATGACATTTTTCAATGTTCAACAAACACTTATGTTAAGAAACTGAATCTAAGCCTTTATTTGCATTATTAAAAGTTGTTTTATAAATTGTTATAAAATAATTAATCAATAGGCCTACATTGAATGTTGGAAAAGCCCATAGATCTAAATATTTTATGAAAATCGCTGCAATGGGGGGGGGGGGGGGCTTAGGTTTACTTTTTGAGGAAGGGGGAGGTCTGGCATCGTTGTGACATCGTTAATAGATGACCCCATAGTCAGAGGTCGATCTAGATTGATTAGGCCCAGTGGCGTAGCGAGGTCGGGTGTCACCCGGTGCGGCACTTAATGGTGTCACCCCCCCCCCCCCCAGAGGCGTTGCGACCCATCCCGGGGACAAACTTTCAAGTTTTCGATTTGCACCCCCCCTCAAACTTTCGATTTGCACCCCCCCCCCCCCCTCAAACTTTCAATTTGCACCCCCCTCAAGTTTTTCTCTATATATTTTGCTATTTTTTGCCTTGGTGTCACCCCCCTAAATGGTGTCACCCGGTGCGGTCCGCACCCCCCGCCCCCCCCCCTCGCTACGCCCCTGATTAGGCCTATATTAGAATGTTGATATTAATTACGCTTTACTTATTATTACAATGGAATATAGCCTAGTAGTTTATTTATATTAAATAATATAACATCCCCTTTCACAACAACACCCTGACTATACTAATCCAAATTAAAATTAAAATGTTTGTAAATTACTATTATATTATTAGTCATTTTGTGTTTATATATTTTTAGCCTTAGTAAAACCGGAAGTGACTTTGTACTTATTTCACAAATGTTTTAAAATATTCAATTTTGGTTCAAAAATATGCTTTCTGGCAACACAAAGTGGAACCACTTTTGGAACCACTTTTCCTACCTATTCACAGTCCCAAATAAAGCTTTAACATGAGACCTATAATTCACAGTCCCAAATAAAGCTTTCACATGAGACCTATAATTCACAGTCCCAAATAAAGCTTTAACACGAGACCTATAATTCATAGTCCCAAATAAATCTTTAGCACGAGACCTATAATTTACAGTCCCAAATCAAGCTTTAACACGAGACCTATAGCACAACTTACCATGGCGTAGGACGGGTAAAATCTGACGTCACGACCCGGGGAGCTCCTGGGCTGTGACCACCGGTATTTACACAACGCCGTTGGCGTTTCCATGGTAACCAAAAAACCGGAAGCCGGCCTCTCCTTGGTATGGGAAGCTTCTTCCGGAACCGAGGGCTGAAGTTCGGGTCCGTCTACACCAGCGTCAGACTTGAGCAGCTCGGATAGATCAGCGAGGTCGCGAAGTTCGGCCTGGTCATCGGTGCTTTCGAACTCCTGTCGTGTTGCGGTGTTTGGACCTGGACTCTGGTACAGAGGGAGGCCGCTGTCGTCTGCGCCTGAACGCGGGTCAAGGTCACCGTCTAGGGGAGTGTTTGGGGACGCGTGTCTCCATTGTTGCCAGTGTTCAGCGTTCGGTTCGGGCTGGGTTGGTGATCGCTGTTCAAGAAACGTATCCTTTTCTGGGATGTTGTTTGGGGTGAGTCTCGACGTGATGGGGTAACTAGAGTCGTACGGGTGCTCGGCGGCGTCTTCTTGGACTATGTAGGGGAAGAATGTTCGAGAAATTTTAAAATTAAAAATAATAGCTGCAGTGAGGTTTATGCAAATAGCAATAAAACTAACACTACCTGTTTCATTACTAAAGGTATTAAAACAAAAACAACTTCGAAGAAGGCTAATAAAATTTTAAAGCTTAACTATCGAAGAAAAAAAAAAAAAAAAAACAACAACACTTAAAACCAAAAGGGAGTCCCAAAATATAGGCATAGCGTTCACGCCGGAAATATAATCAGAGGACGGTGTGGTCGGACTGTAGCGCGAACAAATACTCAACCGAAAGCCTTGAGTTCGGACACTAGGCCTAATCCGTAGGACGTCTCTGAGCCCACCCAGCTCTGATGGGTACCTGACCCACGTTAGGGGAAAGTAAAAGTGGCTGGTCATAGCACTGACTCCACTATTCCATCATACACCGAGGTTGCAGAAACAGGTGAATTCTACTTTACTTGCCCTATAGACCACCATGTTTTAAAATTGTCATTACAAATGTCGCCCCCACTAACCAAAACGAAATCAATCATCTTGTAATTAATGGAAAAAAAAGTTTATCCACAGTGACAAAGAAAGCTTTATGCTAAATAATATGTGTAAAAATTCCATTCATCATGAAATAAGTGTATGTTTAAAAAAGGTGTAGTCGGGAGGTAGAGCGCACGCCTGAAAGCCAGCGAGTCTTGAGTTTGTTAGCACCAGCCAATAGGACTTCACCTAGCTCTTCTGGGTCTCAAATCCACATTTGGGAAAACAAAAGTGGTTGTACAAGGTGCTTGCCACACTATCCCATCACCTCCACCCACTCAAAGAACAATTTTATTCAATAACGGTAACAACAGTCGGGACGGAGGCCTTTTTTTCACATTGGCCGTTTAAGAAAACTAAACAAAAAAAAACAACATACAAACATAATAACAGCATAGTAATAAAAAGCAATGGAGTAGTAAACACAGAGCAGTAACATAGCATTCAAAGATTTGAAATAAAGAAATAATATTACATAGTTATAATACAAAATGAGATATAATGAGAATATAATAGATGTATGAGAAATGTTACACTCTCAGTTAAAGGCATTCAATATTAATTGTTTTAGTTTAGATTTGAATATATTTTCAGATATAGATAGTTTTATTTTATTATTGAGACTGTTCCACAATTTAGAACCAGAGTAGGCTAGGCTATGTTTTGGAAACAAGTTGTATACGGTGTCCACCCCAACACCCCTCGAAAAATTTAGTCCGCCCCTCTCCCCCAAAGTTTCCATTCCAGTGCCCCCCCCCCCCCCGGGAGAAAAAAGTCTAAAAGAAACACACTGGTTGAGAAAACTGTCAACAATGCGATTAAGCTTTAAACATACAGCGTACACACGTTCAATCAAATCGCCTGACATTTTAGCACATGTGTGTTGAGCCGTTAGGAGAAACACACTTAAAAAAACTATTAACCTATTAAATTTCACGCCGGCAATGCGATTAGCATTTTACGCTGAGCAACACCTTGGCCAGATAATAGTTCCCCGGTTCAGTCAGAGAATGGGTAAGAAGTTTGAACGATTGATTGTCTACGTATCAGTGACCGATCGCTTTACGGCTTGTAACGTAGATCGCCAGGAAATAAATGTCAAACACGCCAGGACAGGAATCGTAGGGGTGGTGTGTGTAATGGTGACTGTGTGTGTGCTTGCGTGTGTAAGTGTGTGTGTGTGTGTTCGCGTGTGTAAGTGTGCGTGTGTGTGTGTGTGTGTGTGTGTGCTGAAATTAAGGGGATGTGTACGAAAGTTAAAGCTTGACACACTTACATTAATTCTAGTTTGAAATTATTTACATTTTTAAAAATTGTGGTTAACATGGAGCATTTTAACAACAACATCACACTCCCACCCCCCTTCCCCCACTAAAATTTAAAATATTTTGACACGATTTTTTTTAAAGAAAGTTAGCTAAAAATAATTTCACAAATTTTAATTCTAATAACTTTAGAATGAAAGAGAGATACGAATTGTCTATACAACTGTTACTGCATTTGAGTTGGAGTTGTTTAGACCTATATATTATCTACATATGTACATTTATCTTTATCTATAAACTAGTATATTGTATATACATATAAAAAAAAACCACACACACACCTACAAATTAGTTTAAGAATCGACCGACGATTTAAATAACTTAAACAAATAAAAATATAGTCTTTATAATTTAAATTCTTTTAATAATAAAAATTAAACAAAAATATATAAAAAGAAACAATTACTATCTACAAGTTTCCAGTTTTTTTTACTATTGATTGACCCACAATGTTATAACTCTAACATATCTCACCAAGAAAATGTCAAGTTTATTGTTTTAGAAAACAAACTTAACGTTGTATATTTTACACTTGAAAAGAACAAGTTCTTGCTATTTATCCCAAGCACAATTCGGAATAGAAAACTTAAATACAAACCTTGTAACATCAACTCCTCTGGACGCTAGAACTAAAATGACAAACATGAAATAAACGAACCTTAAAAGCAAGAGTTACCCGCGGCGATTGGATTTTCTCCCTTGTCAGCTATGGCTACAATGTAATGCTTCAGGAAAGGGAGGCCACTGCTATTTACACCGTCATGAACGGTAAATCACACACTCAAGACAAGACGGGATTAGGATAATGCTAGTCAAACAGGACCGTAGGACGCCAGCACATTGTAATTGATATTCAGTAAGTTATCGATTATTTTACAAGACCGTGGAGTATTTCCTTATGGTTAGTTTTTTTTCCTCAATACATGTCATGTAGATTTAACGTGGGTGTTCAGTCAGATTTGAATAACTATGTGACACGTTAATTATTTTCTCATGTACTCTATTACTGCAGGCAGTGAAGAGTTCTATCCCCGGAAAGTAGAGTACCTGACTCACGTTAAGGAAAGTAAAAGCCGCTGTGCATATAACTGATCATACTACCCTCTCAATTGCCCAAGTCAAAGACACAGATGACCTCTACTTCATCTGCAATACTGACCTCCAGATCCGCAGGAACAAACCTAGTTGAGGCGATCCCTTTGGTACATCTATATCGGTAAAAAAACAATTTCAAAACTGTGAGGCGTGCCTCCAGAGAGATAAAGCAATTGCTAGGGGAGGCGAAGACTAGAGCTAGGGTTACGTCCCATTTATAAATTAAAAAAACCTCATGGGAGATAACATATGACTATGTTCCAAATCTTCAATGGAAATTCGTAAATAAAAGAAAGGAATAAAAATCTTTGTTTTCTAATCAAATATGCTAAATAAATATTTTGTTTGATAATCAATGACTATTTTCTAATTTTTGATGTTTTTAATATAATATTTGACTTAATTTTAAATAAGATAAAAACCTTAACATTATTAAAAGTCTAATTAGTAAACTAGCAAGAATTCATAATAAATGTGCTTATTCCCTCATATTTATCATTCCTTATAAATGAATTTACGTAAAAAAAACAAAAAAAAAAACTTCTTTCTTAAATATATATAACAGCTGGTATAGCCACCTATCTAGCTGTTTAATATAGCTGGTATACTCAAATATGTAGCTGTGTTTAACATAGCTGGTATACTCATACATGTAGCTGTGTTTAGCCCAGCTGATATACCCACATGCTGTGTTTAACATAGATTGTCTACTGGTATACCCACATACAAAGCTGTGTTTAATCTAGCTCATAAACCCACAAAATAAATCAATTTTTCTTTAGTTTTGTTTATAATGTTAAATGATAGTAAATCTCAAAGTTAAGTAGTTCTCTTTAGCAGTCCTTATATATATATATATATATATATATATATATATATATATATATATATATATATATATATATATATATATATTGATGAGTATATATGTCCACCATGTGATGTTGAGCAAGGAATTATCTGTGATTAAATCATTTTGGTTACTGAAAAAAAAAAAAAAAAAAAAAAAAAAAAAAAAAAACGTAAAAAAAAATAAAAAATAAGTATAACATATCCATCGCATATGAAATTAATTCAGTATATTTTATTTTTATATTTAGACGCTTTGTATTAGATCTATGTATGAGTAAACCATCTTAAATGAATGAAAGTAGGCTACAAGTAAGTAAGAAATAGTGCCGATGATGAAAACTGTAATACTAAAGCGAACATGCAAGGCAAACTGACGCTGTAAATGACATGTCTGAGCTGAAAAAAAATCGGCCAAATAGCATTACTCTAATGGCAAAGCAGACTGTATTAAAAAAAGATCATACTAATGGTGATCATTTATTTAGTTTGGTCGTGACGGTGAGCAAATTGTTTTTACAAATCTCTCCACTAGCACCAGCAGTGGGGTTGTTCCCACTCAGTGGCGTAGCGAGGTCGGGTGTTACCCGGTGCGGCACTTAATGGTGTCACCCCCCCAGGGGCGTAGCGACCCTTCCCGGGGACAAACTTTAAAAATTTTACGATTTGCACCCCCCCCCTCAAACTTTCGATTTGCACCACCCCTCAAGTTTTCGATTTGCACCCCCCCTCTCAAGTTTTACCCTATATATTTTTTGCCTTGGTGTCACCCCACCAAATGGTGTTACCCGGTGCGTTCCGCCCCCCCCCCCCCGCCCCCCCCCCCTCGCTACGCCTCTGTTCCCACTCATTCTATCTCCTTTAAGTCGAGAGCCAGTGAGAAGAGCTATTCGAGCCACGGCTCAAGTAGTTTAATGAAACAATAGTTCCAAACCTTTTCAGATTCAACTACATTAACTCTAGAACAACCTGAAGAAGAATGTCTTGATTTTTTCAACTGTAACAGCCTCGCCTAAAATGCAAGTATACATCACTTCAAGAAGTCAACCAAATCTGCTAGGCCATATAATAAGACAACTCACCGACAACCAACATATTTTTCTACTCAACTTTGGCAGAGCTGACACCGAGTACTACTCCTCATACGCCTTTGACGTCACCACAATACACAACACTAAATATACTAATCGCAATCGCCGGGAGAATACAAGCGTGTCAGCTCTTTTATTCCAATCAACCATTGTCAGCCAGCAAACCCAGACACAACACAGCAGGAAATACCAACAGCACAACCAACAACGTCAACAACAACACCAGGGAACACAAGCCACAACGTCAGCATCAGAACAATAGCGACCGCCAGCACACCACAGCAAAACGCTGTCAATGACTTACAACCACAGACTGACATGGACACTGAAACGTCAGAACGTCAGCGAAAAGGAAGAATGAAGACTGTCCAGCTACACTACGAGAAAGAAAAAAACGAAATCAGCCAAAACAGCATTAGATACACCGGCAACAACTCCACCAAACACTAAACAAACCCAACAACAAGGTACCACCAGCGCATCAACCCAAATCTCCGAATATCTTACTTCTGGAAAAGACAAGAGCTGCTGATACTGCTTCTACAGTTTTAATATTGTCAGCTAGTGTAAAACACACACAAAAAACAGCCCACCCTGAAACCACAAAATGCCAGTACTGCAATAACCTGATCAAAAGCAGACAGGCAATCAAGCACCACGTAGTAAAACACCCAGACACCACTGTCTTCCAATGCGGATATGGTCTAACAAACCTATACACAAGGAACGATATAGAACAACACGTCAAGGACAATAACCCTGACAATGACCTCTGTCACAATGAAATCTTTACATCCTGATCCCAGACAAATGAATATTTTATATTATACGCAGACGACAGGACATAAACAGACAAAACATCTACCAGACAACTATATTCTTCACCAAATTTCATTGTTTGCTTCTGCTATAAAATCGACATTTTCAAATCAAGATTATCTAAATTTAATTATTAAAAGTATAAATACTTGAATTTAAATTAATTTTTTTTTTTACTTTAAATGTAAATGAAAAGATCGACGTATTTACTGGATGATTTAAAGTGAGAGCCAGTGGCGTAGCCAGGATCGTCTCAAGGGGGGGGGGGGGTTCCAATTTTTACCCGGGGACAAACTTTCGATTTGCACCCCCCCCTCAAACTTTCGATTTGCACCCCCCCCCCCCCCTCAAACTTTCGATTTGCACCCCCCCCCTCAAACTTTCGATTTTGCACCCCCCCCCCCTCAAACTTTCGATTTGCACCCCCCCTCATACTTTTTATATATACCGAGGGGTCTATGGGGGGGGGGGGGTTATGACCCCCCCTAACCCCCCCCCCTGCCTACGCCACTGGTGAGAGCTAAACTTGGTAGAGCTAAATTGAGAGTTTAGACCGGAAGACTTAAAAGACTTAAAGCAAGAAAACTTACATTCGTCATCCATAGCTAGTTGTGTTTCCAAGTTAGATAGTTAATGCTGTCTGTGGCTTGTTTAGCTGTTGAGTTTTAAAAAAATATGAGATTAGTGGATAAATGTGGCATTAGTGATGGGGTTTAGGGGTTGGGGGGAGGGAGTTGGTGGGTGGGGTATAATAAATGATAAAACGGCACGATGTGCTATCAGTGTTTCTTCCAGACTTTTTTCTCCCGGGGGGGGGGGGGCGGACAACAGTTTCCGGGGGGGGGGGGGGCACTGGTAAAAGTATATGTTTTCTATATAAATTCCATTTCGTTCGGGGGGGGGGGGGGAGGTAGACTTTCTTCGGGAGGGCTCTGCCCCCCCCCCCTCCTCCGAAGAGATGCCTGGAAGAAACTCTGTGTGCAATTACCACCTGTTTATTACAGTAGTTTTTTGAAAACATGTTCGGTTCTTAAATAGCTGGTTCTTAGAATGTACGTAAGCTTACAAATTTACCTTACAAATTTCATCCATAATCGAGTGCTTGAGGGGGGTGGGGGGGGGGGTGAGGTGGGTGGGAAGGAACGAAGGTATGAAAGAGATAGTGTGGACAATCTTCAAGGAGCAAACATATCTCAGATACCCTCAATCACCCGTCAGATATCACGGATAGCAATAGACACCCGTTCAATCTACTGCACCTACACACATACTCGGAAAGGAAAATATTCTTTGCAAAGCTAAAATAATAATAACTTTTTGGCTTGTCAAACACGATATTTAAAATGATAATAACATTAGTATCGACTTTATGGCAAGAACGATAACTGTAAAAAAATGGTCACTTGTACTGAGGAAGAGTTATCTACATGTTTTATCAAATACGTAACTGCACATGTCAATACAAGAATTCCCATATTATTTCTTATATTCAGAGTTTTTTCCTCCGCCCCACCCCCCCCGAACGAAATGGAATTTATATCGACAATATATACTTTTAACTGTATCCGCCCCCCCCCTTCCTTCGAAAATGTTTATCCGCCGAAAATTTCAAGTGCACCCCCCCCCCCCCGGGAGAAAAAAAGTCTGGATGAAACACTGCTTATATTACTTGCCAGCCATATCTATTTTTCAAAAGTAAAATTAGAAAAAAAACATCTAAGTATCGTAACTTATATGCCGAATGTTTTCACTATTGTAAAACATTTAACCATCCGTTCGGTCGGTATATTATAGGCGAATATTAGACTTACACTTCATTAACACAAGCCAGACTTCACTAGCAGTGCCGATTTCTCAACTGTCGTATAAAAGTGACCTTGACCTTATCAGCTCTCGTGTAGTGTAGTGAGGGTCATAAAACATTCCCCCCCTCTCCCGCCCCGACCCAAACTTTTTTTTGTCTTGTCGTTATCGTGATACCCATGCCCCGTAACTTATTTTATGTGCGCCACCCCCCACCCTTAGCCCCATATCCCCATACCGAGGCCCACCCCCTATACCGCTGATATCCCTCATAATCATCAGCCCTGCAATACATACTATTTCCATAATGCTTCACTCTACCTTCCCCTTATACCTTCTTCATCGACTTTTCCTAATATTGTCCAAGATACTTGGCGCAGGTGAAGTAGAGTTCATCTGTTCATCTCACCCTACAGACCTCGGTACATGAAGGGATATTGAGGTCGACACTGTACCTTCTCATTCCCTCAATAAAAAAGTTTTAACGTCCCGTCCCGTCTAACTTCAGCCACAACACACAACTTATAAGCTTGTTACCTTAATCCGTACCTCAACGAAAACACTTTTTACATACATAGGTCCCCAAACTATGGGTTGCGACCCAGGGGGGGGGGGGGGTCGAGAAGGGCTTTCTGGGGGGGGGGGGGGGGGTCGCCAACTGGTAGACTAAACTCTAGCAATGAAAAAAAAAACAACCTTAAATATGTAGAAGATTATCTGAGATTCGGCTTTACTGACATTATTGGAACTGGAATAGAGACGAAACTATGCGTACTGTGCTAAGTTGTTTTAAGTCATAAGTCTAAGAAACTTTCAAAACTAAAACGTCATTTTGAGACGAGTCATTCGGAACACACCATAAAAAATATGGAGTTCTTTCGTCGGCATGTACTGGAATCCCCAATAATTAATTTCACCATTTTCAACATGCAGCGTTTGATGAGATTTTCTCCTATTGTGTTTTTTTGTTTTTTGCTTGGCAATTTCTATCGCGACATCATTTGATGCTTGCACTAACGCTGTGTTTCCTTGGTGAAAACTTTCTGTTCGATTAAGTCTCTGACGTTTGCAACTAGCTTTATGCCGACGAAAGAACTCCATATCTTTTTTGGTGTGTTCCGAATGAATCGTCTCAAATGACGTTTAAGTTTTGGAGATTTCATAAACTCGTGACTGAGAACAACTTTGTACAGTACGCATGGCCTCTTAACTATTCCATTTTTAATGATGTTAGTAAAGACGAATTTCAGATATTCTTCTAAATATTTATGTTTTGCTTCTCATTACTAAGGTTTAGTATACCAGTTGGCGACCCCCCCCCCCCCCCCAGAAAGGCCCACGGGTTCCCAAACTGCGAGTCGCGACCCCCAGTTTGGGAACCCATGGTTTAGATCGAACGTAGGCGCTATTGCGCTAACGGGAAAGCCCAGGGTGCCAAATAGCACCCTGCAGGGGCGTCGGAGGCCGCGTCTGATTCGATAAAGTCAACGATGATCGTTGTCCATCGAGTCTTTAGTATGTGTAACCTTTTTTTTAAAAAAACACGTTGGTGCCATAGTGCTCAACGGGGACCCTAGGGCGCTTCGGGTCAGGCAATATCTAGGGCGCCATGGACTATAGTTGAACTCCTTACCCGCCATGCAGGACGCCCCATTAACGGATACCAAGTGCTAAGTTAGCCGCTCTGGAGCTCTGGGCGCCAAACCGTGTGTACTAAAAAATCGCACGCTTCCGGCCCATAAGAAATTTTAATTTGAATTTTTTCGCAGAAACCTTCTCGGGAGTATTTTCATCAACTACTCAAAGTTTCATGGCACTCGGATGAACTGATCGAACCGCATCCGACATTTTGAAATTTTTTTTTTATTGTAGAAACCTCCCCAGGAGTATACCCAACAACTGCCCAAAGTTTCATGGCGATCGGATGAAAGATGTAGTAATGCATAAAAGACAGACACACATACATTGCTTTTCATATATATCTTTATATATATATATATATATATATATATATATATATATATATATATATATATATATATATATATATATATATATATATATATATATATACATATATATACATATATATATATATATATATATATATATATATATATATATATATATATATATATATATATATATATATATATACACATATATATATATATATATATATATATATATATATATATATATATATATATACATATATACACACAGAAAATAATGAAAACATTACATTTTAATTAAAAATATGTTTAAGAATCAAGGGAGATAAGGAGCATTTAATTTCCAATAAAGAGTTACTATCATGGGAAAAATGAAACAGAAAATATTGTATACATAGTTTGTTATTACACTTTATATATGTATTTAAACATAATAAAGGATGGTTCGACACACTTTTTTTTCTATTATTATAAGATTTATGATCTTAATTTAGTCTAAATAAAAAAACTCTTAAGGGTGTTAAATAAACTATTTACAAATGTAAGAACCTGCGATTAAAAGTCATTGATACTCCAAACGAAATCAGGTTAAACAATTGTTCAACTAAGTTATACAAAAAATAAAAAAAAATAAAAATAAAACATAAAAAATAAAATACAAAACCAATTTACACATTTGCATTTTCAGGTTGGTTATTTTAATTTTTTTTATATTTAGACGTTTTGTATTAGATCTATGTATAAGTAAACCATCTTAAATGAATGAAAGTGGGCTACAAGTAAGAAAGAAATATTACTATTGTAAATATGTATCAGTCCTCACAAGCCGATGATGAAAACTGTAATACTAAAGCGAACACACACAACTGACGCTGGCGAGAAAAAAAAGATAGTGCACATTAACTGGTATAGTAGAAGGCAAGGTCATAGATCTAGTTCGAGTCTAGTTTGTACCCGATCATTTAAGTTTATTTATTGTAAAATATTTATTGCAAAATAGACAAAGACTAGGAATCGAACAAAAACTGCTTCAAATGCTGAGAATACTACAAAAGAGGGTTACAGTTAGCATATTTACACAGTCCAGCAGTCAACTGGGAAATCCAATGCTGCAGAAATTAACGACAATCAAGAGGAAGAAGAAACATCCGCTCCCAGAAGAGTTGAAAGAGGTTTAAATAAGGACACGCTTTTAGGACGAGTTGGTAGGGGTCCGGAAACCAGAGGCTCAGAAGAGCACCCTGCACTTATTTTTCCTGTAGCAACAAATGCTACGTACAGAAAATCTAATGGCGAACTTATGACCAAGACTTACTGGCACAGGGTTTGTGTTTTTAGGCCTAGTCTCAGAGAGAATGTTGCCACCAGAAATCATCCAAAGATATCTGGATGATAATAAAAGAGAACAGACCACAACCTCAGTTATTGCTGATATGAGTGTTTCTCAACAGAAGGGCTGCCCCGAAGGAGAAAACTAACATCCACATTTATAGCCTTGTATAGTTTTGTATGATTTGGTACATAAAGGTCCATTTTAATTTGTAGTTCCATTTTACTGCGATTGCAAAGTATTACATGAAGTTGCAGTTGTATAGATGGTGTTCATTTAAAGATATGATAAAATACTACCATGTTTAAAAAAAAAGAGTTATAACGTGAAGTTTTAATTCTAAGGTTTTTGGCAAGTGTATGTTAACTATATACATGGAGCTACGAAGTTAATTCGTGCCGTAACATTGCTTGTATAATAAATTGTTCGTATCTCAATGCTGTTATCTCCATTAAAATTTCATGAAATACCATTATTCCAGTTATTTTTGTTACGAATTTTTAATAAGAAAATTATATTTACAAGTGAAAAATGTTACACAAAACACAATAAAGGAAAAAGTAAACAAATAAACTTGTTTTATAAGGTGTATATTTCTTTTGAACTAGTTTACTGATGCTGCTGGCGGAGGTGTTTATACATATCTACATCTACATCTGTATTTATGTATATATATATATATATATATATATATATATATATATATATATATATATACATATATATATATATATATATATATATATATACATGTATGTATATTATTATATAAGTATGTATAGATATTTGTATATATATATGTACAAATATATATATATATATATATATATATATATATATATATATATATATATATATATATATATATATATATATAAGTATAAATATACACATTTAAATAAATATTATTCTCATATACGTAATGATAAGTCTAACTTTATTCAACTGGCCTATTTAACATAATAGGCAGAATTTACTTCTTCAACTTTTATAAACTATATAAAATATAAGTAAACGTTTTTTATTTTCATGTTCCTATGCAAATTGCAAAGCAATTTGATCGGTAGTAAAAATAAAATAAAATTTTTTGTACAGCTCAACAGTATGTTATTCTGTACGTAAGCTGTTCTTATAGCGTCAAACGTAGTTAAAAAAAAACAACTCAAGTGACAGCAAACAGAGCCTACCTGTCAAAAATATCAATCATTTTTTTTATTAAATATTCAAGCCTCGGTTTTTGAAACTCCACAGAAATCGAACTGTGACAAACGACAACATCGATTTTTTTTTTCCCGCACTGCTTTTGATGTTTAAAAAAAATACCACGCGTAAACTTAAAAACTGAATCTGTTTAGGCCTATTCAACGAAACATCGAAATGTAAATGATGTGATTTAGAAACAACTTCACAGGTTAGTCCTATAAAAGATTAACACACGATTATAGAGATGTGAAATAGAACTCAGTCCCCCCCTTACCTGTAGTGGGTTGATACCAGCCAACTCGCCATTCCCCGCAGACGTGTCGAGTTCCTCCAGGACATGCACCGTTTCCCGCTCTGCTCTATCAAAGAACCATTCGATCTATTGAATTGCTAACGATTGTTGTATCGATTTGTCGCACCCCCCACCCCTCACCCCCGCCGCGCGTCTGTGTAGATCTCACACCGTTCACAGACCAAGCGTGTCTCACACGTGAACAATTGAGATAGTTCATACACATATAGGGCCTACATAACACACACGCATACTCACACAGTCATACACACGCACATCCAAACACATTTATACAAGCACATACAAACACATACATAAACCGTGTATCTATGTATACACACATACACTAATGTATACTAAAACACCCATCCATGTATATTCGTAAATACCAAACTTCACTTAACATACAATAAGTAAATAACTGTATACATAAATTATAACATCAAACTAATGTATAGAGTACATGTTCACACACACACACACACACATACACATACACGTATACACATGAACACACACATAAATACACACGCACAAACACACACACACACACACACACACACACACACATATATATATATATATATATATATATATATATATATATATATACATATATATATATAGGCCTATACACATATATATATATATATATATATATATATATATATATCGTTGGTATGTGAATTCCCCATTTTTTCAACAAAAAAACTGTGAACACAGTGAACCTTTGCCAACAGAACTGTTGAGTTTGTACCCAATACAGTGCGTCGTTTGTTCAATAAGAAAAAAAAAGTGTCGCAGCGAACTAGTACGATTTTTAGATAAGCTTTGTCAGGAGAGATCAATACTCGATAATCGATAGATCTCAAGATTTAAGATTACTGCTAATGGAAAGGCAGGAAAAAAAAATAATGTTTGGTACGATTGAACAGATCCATGTGTTTGGTAGAGATAATCGATACATGATTGGTTATCGATACGGTGCTTGTGTTTCATGCGAGAAAGTTAAGTTTATAATTTGTTTAGATTTGTATTGTAGTTACTGAGGCAAGGTTCTGTTTTAGGCTTCAACCGATTCTTTTTATGTTAGTAGTACTCTCATTAGTAATTCTTATGGTAAAACAAGGGCTACTAGCTTACCCCCGTAATTTGTATTAGTTCTTCGGATAAAGCGCGATCTAGATCCAAAGTCGGATTCGGTTTACAATTAGGTCTAGGCAGTAGCGTAGCGAGGGGGGGGGGGGACATATGTCCCCGGGCGCCGACCTTAGGGGGCGCCAAAATGGGTCGAAAAAATAAATTGAAAGGTCGAAAGTTTGAGGGCGGGGTGCATATCGAAATCTTGAGGGGGGGGGGGTGCAAATCGAAAGTTTGAGGTAATGTTTGTCCCCGGGCGCCGGGAAGGGTCGTTACGCCTCTGGGTCTAGGGGATACTGTTAGGCTTTGAGTACTATAAAAAAGGTTGTGACTGGTTTTTGGGTTAGGACTAGAGCTGTAAAACCACCCAGCTCCGATGGTGAAAATTAAACGGTCAGGCAGTGATTCTTCCAGACTTTTTTCTCCTGGGCTGGGGGGGGGGGGGGGGAAGACGACTTGATATTTTCGGGGGGGGGGGACAACAACATTTTCCGGGTGGGGGGGGGCGGTAGACTTTCTACAAAGAGATGCCTGGAAGAAACTCTGCGGTCAGGGTAATACTGGCCACGTAATTCACATACAGAAACAGATGCACTCTGCTTCACCTGCTTTATTGATCGTCATGACACCGTGTGTTGGCGAAGACGTTTGCGATGTTTTTCCGTATGGGCGATTTTTATGTTTCTTATTACTGGTGTGTGCTATATTTATGTTATGGGTTATGTTATGTGCTACCATTATGTTATGTGCTACCTTCGTGTTATGAGCTACCATCATGTTATGAGCTACCATCGTACTACCATCATGTTATGAGCTACCGTCGTGCTACCATCATGTTATGAGCTACCGTCGTGCTACCATCATGTTATGAGCTACCATCATGTTATGGGCTACCATGTTATGTGGTACCATCATGTTATGATGAGCTACCATCATGTTATGAGTTACCATCATGTTATGAGGTACCATCATGTTATGGGCTACCATAATTTTATGAGCTACCATCATGTTATGTGCTACCATTATGTTATGAGCTACGACCACGTTATAAGCTACCATCATGTTATGTGCTACCATCATGTTATGTGCTACCATTATGTAACGAGCTACCATCATGTTATGAGCTACCATCATGTTATTAGCTACCATCGTGTTACCATTATCTTATGTGCTACCATTGTGTTATGTGCTACCATCATGTTATGAGCTACCAAAGTGCTACCATCATGTTATGAGCTACCATCATGTTATGAGCTACCATCATGTTATGAACTACCATACTGCTACCATCATGTTGACTGAATCATTTGTGCTCCATTGGGAGCAAAGGGCTGCAATCACACCTTTCCACTGGACTCTGTTTTGGGCAGCTCTCCTTATATATGCCCACGTGAGTCCAGTAACCTTTACCTATTCTTCTACCGATGTGCTGCCATTATGCTATGTGCTACCATCATATTATATGCAACCATCATTTTTATCTTCTAACATAATGATATGTGATACCATCATAGGTAACGTGCTTCTCTCGTTGATACGTGTCTATGTTAGTGTGAATATATTCAGGCGATGAAAGACTGAAAGGTAATACCCTACTCCTTGACCTTTCATTGAAGTTATAATCTAGTAGATCCAACACTGATTCTTACATTATGCTAGTGCTGGTAGAAAGAGCCAATTCTGTTAGGCACCATGATAAGTCTGTTTCCATAGTTCACAATTTGTTTCCAATAGAAATTATTATACTTAAAAATATAGTTGTATGGACCATCCATACTTTTAATTATTTGCGCGCTATATGGGAGACAATTCAATAATTGCCATAATTCTTCATTGAATTACTTCCTTTAAATTGAAGAGCATAGGATATATATTCCTTATTAAGCCACAAATAACATTCACACCAGGCAAATAATTAAAATTATGTTTATATTAAAAAATAATGTTTATTGTTAAAAAATGTAATTAATAGTCATCTATCAGTAACTACATATTTTTACAAACTAAAATCATATTTGGAAAATAAATTCGAATTTTACTGAATTAGCACGAGAATGTCATCCTTTGATATGTTTTTACTCTTACAGAAAATGGCACAAAAACCATTATGACGAGATTTAAACGATTAACAAAAAATACTACATGTTGTCAATTTGAATAAAGTAATGTTCATAAGAACGATAATCTGTCTGTGACTAGGATTAGATTGTCGAACCTTGTTGAGAATACAAACAGTAGTGATATAGTTGAGAGAACTCAAATTTTGGTAGCACTCAGTCAGTGAAAACTTGGGAGCACACAGTCAGTGAAAACGTGGGAGCACTCAGTCAGTGAAAACTTTGGGAGCACACAGTCAGTGAAAACTTTGGGAGCACACAGTCAGTGAAAACTTGGGAGCACACAGTCAGTGAAAACTTGGGAGCACACAGTCAGTGAAAACTTGGGAGCACACAGTCAGTGAAAACTTGGGAGCACTCAGTCAGTGAAAACTTGGGAGCACACAGTCAGTGAAAACTTTGGGAGCACACAGTCAGTGAAAACTTTGGGAGCACTCAGTGAAAACTTGGGAGCACACAGTCAGTGAAAACTTTGGGAGCACACAGTCAGTGAAAACTTGGGAGCACACAGTCAGTGAAAACTTGGGAGCACACAGTCAGTGAAAACTTGGGAGCACACAGTCAGTGAAAACTTGGGAGCACTCAGTCAGTGAAAACTTGGGAGCACACAGTCAGTGAAAACTTTGGGAGCACTCAGTCAGTGAAAACTTGGGAGCACTCAGTGAAAACTTGGGAGCACACAGTCAGTGAAAACTTTGGGAGCACACAGTCAGTGAAAACTTGGGAGCACACAGTCAGTGAAAACTTGGGAGCACACAGTCAGTGAAAACTTGGGAGCACTCAGTCAGTGAAAACTTTGGGAGCACTCAGTCAGTGAAAACTTGGGAGCACTCAGTCAGTTAAAACTTTGGGAGCACTTAGTCAGTGAAAACTTTGGGAGCACTCAGTAAGTGAAAACTTGGGAGCACACAGTCAGTGAAAACTTGGGAGCACACAGTCAGTGAAAACTTGAAAGCACACAGTCAGTGAAAACTTGGGAGCACTCAGTCAGTGAAAACTTTGGGAGCACTTAGTCAGTGAAAACTTTGGGAGCACTCAGTGAAACCATTAAATGACTGTAAAAATACACGACACCGATTTCCTGTATACTAATCCATACACTCTTTATCTAATCTTTAATCCCATCCTCATCACCATTCCCAACACCATTCACACTATTTCCATCCACACCATACCAGACCCCCCAGCACCATCCCTACTTCATACACCCACACCAGCTGCACTCCACACTCTCATCTTCACACCAGACCCCCACCATCACCCCTACTTCACACACTCACACCCACCTGCACTCCACACTCTCATCTTCAGACCAGACCCCCACCATCACCCCTACTTCACACACTCACACCCACCTGCACCCCACACTCTCATCTTCACACCAGACCCCCACCATCACCCCTACTTCACACACTCACACCCACCTGCACCCCACATTCTCATCTTCACACCAGACCCCCACCACCCCCACCCAGTGGCGTAGCCAGGATCGTCTCAAGGGGGGGGGGGGGGGGTCCAATTTTTACCCGGGGACAAACTTTCGATTTGCATCCCCCCTCAAACTTTCGATTTGCACCCCCCCCCCCTCAAACTTTCGATTTGCACCCCCCCTCATACTTTTTATATATACCGAGGGGTCTATGGGGGGGGGGGGGGGTTATGACCCCCCCAAACCCCCCCTGCCTACGCCACTGCCCCCACCACATTCTCATCTTCACACCAGACCCCCACCACCACACCCACTTCACTCTCACTCTCACTTCAATCTCACGTCACACACCCACCTCCACCCCACACTCTCATCTTCACACCAGACCCCCCACCCCCACCACATCCCCACTTCACACACCCACCTCCACCCCACACTTCCATCTCCACACCAAATCTTCACCACCATTCCCACCCTCATCCCTAAGTATCACAATCACCAGAACACAAGAATATCACTAATGTAGGTGTCACCATCTGATAACAAGGGTTCAAATCCTTGTATCATAAACTGCTGGCTCCTCAGCCTCGTTCACTGAAAGTAAAAGTAAATTTAAGTTCAGCCAATTTATAATTATAGTTAAACACACATTTTAGTTTAGTCAATTTATAAACATAGTTAAATGCACTTTTTAGTTAAGCCAAATTGTAATCATGAGCCGACCCGCGGCATATCATACGCCGCTATTTAGTTGTTTTTTTTTACTTTTCAGTAATTCATAATTTGTGAATTCGACCGTACCAATGCTGCCACTGAAAATATTTGCCTTAAAACACTATTAGTTACCTCCTCTAAGTTTAAAATCGTTTCAAACTAAATTATCTGCCCCTAATAGCCGTCACTCAACCCGTCTCTACGATTGTAAAATGTAAATATTTAGCGTGAACCACAGCTCACCAGACCTTGCAGCTTGTTTTCTAACGTCTCCCAGAAGAGAATTATATATATAGATTGTTACAATAATCGTATTGTATTTTTAAATAAAAATTAGTTATAAGATACTAGCTACAATCCGTCAAATGCAACGAGTATTTTCATTCATTGCCCAGGTTTCATTCAATTACAGTCGAAAAATTAAATAATCTGTAAATATATATATATATATATATATATATATATATATATATATATATATATATATATATATATATATATATATATATATATATATATATATTAACATTCAGTTCGCATTGAGAAAATTTTTAAAAATAAAATAATGTTGAATTAATATCCTGCCTTATAAAAACGAAAGCAATTACGCACATGTATACTCACAAGTTATGGCGGGAACGTTCACCAGCACTTCCGTCTTCTGCTGGAGGTGGAAGTTCTGGTACACGCTGTCGTCTGCGTGGTGGTGGCTCTCGCGCTTCTTCTTCTTCTTCTTCAGCTGGGCGTGGCGCCTGAGGAAGACGGTGCACGTGACCACCAGGATCAGCAGGAGTGTGCCGCCGCAGACGATAGCAGCGATCTCGATCCACAGAAGCTCGTTGCTGCTGTTTACTGGGACAGGGGAGAGAATTGTGTAAACACGTCTATTTTGTTTAAAATAATGCGATGGCTAATTTCATATATATATATATATATATATATATATATATATATATATATATATATATATATATATATATATATATATATATATATATATATATATATATATATATATTTAAATAAATAATATGTATACACACATACACACACACACACACACATATATATATATATACATTTATATATATATATATATATATACATATATATATATATGAAATGAGCCCCCCCTACCGAACGAAACGGAATTTATATAGAAAATTTAAAATAGAAAATATATACTTTTAACAGTGTCCGCCCCCCCCCCCGAAAATTTAATGCGCTCCCCCCCCCCCCCCCCCCCAAATCTTTTTACGTACCCCCCCCCCCCCCGGAGAAAAAGTCTGGAAGAAACCCTGACTACATGATGATTAACTGTTCATTAATACTATTTTTGAACCGGACCATCTACAAATTCAAAATATATAATTTACAAACATATTTTTTACTGGAAAAACAAACAAGCTCCACTTACAGTAATTTGTGGGTTTTTTTTTGCACATTTATATATTTTTAATGTTGCTTGGCTAAGTGGTTTGTAGATTAAGATGAGAGTGGTGATGAAGTGGCCACGCCTTTTTCTCTCTACATTTTTTGGAGTGGTAAAAACACAAAGTCCTAATTAAACGCCGGTAACTACACCGCTAAGGGACGGTGTGGCCTAGCTGTAGAGCGTTAGACCGCTAAAACCCTTAAGTTTCGAGTTCAAATCCGCGTTTAAGTCAGTAGAACGTCCCTGAGTCCACCCAGTTTTGATGGGTACATAACTTACGTTAGAGAAAGTAAAGACGGCTGGGTATAGTGTTGACCATTCATATACCGAGGTCACAGAAACAGGTGAACTCTACTTCACTTGCCCCATGTAACGTCAGGCTTGGAAGGGGAACTTTACTTACTTAAACTACACCACTTGTCTGGGAATAAGAAAATTAATATCTAAAATAATTTCTTGACGTACCTGTGGGGTACTGCTTGAACACATTGAACCTCAAGTTCAGCACCCCAGCACTGTTGCTGACCACAAGCACATACGAGTTATTGCCCTTCTCTCTGTGGTCAAACAAGGTCACCGACACCAGCACAAAGGGCGGGGTAGTCTGGGCGTGGGTCACCTCATACAGGCTTACGTCTACTGGCGACCTTTGACCCATCTTTTCCGTTAGAAGTCCGATTTTGGTAGGCTTGGGGTACCCGTATAACTCAACGGTGTAGATGGTGTTTGTTCCGGGGGAGGCTTGGATCCCCGGGGTGAGGTCTGGGGAGGGGGAGTATCGCACTTGGAAAGGACCTGTAAAGATTAGTTTTGAATTTAAAACAACATCTTGTGTTAATTAATCAAAACTGTTATGTCTAAAATTTAGTATACAAAATTTACATAAAAGTGCAAATAATACTTTAAAATGCAGCTTTGAAAACAAAAACCTAAAATATATTTTAAACTTAGTTATCTGTCTTTCAGTAAACCCGTGTCATAATCTCACTAATCTTAATCAAAATTATGTTTTCAACCTGGCGGTTCGTTAGGTAGAGGAAGTAGAGTTCACCTGTTTCTTTGACCTCAGCATATGAAGAGATAATGTGGTCAGTACTATGCCGTTTCCTTACGTAATTCAGGTACAATTTGGATGTGGGTGGACTACAGGACGTTCTACAGACTCGAACCCGGTATCCGAACTAGAAACTTTCTGGTGTGTAGTCGTGAACACTACCATTCGACCACGCCAACCCATAAATCTACATAAAACCTCATCAAAGATCTTACAGAAGACATTAATCTCAAGCGACGCGTAGTTTCCATAGCCAGTGGTCTCAGTCCTGCAGTAGTAGCGTCCTGAATCCTTACAGGTCACGTTAGCAATGGTCAACTTAATCCTTCCGGTCTCAGACCGCAGCTGCCGGACCTGGCCCAGCACACTTCCGGTTAGAACCAGAGTGGCGGCACGCACGGACTGCAGGAGACAGAGGAGGGTGACGTCCAGCCCAGTTTGGGTCACAAGAGAGGTAGCACCATTGGCGGTAAACACGATGTCCTCAACATCGGCTGGGAATGATGAAAAAAAAAGATACTATCATGTATATATATATACATATATATATATATATATATATATATATATATATATATATATATATATATATATATATATATATATATATATATATATATATATATATGCCGACACTTTCATATACATGCATACATAAACATGTATTTTTTTTTTTTTGTTAATAACCTAGAACATATATAAACCTATATATGTACAGTCTCTCTATATATACTATATACTATTTTTATATACATATGCATTATATATAGCCTACAGATATATAAATACATTAATGTACACACACACAGATACACAGATTGGTCTATATATATATATATATATATATATATATATATATATATATATATACATATATATATATATATACATATATATATATATATATATATATATATATATATATATATATATAAATACACAGCCTTCTCTAACCCATCTATATTTACATATATATATATCTCTATGATGAGCACTCACCTTCGGTAGCGGATCTTATATCTCTTTCCTCGTTCAACAGCTCTGTGCCATTTATCACATCAACTACAGAGAGCAACGCTGAAATATAAAAACGCACTATCTGACAGATACACTACTGAATAGCATGGTTATATTATCATCCCCCATCAACGTTCCGTGTCTAAGATACTGGTTTCCACCCCTATCACTAAAAAATTCTTGATTTATTATCGAATTACAAAAAGAAATCTAAGTAACTACATTTAAAAAGAAAATTAAGTAAATTTTACTCATACCTAAAACAACAAGACTACACTTCATGCTCTTCAACGATTTGACGAGACGCTTCAATCTAAGACAAAAGGTATAGTATTTATCATTATCGATTTCGTTTGAAAATATCATAAAAGCAACTTTATTCTATGTTTTACGCAGACATATGAAATCATACATCTGCCCTATATTGTGTATTGTACACATTGAAAAAAAATATGTAGCCTGTCCATTTTTTTTAAATTTCTATATACTCATTTGGTATATTACACATTTGTGTGTTATTTTAATATACTCATGTTTTATATTTGTGTACGTGTTTTCTGTCTTTATTGTATACAAATTATGTTTATATCCATTTTCCCATTTTGTGTATAACACTTTTCGTACAATATCTACATTTGCATTTACATGTTATACTTGTTACCACACCGATGTGTGTGGGCTACTTTGTATACAGAGTAATAATTTGACCAATGCCAGTTTGGGAAAATAATTCTAATAAGTAAAATTCCTAATCAATTTTTTAAAAATTAAATTTTTATTTTAAAGGTGTAGAGTTTCGCTTCCATACTCATATCTGGCGGGGTTTAGCCAGTAGAACAATTATTAAAAAAATATAATAGAAAACGACAATTATTTAACGATATAATGTTTAGTATTTTAAACGGTTTTTTTGTGTTGTTAATGAAACGAGTTAATATACAAACATCACTAGATAAGTTTATAACATCAGTTAATTAGATTTTATTGAAAACATATCTGCTAGTTTTCTATCTCTGTTAACTTCTTAATAGGCTCCATACACAAACTAATATCGCGATGTGATATTAAAATTAACGTTTAATTCTTAAAAATCACAAACCTATTTATTTGAACAAGACCAAGACCAAGCATTAAGGAGCATCTTCGTTTCTGTTTTAAGAAGTGGGTTTATGACATTTAAAAAAATTAGGTATCCTGCTAGCGGCTAGGCTTATGATGCAGGCTTATTTAATGAATCATAATATTTTGTGCTGTTTAATTAAGCTAGCTAATGTGCACTAAGATTTAATTATCCTGTTTATGAACTCAACATAATGTGTCTCCCCATAAATTGTGGAATAAAGGGGTTGGGTGGTGGTGGCCCATTAATGTTTAGATAGGAAGAGGCCGGTCCATTAATAGTGAACTAATGGGGTGGCCCATTAATTGTCGAGTAGGGGGAGGCTGGTCCATTAATGATGGGGTAGGAGGAGGCTGGTCCATTGATAGTGGAGTAAGGGCAGGGGTTAGCTCATTAATGGTGAAGCAAGGGAGGGGGTAAGTGGCCCATTAATTGTCGAGTAGGGGAGGCTGGCCCATTAATGATGGGGTAGAAGGAGGCTGGTCCATTAATAGTGGAGTAAGGAGGTGACCAATTAATGGTCGAGTAGGGTGAGGCTGGTCGATTAATGATGGAGTTAGGGCAGGGGCTAGCTCAATAATGGTGGAGTTAAGGGGCGGTGGCTCATTAATGGTGAAGGGAAGGCTGGCCCCGCCATGATTAAAGCTCTAGAACTTCAGGTGAACCAAAATGCCCCTAAACTCTATAAAAATATATAAAAGGGGGAGGGGTGTGACAAAACACATATTTGGGCCTCGGGTGATTTTTAGCGTTGACTAAACGTAAGATTAATCCCCGTGTGAATCCCAAACATCCCCCGTACACAACCCGCGTGCGACGGGTTGGCATGGCTAGAAAAAATCAATTTCAAACGGTATTATTTATTAAATGTGTATCTTAAATTTAGCGGTATCTAATATCTTAAACATCTAAAAGTAATGACTTAAAATCTTAAATCTACGGGTGTTTATTTCTTCTTCGTGCTTAATTTTAGTGTTGAAAGGGATGCCCTCCAACACAATTAAGTATACGTGTCGACTGGTTATGCGTCATTTTAAGGCCATTGACTCCGATTTCAGCCTGCTTTTCTTTTTGGATTTGGTTCCATGGCTTTGTCCAACCAAGAGCAAACTACAAGGCAGCAGTTGATTTGATATCTTAAAAATTTTAAAGGAACTACTAAAAATCTTACATATATATTTAATAACTAAGAAATCTAAAGGAAACTATATGATTTCTTACATCTAACATTTAATATCACCCACCTGTTTTATTGTTTTATCCTTTCTACAACAGCACCACAGGTAACAGGTACCTTAATTCTTCCTTCGCGGACTTGACACAATCACAATCATCTTCCTCACACAATCCTCATTCAAATACAAGTTAACAATCCTACACTCCCTAAATCTTTAACACTGAAATTCAACTTGCTTTAAAAGCAAAATGTTACTGGCGTATTGAATACATGACATTTAGTCGACTTATAATCCACAAAGTAATCGTCGAACTGAAATAAAGGGGGGGGGGGGTAGAGTGGGGGGGGGGGGGGGGGCGTGTGAATCACACTTGTGTGACAACCGGAACCATGAAATTGAAAACATTTCAAAAAACTTTTCTTTTCACCTTTTCAGTCTGCTTAGACCCATGTTCAAGTGTACAGGTGGCGAATAGGGAGAAAAAAAAAATCAATACTCCATGCGCGTTGAAGCGTGAAAACGGTAAAAAAAATTTCGTGTATTTTTTTTCTTCTTCTTTCAGTTCCTTGCAATTCAAATTGGACGCTATTAAGGAGAGGTGCAAGTTTAATGGGGACGGTAAACAGAGGAGACGGAGGCCGGTGTTAAACCCACATCAGATCTTTTCTATCGGCCTTTGACGTTCTTGTTTCACACTGCGGTGAAGTATTTGTGTCGGCGTTTTCAAATAGGGCTATTGAATGTCGTTTCTCTTCACAAAATACAGAAATAGTTTTATTCATGGGTATGCATATATATATATATATATATATATATATATATATATATATATATATATATATATATATATATATATATATATATATGTATACATTGATTCTGTGCACCTGCAGACTCTCACAACTTATGTTAATATATTAAAACCTGCAATCCCACAATAAATCACTCACGCCTTATGTACTGCAGGGTAAGAAACATATTGTCAAATTCATAGAAAATGAATATACAATAAATTTAAGAGCCAAATCGAGCAGTATGTTATAAACAAATTTAATATAAAACCAAGCAGTATATATATCAAAACAAAGTGTCAATATTTAATATTGATGACATTTCCAAACCTATAATATAAAGAGCAGCTAATACCAGCTTTTTACAAAGTTCGATAAAACATTGCCACATGATATAAAATAAATTTTAATAAATCGACTAAAGTGAGACAACTGCGTTTATTCAAATTAAGTAAAATGTTATTTTGGTTATTTCCCTTACTTCAATATTCATGTTCGCTTAGCTAATTCTGAAACGTTGAAATTATCAACTAAGATTAGTAGCAGAATAATAACAACTACAGCAACATATTTTTGTAATGAATTGAAACAAAACGTATCACAGATTTTCTTTAATAAAAATTTCAACAAACCTATACCGTTTATTACGTAACGATAGGTTTTTCAATACAACACCATCACCACCATTCATGTCTCAACAACAATGATCATCTTGTGTTCAACATCTAGAGTCAGGTTCTAGGGTCAGATGTTTGCCGCATCTGTCTTCAGTTACTTTTTGGACTTATTTTGGTCCGGTCAAAGTTATTCATGGTAATCTAATCCGCTGTTATTGTTCGGTTTATCCTAATTTGTTAGATAACTATCCTCTCTATCCCTATCCACTTTATCCCTATCCTCTCTATCCCAGTCATCTTCTGCCCTCTCTATCCCTTTCCTCCATTTCAACATGACGACCAATTAAAAATATTTCTAATTAAATTTGACCACAATTTTAGGTATTCTAACTACCTCGACTTACTTTTATCATCAGAATTGAAAGCACTCACATTATGAAAGTCAACGCATTAATAATAATAATTTTAAAAAGTAATAATAATAATAATAATAGTAATAATAATAATAATAATAATAATAATAATAATAATAATAATAATAATAATAATAATAATAATAATAATAATAATAATAATAATAATAATAATAATAATAATAATAATAATAATAATAATAATAAATAAAAAAATAATCCAACCGTATTATAAATAATACTTTCTTTTTAACAGTTCAAAGCGTCATCTCTACTAAGCGTTAATTAGTAAAGAACACAGAAAACGTAATGCAAGTTCTTCGTGTGTGGTCTAATCCAATCCTACATGTCACGTGTGTCTTGTGATGTCTGCCATGCAACAGCTGTCATCTGACATCTGTCAGCGGATCCAACAGAGCAGCATCTGACATTAAGCTTGAAAACATCCCATAATTTCTCGTCTTGCTAGCAGATATTCTCTATCTCCTCTGTGGAGAAAGAGAGTCAAGACTCTGTGTCAGCAGTCAGTGAGTACCACACTTGTAAAACAATGGGGGCCTATTATTTCATACTGGGTTTCTTTCAGACATTTTTCTCCCAGGTGGGGGGAAGAGGGTGCTTAAAACTTTCAGAGAAGGAGGGGGGGGGGGGGCACTCGTTAAAATATATAACTCTATATGAATTATATATATTTTTTTGTCCGTGGGGGTGGGGTAGGTGGGTGGGAACATCACGTTCAGTAGGCGCGCAATGGTTTTTGAACGCAGCCATTACGTGATGGCGCAGCTATTGAAGGTGATGACGCGTGTGGTGTGGTTGGCTAGACATGCCTACTAATTCGGTCCAAATTTTTTTAATTCATAAAAAATTAATTAGGCATCCAATTAAGTCAAATTTAGTTTCAGATTGCATTGTCTTCATGTCTTGACCCACGTGTCAAATGTGAATCCTATCGGTCAAGTAGAAGTTTCCAAATTTTCACTCCTGCGTTTCTATCTAGACTGACGACAGACAGACTGTCGACTGTCGACAGAGGAAGTGAGTTAAATAAAAGCTTGTAATAAAAAAAACCCACAACTACACAATTATGCGGCGATGCAGAAAGAGCTATGTAAAAAAATGCATTACAAAGTACTAAAATAATATACGAGTCGGTTAAACTTCTTAAGAGGAATTTTGAGAAATAATTTAAAAAAATTCATAAAAAACGTTTTAATAACAAGCTTTTATGTAATGATGCACTAAAAAGTAGAAAATAAATTATAGACTACTATTTAAATAACTATAAAGAAAAGCGTGGGTCTCTTTAGTATCTATTGGATACCTTTACTAATGTTAAGGAAGACACCCACGCCTTTCTTTATAGTTATTTAAATAGTAGTCTATAATTTATTTTCTACTTTTTAGTGCATCATTACATAAAAGCTTGTTATTAAAACGTTTTTTATGAATTTTTTTTTTCAGTACTTTACATGTTTTATTTACAACGAGCCGGCCCGCGGCATAACATACGCCGCTATTTAGTTGTTTTATTTTCTACTTTTCAGTAATTCATAATTTGTGAATTCGACAGTACCAATGCTGACACTGAAAATATTTCTTTAAAACACTATAAGTAGCTCGTTAAGGACCATAACCCCCCCCCCCTTCCTTCCCCCCCCCCCTTACGTTTAAAATCGTTGGCTCTGCTTGTAAACATTTAGAGTGAACACAGCTCACTAAGATCATGTAGGGGTGGGGAGGTAGGGATCGCGTTTACAGCTTGTTTTTTAGCGGCTCCCAGAAGAGAATTATATATATAGATAGAGTTACATGACTAAAAACCATTGCGCGCCTACTGAACATCACGTTCAGTAGGCGCGCAATGGTTTTTGAACGCAGCCATTACGTGATGGCGCAGCTATTGAAGGGGATGACGCGTGTGGTGTGGTTGGCTAGACATGCCTACTAATTCGGTCCAAATTTTTATTAATTCATAAAAAATTAAT